TCCATCAATAAAATGTTCAAATTTGTAATTACAGCCAAAAAAGCGGAAAAGTGGTTAAGATAAACGCCAACCGCTGCCTTCCGTTTGGGAAAAAGGTGAGAAAAGTATTGAACAGAACACGAAATGTAACGGAAAAAATGGTTTCAGGACAACCGCAAAATTACATGCATCTGTTTAAATGTTTCTTGTTGTTCTAATTGCCCTGAAACACCCACAAAAAAATAAAAACAGGAAAAGAGGATGAGGAGCTGGCAGATCATTCGTGGACAACGCTTATCACAAAAGGCAGCTCCCGGGTGAGCCGTTTAGAAAGTGCCGCTGCTGTCACTCCGGCAACTTTAACAGGTGCTCGCTGGGGGTATAAAAAACACCAGCAGTGGCCAGAAAAAAAAATAAATAAACAATAAAAACGGGCGAAAAAAAGCTGGCAAATGAAAACTGCAAGCCACCAAACAAATGCGGATAACAAACTGTCAAAGTTTTACGCTTATTACCAACAGCAGGGCGAAAAAAAAACGAGAAACGAAAAATAACTGGGAAGTAACAACAACTGAAAAATTGTATGACAGAGTGTCCCTCCTCCTCTTCTCCCGATTTTGGTGGCACTTGGGACCACGAACCTGTCCACTTTTTAGTCGTCTGCTCCGCTGCCCAGCGGGATGCGGTGGCGAATTTTAGTGGGTGTATTGCCATGTTTTCAAATTGACTCAATATCTCATACCCTTTTAAATTCAAAATGACACTGGAGTTTGGTAAGGGAACAAAATTTAAAATTTTCCAAAACTGTAAATCACGCAAAATTTAAAATAAATAAGCAACAGAAAATAATAATTTCACTGAATACAAATAAAAATTGGATTTTAGGTTAGATACATTTTCTTTCATATTAAGAACACCCTGTTAATTGCTTAATTATTTTCAGGGTATTTAAAACATCGGTATTTTATTGTACAAACCCCTTTTATATTTTTGAGTACGAAATTCATGCTAACAGAACAGATTTGTCACAGCGGAAATGACAGCAACTTTATTTTTTTTATTTTATTTCGCATTGTTTACATTTCTTTTCATCTTTTCGGCCTTAAAATATTTAAAAACATTTTTAAGTAGGAAAATTCTTTAAAAAGATTAAATAATTTCTAATATTTTATTCGAAATAATTTATAATATATTATAACAAATCATAGCCTTATAAACTAGGCACCTAATACTTTCTTAAAAGTTTTAGCAGATTCAAAAATTTCTTATATTTTATTCGCAATAATTTATAATATATTGTAACAAATCATAGCCTTATAAACTAGGCACCTAATACTTTCTTAAAAGTTGAAGCGAAATAATAAAGTAGCAAATCCCCCTTTACAATTTGTATTCCGAAAACGCTGGCAAAAAGTTGTAAACTTTCAACAGATATGGCGTGATTACAGTGGCCTGCGGCTAGATGGAAAATTCTCCGGAAAAGTCATTTATAAAATGGAAATTATACACATAAACCGAGGACAGGCGCACCCACAAAACCTTCGGAAGAAGAAGGGGAAATTCTCGGAAAAGGACACTTGCTTTTCTCGAGCTCATCAAAATATGCTGGCTGGCACACAGACACGAACAAAATGGCGACAAAATACGAGGAAATCGCACCCACATACAAAAAGGACATTAACTCATGCACACACACATACGCACAAGGAGTAGCAGGAAAAATGAGTCCCATGTCTTTCATTAAAACTTTCGGCAAATTATCGGGTAACATATGCTTGCGGCTTGATTGTCAAATATAGTTCACCAAAGGAACTCTGCACTTCGTCCTTAGTCCTTCGTCCTGCGGCATCCTTGAGTGAGTGCCCCTCACAGATACACCCACACATATACATATATAACACTTTTCCACTTGAGTGTTGTAAGGGGAATTTTCCTCCAGATAGAGACATGAACTCTGTATAAATATTAAAGCAACTTCAACGTCCTCCATACGCCGGTTTTCCCTTTGATTTCCTTGGGGAGCTAAGCGCAAGCAGGCAAAAAAGAGAAAAGCTTCAGGGAAAGCATTTCCCCTTTTCCTGCCATTTTCCAGCATCCAGTAGAAGGGGTGTCGGAATTGGATTGGGGATTGGAATTGTAACGAAAAAAGGATGTAAATCCGCGCAGGCGTTGTAATACTTTTCAGCCGGCATTGCAATGCTCAACACCCTCGGGTGAGTAAAATAAATTGGCTTCTAATAATATGGGCAACAATATTATTATTATATTTTATATGACAAAGATTTAATTTTATTTCTAAAAAATTGTGTTTAATTTTTTGTAGCATACTTAGCGGCAAATCTACAGTTAACCAGTTTTGTTAATATTGTTTCTTAAGATATTATACAAGTAATTATTCATTTATTTTTAGCTTTTCAGCTTTTCCTGGTTTAGTTTAACTTTATTTGCTACAAATTTATTTGAAGTCCTACCTGCATCAGCAATAAATTTTTAAATATTTAATAACCAAAACCAAGAAATGTTTACATATTCTGGTACTAAAGTTAAAACAATTGATATTCCTTTTAGAATTTTCAAATATTATTATAGCCAATTTTCAAATATTATCGTAGTGAATTAAAAGTGTTGAATAGGGACTACTATCAACTTCTTATCAACTGAATTATAATTTATATTATAATTTTGCCAAATTTAAAACCACTTTTTGGTCAACTTAATTAGCAGGACACTGGCTGTAAAGCCAAAATTCCAGCTTCCCTCCTCCAAACTCCCAACTCATATAATTTCCCCCTACAACTTTTCGCCTGCTTAGTTAGTTTGCCGTGGCAGTCATTAGTAGTCCTATGTTAATTTGGTGCGCCTAATAAACTGCTACTTTTTGCCAGCGCCCACCTGGCGCACACCCACCATTGCTCTGACCCCTCAAAAAACACCCCCTAGACACCCCGAAAACCCACCCAAAACCCGAAATGGTGGCGCTGTGCGAATTTGCCACTTCAACAGCTCCTTGGTGGCAACACGGTCACGTACGCGAAACGAGTGAAAGCTGAAATTTCGTTGAAAAAGGATATATGGGCACAGAGCTGGCATTGTCCTGGGGCCGTGAGCTGAATTCCAACTGCGTTCGTATATATATGGTATAGAGTATGGTATAACCCCCATTCCTATCTGTCTGCTTGTCTGCCATCTTGGCTTTTACATACAGACTTTTTCGCCCGTTTCTCTTTCTTATTCCTCGGCCTTTTCTTTCTTGTTTTTTTTGTAAAATGGCGTGGCAATGTGGAAAAAGAAAATGTAGAAAAGTTATTGATTTTTTTCTTGTGCTCTCAAGTTTCTTAAATTCAGGATGCTCGAATAATTGTGCAGCCAGCTGTCAGAAGAGATCAGCTGACGTAACTGTCAAATTGTTTGTGATTTTGATTTCACTCTTATTTATTCATCATTTTTCGGTAGTTGTGACACCGCCTGGCAGGCCATCACATGTCAGACAGCCGAAAAAGACAAATCAGAAAAACTTTTTCGTTACACAACCTGACATGTCACGAATATAAGGTAAACAATCCAATCAAATGCGCTAGTTTTGTGGTTAAACAAAACTAAATTGGGAACTTGCAAAGGTGACAGGCAAGTGACAATTTGGGATTGAAGTCTTTATTCTTTTCCAGCGAACTTATATCCTCTTTATAAATAAGTTTCATAAAATGTTGTTAAATATTATATTAAGTTGTGGAGTAACATAAACTTTTCTTTATTATTTTAAGGTCAATAAATTTTAAATTTCCGGTTTAATTGCCTTGAATGTACAAAATATATACATATTTTATTCCCCTGAAAATTGTGTCAGAAATCTCATCAAGTTTCTCATTATATTCCATAATTTTGCCTCTTTCTTCGGCCGCTCTTTTTTCGCCTGACCAATTATGTGTATAGTTTTTTTTTTGAGTACTTTGCTTTCAACACTCTTTAAAATAAGCGCATTAAATGCAAAGCTGCAACTTCCGATTTTTACGCGGTGCACACGAAAGCGTTTCGAACCTCCTGCAAACTGAAAACTGAAAACCAGTTGGCGGTCTTAATTATGAGCAAATGTTGGTCAAGTTATGCGTTCCGTTCTTTATTTTCGTACTTCTCCCTCCTTTTGCAGGCTCACTTTTCACCTGAGACGGTGGGTTGTGCGAGCTTCAAGAGGGCCCGCATCGAAATCCTATAATTATGTGCAATCAATACTTTTTTGGTATCGGCTTAAAGCCGGAACGGATGCGTATAGAACGGGAATAAGTGGGGTGGAGGTTGAAGTTCTACCGGCCAGTTGCTAATAAAGCGATTGAAGAGTCGACGAACGGAGGTGGAAACTGAGAGGGTTTACTTAATGCGGAAACACTTTTCCCTTGCTTAAAAAACACATTTTATTTTTCACATTTTTATAGTAAGTTTTTATATCAAGTTTTTATTATCAAATTTGCCAATCTAAAATTTCTTTTTTTGTGACTAGGATTCCTACAAAAAATAGTGCCTTTAATTCAATATATTTAATATTTCTTTCTGTTGGTACTTTCAAAAATGTTGTTATAATTGTCGTGTACTGCCAGACATTTACTTTTATCAAAAAAATATAATCACAATTAAAAGCAGTAATATTCATTTATAATGGAGCCGAAATAGCAGCCATTTTTGGCGCCCACTTTCAAAAATACTCAATTAATGCCGATAAATTAGCATGGTCATACCGAAAGTGTCTCCTCTTAGCCGAGACACGAACCATTTCGCTGCGTCACTTTTAGTGTGACCGTATTCGCTTAGTCGAGACACGAACCATTCACTGCGTCACTTTCGGTGTGACCGTATTCTGCGATGGTTTGTTTCTCCGCTAAGCGGAGACACTTTCGGTATGACCATGCTAATTTATCGGCATTAATCGAGTATTTTTGAAAGTGGGCGCCAAAAATGGCGGTCCGTCGCCCCGAAAGATTGGCAACACAAATTTGCACTGCCATTCCAGTTGGAGTTTATTTTCCAATTGAGCTAATTTTTCTTTTCATTTCTGAGGGAAAACAGACCGGACCGACGTTTTGGAAAATGGAGTGTTGGAAAATGGGCAGTGCAAGTGCACTAATTCGCCAGCCGCGAATATTGTAAATATTGAATCCAAAATTTAATGCTTTTATTCGGTGTTTTTATTCCGCCAGAGATTACACTGAGCAACTTTGAGGTGTACTCATGTGTACGTAGCGTCATGTACTACTTGCACACGCACGGAATCCAGTCTTTTTGTGTAGCGGTATTATCCGATAATTTCGGGTCAAATAACAGCTTAAAGAGAATGGAGATACCGAGACTGTATGATATTACGCACTTTAAGGATCGGATTTCCCGCTAACATTTTTTTTTCAGAGGACGAATCCGTACTGGAATTGTACGCGCCAGCGCCAGCACCTATGTTGGGCATCCACAACAATATCCCCAATATTACCCCCAACCTCATTATCCACCCCATTATCAGCACCAATATTAAAAATATGGCAGTGCACTTGGCAGAGTGCGATCCGGCAAAGAATACATTTTATTGTCCTGACTGTCCTATTACAGCACCAATTCCGGTGCAGAAGCACAAATGCCCAAAATTGTTCAAAAAAAAAAACTTTAAATAAACCAAACACGTAAAACGGAAGGTATTTTGGGAGCGCCTAGACTTGCCGGCTAGGGAACCGGGCAAAGTCTTTTCGTGTATCGGTTAAGCAAAAATCAATGCGATTATTGCTTTGCACACGTTTCGAGGCCCTAGTATTTGCTCTCCACTACTAACCAAGTCCGCAAAATGGGCTCACAGAAAGGCGTTCATGGGAAGCAGACGTAATTCAAGAGTTAGAGTGTTCTCCATAAACACAAATGGTCAGGTCTGACGTAAACTTCTCCCAAATCACTCCCCAAAATTAAAACTTGCAACGCTAGTGGCCAAGTGGGGCGATTAGAAATATTTTATATTTTTTAGTTCCAGCTCCAGAAATAAACATAAAAAAAATGAGCAACCACAATTACACAACAAAAACCAGCGCAAACATTACAAAGTGAGAAGGAGGACATTACGAAACATAGAGCACGAAATACTTAATCATCAAACCAATAAAGAAAACTTAAAAAAAGAGCAACATGAACTTAACTCTATGTGTCCAAGTTCGATTTCTAATTGCTGCAAAATGAGACATCGGCGGAACTTTGCAGAAGAAAAGCGATGCAAGTTTGCGCTAACAGAGGCCCTACCCTTCTGTTATTTCCAAATAAATGCCAAAACGCCAGGCTCAGAAAAATCCTAAACGGAAAAAAATACTGAAATTCTCTATATAAGGTCACACTTTTCGATACACAAATTTTTTTATCGAAATATCAATATTTATTTCCGCTGTTTAGATGAGATACCGCTCCACGGAGTCGCAAGGTGCTTCTATTTTTTCAGCTCCTTTTTTACATTTATTAAATTGAAATGAACTGCATTTCCACACCACCCTGGAGGCATAGTCCAACTGAATATATATTTATATTATGCGTCTCACAAATTGAAGTACGTAGTAATAATTTACATTATTGTTGTTATTAAAATTTGGGGTGCTACGCATTTGCAAAATAGCTTCTCCCTTTCTGTTGATATGTTAAAAATTTCATATATGCCTTGAACTTGCTGCATCCACAATTGGATTGTAGGTGCCCAGTCGTCGGCAAGTTGTTCCAGGGCCATTATTGTTCATGTTTTTGAGGGATAGATGTGAACTCCTGGGCCGGGAGAACCATTTGCGATGAATTTTGGTTATAGTAAACCACTCCTCTATGAACATATCTTTCTTATATTTTTTATTTTATCAATGTTAATTTTAAGGGAACGAAGGACCATTTCCCAACCCTATAAGCTCCAAAGTGTCGTTCGCCATGTATATAGGTTGTACACCCGCTCCAAGGTCCTAATCCGCACTCCGAGGTTATCCGGGAACCAATCCAGCATGTGGGTTATGTCCCTCAATTGCGGCACCGTCCATCTATCCAGGGAAAAATTGTTTATGGGACAGTTGTCGGACTTTTATGATTTCTGTCAGAAGTTTGCATCGCAGTGAAGGAGACGGTTCCGAACCCAAAAAGTATACATATTCTTGTAAATCGTAGTAAATCGTTGTAAATCGTAGTAAGCCATAGTAAACCGTAGTTAATCGTAGTAAACCGTAGTAAATTGTAGAAAATCGTGGTAAATCGTAGTAAATCGTAGTAAATCGTAGTAAATTGTAGTATACCGTAGTAAACCGTAGTAAATCGTAGTAAACCGTAGTAAATCGTAGTAAATCGTAGTAAGCCGTAGTAAATAAAATTTAATTAATCAAAATATGGCCATATTTAACTTTAATTAACTATTTAAAGATCGAACTTTTGTTGGGTCTTCCCACAGAACTCCATCCAGCATCCGTTGAACGGATGGTCCGTAAGGTTTTGCCGTTCCAAAAATTTGCCAAAACAGCAAAAATTTGGTTTTGTTTACAAATTTTTCATATTAATATTGGCTAGGCAGAGGCGTAGTAAGAGCGGAGTATGGGGTACGGGAGGTTAGGCTCCCCCCCAGTCAGCAATATGTATGCATATTCGTTTTAGGATATGTTATAAACGTTCAGATATGTTTTTAAACTATTTTCTTATTCTATTTATTGTATTATTCCACAATAAAATTAGGAGGACGCAATTTTACGACAGTTTCAAGTCGGGAGAAATCCCCCTTCGTTAATGTTGAGCTGAGCAGCTGCTCTTCAGTCAGCTGTTATTGGATGGTAGATGGTGGATGGAGTTCTGTGGGAACACGAGTTTCACATTCGTCAAAAATCCCAACCGTTTCAAACGGATGGACTCTATGGGAAGAGGCTATTAGGCGATGTTTTTTCTGTTTTCTCGGTGCAACTCTGAATTCTACCTCTTGACTATGAAAAATTGAACGATGACTGCGAGCCCAAATCAAATCTTAACAATAAATAATCGTCTATCTAATCTCTTTAGATATAATAGATCCTTTGCAATAATGGAAAGAGCAAGAAACATCGTTTGTAATATCTTATTACACCCTTGAAAAGGGTATTATGATTTCTGTCAGAAGTTTGCAACGCAGTGAAGGAGACGGTTCCGAACCGAAAAAGTATATATATTCTTGAGTAGTAGTATTCTTAGTAGTAAACCGTAGTAAGCCGTAGTAATCCGTAGTAAACCGTAGTAAGCCGTAGTAATCCGTAGTAAATCGTAGTAGACCGTAGTAAATCGTAGTAAGCCGTAGTAAATCGTGGTAGATAGTGGTAAATCGTAGTAAACCGTAGTAAATCGTAGTAAATCGTAGTAAACCGTAGTAAATCGTAGTAGATAGTGGTAAATCGTAGTAAACCGTAGTAAATCGTAGTAAATCGTAGTAGATACTGGTAAATCGTAGTAAAACGTAGTAAACCGTAGTAAATCGTAGTGAACCGTAGTAAATCGTAGTAAATCGTAGTAAACCGTAGTAAATCGTAGTAAGCCGTAGTAAACCGTAGTAAATCGTAGTAAATCTTAGTAATAGCACAGTATGTTAATTTATGATAAATAACTAAAATTGATAGATAAATTAACTAAAATTATTATTTAAGTTTTAGTAAATTTAATTAATCAAAATATGGCCATATTTAACTTTAATTAACTATTTAAAGATCCAACTTTTGTTGGGGGTTCCCACAGAACTTCATCCACCATCCGTTGAACGGATGGTCCGTAACGTTTTGCCGTTCCGAAAATTTCCCAGTTAGTCCGCCATCCAATTTTGACGGACTTTAACGTTCTCTTTTATGCGATAGTTAGGTGATGTTTTTTCGGTATATCTCCGAATTCCTTCCTTTTTACTGTGAAAAATGGAACGATGACTGCGAGAACAAATCAAATCGATGGCGGGAAAAAATTTAAAATTGCATTAATTCATTATTTTTTGGCTATCGTTGAATTATAGCCTCTTCTTATATATCATGGTCACACTGCGCGATTTGCGTAGAACAGTTGTTTTAAAAACACCTATTTCCCAGATGCAACACAAAACAAAATGTATAAAATAATTAAGAAGTGGTAAATAAATAATATTTAATTACTTTAAATGAAAATGTTGAAAAACAAAAACTAGATTAGACAAAATCTAGTCTACAGAGATTTCCGAATTATTTTATGAAGCCCGTTAAATGAAAAGGGCCTAGCAGGCAGTTTTATTTTGATTTTAGTTAATTAAAAACATGTTCTTTTATTTTGATATCTATTAAAAACAACACCTATGGTTTTCATTTAAAAATAAAATGTATCCATTAAAAAAAAAATTTTGATAATAAATTGTAAAAGTACAAAGAAATTAAAAAATATCTATTACACTATCGAATGTCAATCGATAGTTTTTGCATACACAATTTAATCGAAAGGACCCAACGCACGTCGATTGCGCAGCACGTATTTTTTCTCACATCTTGTAGTGGTATCGCTTGCATTAAACACCCTGTGGATCTCACGCTTGATAAATTAATAATACATTTAATAGAGCATGAGCGCTATTGTTTAAGTTTTACACATAATTTAAAAGTTTTATTTGGAATTTCGTGGCTTAATGTATAACATGTGATAACTTTTTGAAATGCAGTAGCAAGAACCTGCTCGGTGGGAACCCAAATACATTTAGCTTATTGACTTAAACATACCCATATGCACATACATATGTATTAAACAGTAGGCGCATATGTATATTCGTGTGGTGCTGATAGTGTAAATGTGTAAAATGTCTGTGGAATTGTAAATATGTTTTTGTTTAAACAAATATGTACATAAATGCACAAAAATCGGTGCATCCATATCTGCATATTTCTGTACATGCATATGTGCTCTAACTGCAATACATACTACCATTCGCGGACAGTTCGTCGAAAAAGTGTGTCTACTCGGCGAGATAAAACAAAAAACAGTTGCCAAATCAGTCGCTATGTTAAGTAATTCGAAATTACTGTTCGGTGTTTCTAATACGGATTTTGATTGTTCGAAAATCGCCCGTTTATGCAGTGAACCAATTTAATTGCTCGAATCCCGTGCGTTGACTTCAATAAGAAAACTTTATTGGCAAGTTGAGCGATTCGACAGTCAAACTGAATGTATTATGCCAAGCGGAAAATTGTTATATTGTTTATCTTTGATAATATGCCGATACATGTAAGTATGTTTCACTTGTGTGCCGTGAATGCGTGGTGCTGTGCGTGTGTGTGTGTGATTGGCAATTTTAAGGACCTGCATATACGTATACCGAACTTCAGCAAAATGCTAAATGAAAAGGGCTTTACTTAACTCTTTTTTACCTGCTCCTAAAAAAGAAGAAAACTTCTTATTTCTATGCAAGAAATGCAGTTTCTGGGTGCACATGTGCATACACACATACATATGTATGTGTACTTGCCTAAATCTGTATCCAAGTAAGGTTTGCGATTTTCAGACCTACATACAAGAATATCTCGACCCAAAGTTATGATTATCGTTTATATACAAATTAATTGTCCCTAATAAGCAAAACCTCTACGGCTGATAGTCCCAACAATTGAATAACAATGCAATACTTGACATGGAAATATAAATGTGTCGGAATTTGAATGTAATTATTACCATTTCTTTCTAATATTACTATTAGAAGAGTACTATCCCAAAGATCCAAAACAATACCTTGTACAGGATTACTAACCTAAATCAATTATTTCTCCCAGTCTTTTTTTAGAATTTTTTTTACTTCACTCGAGAATTTGTTTCTAAGATTTTTGCTTCAGGATTAAATTCGATGATTTATAGGAATCTTTACCAATTTAATACAATGCGATATTAGAGTACCAAGACTGATTTGCAAATATTATTATTAAAAGAAGTAATTAATTAATTTGCTTGTTTCCTCTTTACAGAACATTAACATTGAAATGGAGTAAGATATAAGTCAACAACTGGTTTCCAAATATATTTGAATGGATGCAGCTAACCTAATTTAAAAAGACAAGTCTTTTAACTTTAAAAACATGGCCAACACCATTTCGTTAATGTCTAACGTGATACGCAATGTAGTGAGCAAAAAACGTATACGATATAAGGAAAAAGGATACAATTTGGATTTAACCTGTAAGCCTCTCAATTAATTAAATTTTTAAGGAATATTCATACTAATACTTACCCTTTTTGTACAGACATTAATGATAACATAATTGCCATGGGGTATCCAGCTCCGGATAAACTAGAGGGCCTCTACAGAAACCGTCTAGAAGATGTCTATAAATTTTTGGAAGAAAATCATGGCCAGCATTACAAAATATATAACCTATGCCTAGAGCGTAGTTACGACGTCGGAAAATTTCACGGGGTAATATACACTGACCCATCTTGTGTGGGTACATCGTTTTCAGTATTACATTTTTCCACTAATTTATTACAGAGAGTAGCTGTTTTTCCGTTCGAAGACCATAACCCTCCAACGATTGAGTTAATACAACGATTTTGTCAGGATGTTGATTTATGGCTTAAAGAAGATTCGTCCAATGTCGTGGCCGTGCACTGTAAAGCTGGAAAAGGAAGAACCGGTAAGAAGAGTCTCCAGAGATCCATCACAAAAAATTAATCTCTTGAAAAAGTTGTTTTGTCTAATTTATTAATATTTTTGTCAAATTTATCCCTATTTTAAGGTACCATGATATGTGCATATTTACTGTTCAGTGGATTACAAAAATCCGCTGATGAGGCATTAGCCTGGTATGATGAGAAGCGTACAAAGGACCGTAAAGGTGTGACAATCCCATCTCAGCGTCGATATGTTCAGTATTTTTCCAAACTAGTTTGTTCAAGTGTTCCATATTCGAAAATAAGCCTTAACGTGAGTATTTAAAGGAAAATTAACTAACCAAGCACTCACAACAATTAATATAATATAATATATCTCAGGTATGTGAAATACGATTCTCGGAGTCCCCCTTTCTGCAAAACTTAGGCACGGTACAATGTTCAGTATCTGTATTAAACGACTCAGCCACAGAAAATGCAAAGCCAGATGTAAGTATTACTACGATCTCTTCTCACTTAATTAATATATTTTTATTCATATTTAAAGTCAGAAATTGTATCTTAATATAAAGCTATGTATTTATAACCTGTTTAATTTCATAAATGTACTGTTTGTTTTTAAGAAGTCAAGAAGATTTATTATTAGCCCCGAAATGCTTTGATTAATAATACGTTTTTCATAAAAAATATTTTGTAAATCAGCAGGCATACATATATGTTTATCTAATTACCATTTTATTCTTCTTGTTTACTTTTCAGAGACTGAAAACCTGGACGATTGATTTTCAAAAATCATTTGTATTGACCAGTAAACCATCTTTACCAGTTTCCGGTGATATAAAATTCGAACTTACACAAAAATCATCAAGGAAAATAGTTTGTCATTTTTGGTTAAACACATTTTTTGTGCGAAATTATTCAAGTAAGTATATTTAGTAAATCATAAAATGATTCAAGAATTAAATGATCCTTGTTTCTACTTAGCTTGCGAATCCGATGGAACAGTTAACAGATATATACACACTTTACACAAATCGGAAATCGATGATGTACATAAAGACAGAGAACACAAATCGTTTTCCGAGGATTTCAAGGTACGTTTTAAAAGATTTTTAACGGCTTATTGATGTCTAAGGTACTAAAAATGTATTTCTTTTTTAGATTTCAATCTTATTTGAATCAGAAAATTTTAGCAATGATGTTCAAGCTGAACCATCCGAAAAAGAGAAAAATGACAACGTTTTGAATTTTGAAAGATCAGATTATGAAAGTTTACCTCCAAACTGCTTTCTTGAAAAACAAGTCTTAACTGCGATCGTCAATGATAACACAGCGAAAAGTCAAACAGTAGAACCGTTGGATCATAAGGATATAGTTGTAAGTGAAAACACGTTTTGCGCAGAAAATATTCTTAATCTATAAATCTAATATTCGTAGACTAAAATTCAATACGACACATCAACCAATTCAAAAAATACTTCGACTGCGTCAAAACGCAAACAGCCTAATAGCAAACCTCTTTTAACAAGCTTGAATGATTCCACAAAAGAGGAAATAAAAAAAAATCATATATTTAATCAACCGTCCATTAAAAAAACTGATTTAATCAAATGGCAGAATAGTGAAGTTCATATCACCTCTGACACTCGAAGTATAAATGAAAATAAGAACATCAATTACAATTCATACATCACATGTAAACAATCCTCTCCAAAATTCAACTGTGGTACCGAAGAAGGCCAGGAAGATTGGGAATCCGGTGAGTTTTCTGAACACTATACCTCTCAATGACCAGATCTCACTAAAATCTATCTGTTTTAATCGAATAATAAACAATCAACGTTATTATTTCACGTTTTTATTAAAATGATTTTATTTTAATTAGAACTCTTGACCATTACCGGTTTTTTTTAATTAATAGTACTCAAATTACCATTTCTCAGATAGCCTTTTTACCATACATATATCGTCCAAACATTTATATTCTTATTGACTTCGCCAGAATAAACACCCGAGACGATTTAAAAGACTTTGGCTGAACGATCTCTTATTTTTGATGTATAAAACGAAGCCACCAGAACTGGATTTATATGTCCCCAAGACTTTTACGAGTATACTAGCAGACAGGCTTGCAAAGATCCACTTCCTTTAACAGGGGAGCCGATCGATAACAGCTGGGCTCTGCACATCTGTTTAGAATTTAATGTACATAGGTGAGTGGGAGCCCATGCCTGCGGCTTGAAAGGTCAACTAACCGGGCAAACCCTTAATCAGTATCCTCATCGATTCTCATCAAACATATTTCACCGTTTCATAAATATATGTCTCTGGACATTTCATTAAATAATAGTATTATCAAAGTATAAAATCTTTTTGATTATATCTAAACTTTAATTTGGTTTTCAATGTTAATCCGATGGTTCATTGATTACTGTTACCGTATGCTAAAAAAAATCTCAGCTTAATCGTCAAAGTTGAATATTTAAACATATTTTGTGTGTTTCATTATCATTATGGTCTTCGGCATTGCATTGCTTTGAGTAAAAACCATTCATGCAATTTCGATATCATTGTTCTGTTTTATTGACTAAAATATATTATTAATGTAGATTGATTGTTCAAACTCAACTAATGATATGAATATTTTTATTTCATTCCAGGTGAATCAACATACCTGTAATCAATGCTTATTACGGACTTATAATTCTTGGTGATTTAGCAAAGTAATTAAAATTGCTAAGTAATTGGCTAATCTATTCGAATTTGTAAATATACTGTATGATATTTATTTAAGTAGTTTTAACAATTATTTTAAATAAACTCATGTACATTTTGTATTGTAGATTTCATTCGAACTTTGGGTTTTTGTCTGAAGTTTTGGTATTATAAGGTCAAGGTAAGGTGGCAAGAGCAATAACTGGTACTCCCAAAAAAAAAGGATTATAAAAACCCCGGCTAGTCCTACAAAAATCAAAAATGTCTAATTCAAACGGACAAAGAATTTGGGAGAGATAGGCGTTGCAAGTTATGTGCTTTAGGTCCTTTAGCCACGCAACGCATTTCAATAAAATTGGAAAACCGGTGGTTACAATATCAAGTTCTGAGTCGCTTAGCTCGACGATGTGGGTACTAGGTTTAAGGCTATTGACCGGCAAATCTTAGCTAGCAGACACTTTCTTTCGACCTTAAAATAAATATACAAGAAATTAAATGTTTTTCGCTATAGTTGATGAAAATATGTAATACGTTTCCTAAATAACATTATTTTATTGTAAAAAGTAAAATATCAAGAAAATACTAAAAAGGCAAATAATTTAAAATATTGGCGGCGAATCGCTATTATACACATATTTTTGAATATTTTAATTTTGCATATAATAAATCAAGACTTCTTCAGTTAAAGGCGTTATCTGCATACTTTATGCTTATTATTCTCAATAAACACAGCTGATTGAATAGATACGGTCACATTAAACAATTAGATATTATTTTGCATACGCAACAGTGCAATTACGCATGACGGAAGCATTTACTAATATATCAAAATATAACTTTTTAATTAAACCTTCTGGTTACTTTTTAAATTTCCTAAAATACCAATTAAAATCGATGTGTCAGTTCCTCGTCCCAAAAAAGAACGCCCTGATTTGATGCCTGCCCTGACGCTACCTTGACTCGCATATATTATTGTGTAAAATTGACGTAAACTCTTGGAAGTTCTCTGCTTAACGTCAATATCTAATTTTAAAAATGACTAATTATTCGGAATTTTTAAAGAAAGTTTTTAGCGATATTGGTCAGCGTTCAGCATATTCGCAAATGCTAATTGGTGTCACTTCAGGATGGTATGTGTTATATCATTGCAGCGCAGCACAGCTGAATTTAATCAGTGCGAAATCTCTGATACTTGCCGTATATTAAATGTTTACCTACCTTAGTTATTTACTAAAACCTTTTATACTACATATTTGCTATATTCTCAAGAAACTGAGGATTAAATGCAATTCCTGTAGCTATTTGGTGTACATAGATTGTACATACAGACATACATAAGCCATATTTGTGTAACAAGTAAAGGACATTCAACAAAAGTGCATTCGTTTCATAAATATTTCGTCATAATATATGTTTCGAATCATAAATTTAATAAGAAGCTCGCTGTCAACAGGGAACAAAACTAATAATTCACACATTTTACAGGGCAACAGGATTTACCACAATGAAGATAGGCAAATTTGCTGCTTTTGCCGTGGGCGGCAGCATTATCTTGCTGGAAATTGCACACCAAGAAGGGCTTATAAAAATAAATTGGACAAAGTTGGATAAGAGCGTTGATAAGCTTGCCGATAAAGTGGAAGCTTCGTTAGGTCGTGAGAAAAATTGGAAGGATAAGGTACAACTTTAAGATCTCGAAATTGTTTTTTTTATACTCAAAATCCCCTTGTATTTCCAGACCGAAAGATATGTCGACAACCAATTGGATAGGGCTGAAAGCCTCTTGACAAGAAACGGCAAGAAGGTACAGAAGTGGTATACCAAACTAATTGGCGATGAAGAGGGCCCGAAAGTAAACGATCTGCACATTTTTCTGGCATCATTCTTCGGTGGCGTTGCCCTAGGTATTGCGACCGGATAATTTAATTGTCGATGGCACAAGTACATTTAAATACCATATGGTTATTATGAACAAATCTCACTAAATAAAGGTAAAAAAAAATATATATAAACGGAAATCAATTTGTTTTATATATTTTATTTTATTAAATTCTTAAATCTACTTATGTTACAGTCCTTTCGTTGAAAATACATATGTATGTGTAAATGCCTACGCTTGCATTTCTGGATTGCTTGCTTTAAAATGGCCCTCGTGCCAAGTTTTAAGACGGTTTGATATATCTGTGAACGTGGGACGTTTAACTGATTGCTCATGCCAGCACTCGATCATAAGCGAGTAAACTGCAGTGGGGCAGTTTTCCGGAGCGGACAGCAGTTGCCTTGAACGGATTAGATTGATCACCTCCTGGTTACTGTAACCGTAGTATGGCTGAAAGATATTAATCGTTACATTTTGTGAATTTATATGATGAGTCGTAGATCTCACCTGCATTCCATAGCTGTAAATTTCCCAAAGAACCACTCCAAATGACCATACATCGCTCTCCGTGGTGAACTTACCATACAAAATGGACTCTGAGGGCATCCATCTTACGGGCAATAGCGATTTTGACTGAACCCTTAAAAAAAAAAACTCATTATAACACAGATTTATAAGATCTGAACAAGACTAAAGTCTTACCGATAATAATCTGAGCTGTAAATGTCTCTGGACAATCCAAAATCGGATATTTTCACAACCAATCCCTCGTTTACCAGACAGTTTCGGGCAGCCAGGTCCCGGTGAACGTAATGATGGGCCGACAGATATTGCATTCCCTCGCTGATTTGCAGCGCTATCTGCAGAAATTCCAGTTGCGATAGAGATTTACCTTCGGTGGGCGAGTTTGAGATCAGAAACTCGTGCAGATCGCCATTAGCCATGTACTCAAAGAGCATGCAGTAGGGCTCCTTGTTCAGTACTACCCCTAAAATGCATACTATATTCTGATGCTTCAAGTCCGAAATGAGTTCGATTTCGCGCTTAAAATCCTGTTGAGTTTTCACCGAGGCGTTTTCCTTCAAAGCCTTAATGGCAACCGTTATGGTGGTTTTATTTGGCTGCGATAGCTGTCCCTTGTAAACTTTTCCTAAAATGGAATAATATTATAAATTATAAATGAATAATACAGGCTTTTAATAACAAAGACTTACCAAAAGCTCCCTCGCCCAGCTCCTCCAAAAACTCAACATCTTGTAGAGTAAAATGGGATATTCTAAGAAGAGTATTTCTTTCAATAAGTTTTGAGTTCAGAGCAACATGATCGGATAAGTTCCCCAAATTGCCCCTGCCAGCATCTTGAGTATTATTAAGTTGTGAGTTTCCGTAAATATTCTTATCGGCGCTGGGTGTGTTGATCTAAAACAAATATGTTCGTTATGATTTTTCTGTGTATCTTCTGTGTACTCACATTATGAATATTTCTCATCCCATAGTGCATGATGGTTCTCCTCTTAAAGAGTATAATGGCGAAAATGATAATGAAGATTAAGATAATGGCTGCCGCCGTTCCAGCAATGGCAATCCAAATTTTATCTGCACATTTTGGAATATCACACGGTTCGATAATGCGCTCTCGCGAAGAATCCACGAAACACCAAGGGCTATTCTCCACACTTCCTGGGTTCCTTTAAATGTAGAAAAGTATTTCCTTTAAAATTAGAAGTTCAGATTTATACAACAAAGTTAACTTACCTGCAGTAATTCTGACCGATGAGCTCAGGGAAATCAGATATTTCTTTCATTAGCCAAGACCATCTTAAACAAGGCTTTCCGGAGGCGGACACGTTCGCAACTCCTCTGTAGGTCGAGCCGTCCTCCCAGTAACAGTTCTCCGTCTTATCCACCTCAATGGTTATGCCCAAGGATAAACAGTCCTTATGCTGGGGCAACTTTTGGCAGTCCTCGACGCCAACCATCCCAATGACCGGATGTCGTTTGGCGATAGCATATTCCTTCTGACAGAGCTCGTTTTCCAGCAGCTCGCACTCCTCGCGGCAAATTCGTTTTAGGTTTTCAGACTCTCTGGTCGGTGGGTATTTACTCGAAATATCAGTGCTGAACACATCTTCATAGATGGTGGATTTCTTCTTAAAAATGTTGATGTTCTTTATATCTTTAGTTTTGGTCCTCTTCCGGCGAATAGTGACATTTGCATTTTTAAACTGTTTTGCATTCGTAGCGACATTAGCAAAATACAATAAATTCGTGCGTTCGGGAGTTCTGCAAATTGGCATTGAGCTAAAACATAAACTGGGCAGGGCGTACATGCGACAATTTGCGTTCATATCTCTGAAATTAGGCATTTGAGAAATCGGCTATGGTTATGTGAAGATATAGATACTCACTTTGATTCCCTAATTACGCCATATGCCGCTTTCAATCGCTCCTCCAAGTCGTTCATCGTGAGATTCGGGGATACAAAGACATGGGCATTGCTCAAAACATCTCGGCAAATAGTGCCATTGTAAATGTGACAGATCCCCGACGATTGCTGAAACCTGCAGTAGAATAGTGATATTTAATAATTATATAACTTAACTTTAATTTCGAAATAAAAATAATTAAATAAATATATTTATTCCAGACAGACTTTGAAATACTTTAACGGTTTTTGTTAACTAAAGAAACAAAATATTCTAAACCCCTGATTTAAATAAAATAAATTCACACAAATAAAATAAACTGTTTCCATGTTCACCAAATACCTACCCGTATATTCCGGAGTCCACATTATAGCTCCCCACATCCTTTCTTTTCAATACAAGCAGTAGCGAAATACACGCAATAAATGCAGAATATCTGTTCATATTGCTAAACCTCTGACTAACAATATGAAACCTTTAGTTATTTTAGTAGAACAATTGACATGCCAACGATTCTGAAAATATTTTTGTATTTATCCTTTCGCGAAAACTTTGTATGACATACAACATTTCATCCCTTCACGCAGCGTTTGGGGTTGTTGACTCCTTATCGATGAATCGATATACATATCTTGGAGTTACAAATGTTCATAACAAAGAAATTAAAAATATATTTAAAAAATGATTATAAAAAATATTTTAATTTTCTACCACCTCTAAAAATGTAATACATACTACTATCTATGAAATTATTTGCTAACAAAAAGTAAGCTAACAACTATTTCTAAAAATTTGTTTATTTGGCAAATAGAAAATCCGTTTTAGCAAAAGAATTAAAATTTTTAGTTTTTAAAGTGTCTTTTATTGTTTATTTTAAGATTTTTTTCAGAGAACTATAAATTTCAGTACGTCATATTTACTAGAAGAATAACAAACAATCCTTTGTTTTTAACATTAACAATGTATTTGGTAAAAGCACAAGTACAGATTTAGAGATTATCTATTGCTTTCGGGACTGTAACTAAAATGTTGGTTACTCCATACTGTCGACAGTTTCCTCCGTAACGAAGCCAACGATGCTGAAGGCGGTCTCCTCGCTGACCCACAGAAATCCAATGATTAATGCCTCCAGAATTCCGATGGCGGCTCCAGCGCAAATATCCAAAATATAGTGACGTTGAAGAATGAGTCGCGAAATGGCGACGCTCACGGCCCAAGCTGTGAGCGGTAGCCAGAAAATGACGTGGAGGGGATACAGCTTGGTGAAGAACAGGAGCACGAAGAAGGCCCTGGAGGCGTGGCCAGAGGGAAAACTGAACTTATCCGGCCCAATGGTCAGCATATCCTTGTTGGCAACCGGTCTTCTGCGCCGAACGAGCGCCTTCAGCACGGCCACTATAAAAACATCGAGTACCAGTCCAAAAAGCATATTCACTTGCATCTGATACAGGCTCTTCGAGCTGAGCAGCCAGATAAACGCAATCCATGAGACAAACCAGGCGATTCCATCGCAGGATATCTCCAGGAATCGGCTGTGAATCCGCAGGGACTTAAAGACGGACAGGTTGGAGACGGCCACAACAAAGTGCTTGGACACCTGCACATCCTTCTCCAAAAGGTACTTAAGAGCTGGTGATGACTGCAAAGTAATAGGGAATTTAAATTTAGTACTTATCAGTTTCTGAATCACCACAAAGACCAACCGTCTTCATATCGCAAGATGTTTTTTGTTTTTATTTATGGCTAGTGATGGCAGTGCTATTCTCATTCGTTATTCGATTTGTATTCGATACATCGAAACAACATATCGCCAACGATTGGAACGGTGAACTGGAACACTAACCGGCAGATTTTATTAACCAATTTGTTTTAAGATTTCAGAGAATTTATTATAAGCGCATCTGAATATTTACTAGTTTACATTTACATTGTTCAATTTGAATCCTTTTCCATTTTCAATCGGATATGACTGACTCTAGTCGTTTGTGTTTCGGTCCCACTCCAATCTGGTCACACCGATTTAAATAACTTTTGTTGTGATCGAATATTCCAATAGATTTTCGTAAATTGTCCATGTACAATTATTCTCATGCGAAAGTGCCGAAGATAGTTGGTTCCACACTTTTCAAAACAACAAAGTAATTGAAAATGTTTGCAAGTCTTGTGCCCAGTGTATAGAGTAACATAAGCAAAAAATCGATTTTATTTTTTCACAAGAAAATCGGTTCGATTTCTGCGTTAATGGTAAATAAATATTCTATATCTTTCCCATACAAAATACTGAAACCCAGAAACTATCCAGCAAACCGTGCCAAAATCGATTGATACAAATGCCAGTGTGCCGGTAACGAAAAAATTATTGATATTTAACATAAAATGTCAACTTCCCAGAGTGTATGTACCTATGTATGCGCAAATGTCTAACGTTTACATATCGACACCACCGAAGACCGCTTTATTATCTTCAACACAGGCGACTGTATTTTCCATGCATGAACACAAGGAACAAGTTCTATCTGAAAGATAGTTTGAAAATTTAGTAAATTATCGACCCATTGCACCTATGTGTGTATGTAGTTTACATCTTACATATGTATACCAGTAGAAGTTTACAGTTTTCACCAGGCCAGTACACAAATTGTGTGTATGTACGTATTTACACAGGCGTGCATACATATGAACTTATGTACATCGCAGTGGTCCAACATTCCGTACTTTTATGTTTAAGCCGACATATCGATTTTAAATCGGTTTTTTCTCTGTGCGTGCCGCTAAACACTTTAAGACCGAAATGGATCGAATATCTGATGGGTGTTTTCCCCAACCCTTTTTTGTATTGTCCGAGAAGCGGTTTATCTCTTATCATTAAAGGTAGGGCATTTAAAGTCGCTTCGAAACTGCGTTATGCAATTGTATCTTTTATAAGGAGTTCCCTATTTAAGATTATTTTTCATGAGTGCCTAAGGGGCTTGTTAAGTTTGGCAATAAAGTCGCACCAGACTATCCAGCCAAATCGTCTGCCTCCCCAATTCACCCTTCGCGACAAGAGACCCATTTTATGTCCATAACATTTGGCCGAAATAAGGCCAGGCGAAGTTAATGTTTTTCTACCCCCTAATCTCTGACGAAATTTTCTGAAAACTGCCTCCACCCATTTGGAGAGCAACCATATTTTTGTTACTTATATAAAATACTATCTTATTGGTGTTGAGTCCGATTATTGATTTATCTTATTTACTTTAATTTAATCTTTTAGATCGATATGCTCCTTGCTTTCAACTAAGAGTAAAAACAAAACAACATCAAAATGCAGAACATAATGGCAGCTCAGCACCAACACTACACCGTTGAGGTGGGAGATACCAACTTTACCATTCATAGTCGGTACATTAATTTAAGGCCTATAGGATCTGGTGCCCAAGGAATAGTATGGTAAGTGGCGCACATTTATTTTAAAATAAACGACTTTATAAACTACTTATAATCAGAACACTCAATTATTTTATAAGTATCCTGGTTCTAACACCATAATTTTATTCTACAATCTCTTATTATTTTTAATATATGTAAATAGAATTCAAAGCTACAATGCGTATCCATATATTTTCTTTTTGTGATCTTACCATAACTTAAAAACTAAAGCAAGCTCTGTTTTCTGTAAAAAAAAATCTGATAAAGATAGATAGGAAATCTTTTCGTATAATATTGTTTTAACACGCACTTAAGAGAATTTTGGACACACAAAATATGCGAAACCAACTCGTATATTATTATAATGGGAGATTTCAATATACGTTGACATTTTTAGCTAATAATAAAACCTATTGTAAATATCTTACAGCGCTGCTTACGATACTATAACCGAACAAAATGTGGCGATTAAAAAACTATCACGACCATTCCAAAATGTAACCCATGCTAAGAGAGCATATAGGGAATTTAAGCTAATGAAGCTTGTTAACCATAAAAACGTAATTAAACTCGGCTACGAAATATTTTACTCTTATTAAACCAAACGTTTATCTGCAGATCATTGGCTTGCTTAATGCTTTTACACCGCAAAGGAACTTGGAGGAGTTTCAGGATGTTTATCTTGTCATGGAGCTGATGGATGCTAATCTCTGCCAAGTTATCCAAATGGACTTGGATCACGACAGAATGTCTTATTTGCTTTACCAAATGTTATGTGGAATAAAACATTTACACTCAGCTGGGATTATTCACAGAGTACAGTATTAACATCTTATCAAAGTAGTAAGAAAAATAAATTAAATTTTATTTACAGGACTTGAAACCATCCAATATAGTTGTAAAGGCAGATTGCACTCTTAAAATTTTGGACTTCGGTCTGGCACGCACTGCAGGAACCACTTTTATGATGACTCCCTATGTGGTCACCCGATATTACAGGGCTCCAGAGGTCATTTTGGGAATGGGCTACACAGAGAACGTGGATATATGGTCCGTGGGTTGCATTATGGGTGAAATGATAAGGGGAGGCGTTCTGTTTCCTGGAACAGATCATATAGATCAATGGAATAAAATTATTGGTAAGTTATGGAGCAAATCTTAATTGGCGCTTGCTAACAACCTTTGTTTTCCTCGTTTCAGAGCAATTAGGAACTCCATCTCCCTCATTTATGCAGCGGTTACAGCCAACCGTCCGAAACTATGTGGAAAATCGTCCTAGATACACTGGATACTCATTTGATAGACTTTTCCCCGATGGCTTGTTTCCCAATGATAATAATCAGAATAGCCGCAGGAAGGCTTCTGACGCTAGAAATCTTCTTAGTAAAATGCTAGTCATTGATCCAGAGCAGCGGATATCTGTGGACGAGGCTTTGAAGCATGAATATATCAATGTTTGGTATGATGCAGAGGAAGTGGATGCTGTAAGTGTATAGATATAATGGGTTCTTAAGCTAGTATATTCATCGATCTAATATATTTGATGCTCTTTCTTTGGTTTTAGCCTGCTCCCGAGCCATATGATCATAGTGTAGACGAGAGAGAACATACTGTGGAGCAATGGAAGGAGCTAATTTATGAGGAAGTCATGGACTACGAAGCACACAACACAAATAATAGAACGCGGTAGAGAACGACTTTTTCCTCCTTAGTCAGTCACAAAACTAAAGCTTACCAACAATACGGCATGTATTGTTAAATTATTACAACAAATAAAATATTCAAATTGTATTTAAAACTATAGTAACCATTAAAAAATAAAATCAATACACAAAACTTTGTAATTTCTTAATTATTCATTTTTAATTTTAATAGCAAATTGTGAACCTGGCTCCTAGTGCTAATTTTATTTTAGATTCTAATTGTGGTTTATTTTGTTTTCAGTGTTTTCGGTGTATAGGCTTACAAATAAATCGGGAATCTTTAGTACATGAATGAATGAGAAGAGAGGATGGAATCACATCCGGTTTTTTTAAACAAATATATATATTTTATTTAAAAGTTTACCCCAGTAACCATGCCGAATATTAATATTCTTCTTTGTTGTCTACATATTTGTCTAAGTAGTTTCAATGCTGGCCACGCCCCTTTTAGAATATTTGAGCTATATATTTTTAAGCCTAACTAAATTTCATCTTAAGTATTGTCCAAATACAGCGGAAAATTGTAAATCTATAATAATGATTAGACAAAGATAGTAGTATTCATAATTTTTTTTTAGGTTTAATTAATTTTTATACCCTTGTAGAGGGTAGTATAATTTCAGTCAGTGGTATAATTTCAGTGCAACGCAGTGAAGGAGACGTTTCCGACCACATAAAGTATATATATTCTTGATCAGCACCAATAGCCGAGTCTATCTAGCCATGTCCGTCTGTCCGTTTCTATGCGAACTAGTCTCTCAGTTTTAAAGCTATCGCGATGAAACTTTCCCGAAGGTCTTCTTTCTATTGCAGGTAGTACATATGTCGGAGCCAGCCGGATCGGACCACTATATCTTAAGGCTCCCAAACAAATATAAGAAAATTCATTGTAACTTTGTAGGAAGTAGGCGTTTTGATTCTTGACTACTTAAAAACAAAATTGAAATAAATCGAAACGCTGAATCTGGAATCCCTGGAACTGCACCGAGTGAGTATTCTTTTATCTACAAGGGTATGTATATAAGCTTCGGCTGGCCGAAGGTAGCTTCCTTTCTTGTTTTATTATAAAACCAAATTTTAAAAATAAGACTAAAAGCAAAACTAACAATAAATTAGAACGTAGATTAAAAAAAATATTTAATAAAAATGGTTTTTTATTGAACCACTGAAAACGCAACTTGGAATAACGCATTTTGAAAGGACTATTCGATAAACACGTTGCCATCGATAGCTGGCTATGCTGCGATTACGATAACGGAAAAGTGTCATCGCGAATAAATGTGGGTTTGATAATAAAGAATTGCGTTGGTGAACAATAATAATACAAATCCTAAATGTATCAGGCGGACTACTTGTAAATACTGATATTGCGAATATTAGTGATCCAAGCAGCAGGACGCTTTAGGTAACACACGCCCCGGCCCAATTGCCGTCGTCGTATTATTTCCCATATCCATGTGCGTTTGTAAATGATACCACCAGAGTGCCATATGTATCGTTGTTTGTACATACATGCCTACAGAGAAAAATAACTCGTAGATACATATGTATGTAAGATGTATTAGAATTCCTCAGATATATGTATATATGCATATATATTTATGATGCTCATCTATAAAACAAAATATGTACAAACATACGCGCGTACGTATGTGTATAATAAAATGAGCATCTAGCTGCGGTTATCTTAATGCATTGCGCAGAAACTGAACTGAAAGCGAAATAAACAAAGTGTGCACTGTACAGTGAGCCAATTATGAATTCCGAATTCCATCGCTTACATCCGATTCCACATTCTCCGATTCCGATTCTAATCTGTCGCCGCGTAAGCTGCAGTGGAATTATTGACATAAACGGCACGACGTAATTGCGTATTTTGATGTTAGATGTTGACAGACGGCAAGGATTTTCGCGAACGTTTCTCGCGTGTTTGTGTTGGTGTTGTTGTTGTGCCGTGAAAAGCGATTTGTTTTTCCGGGTGATGAGAAATAATGTTTGTTGTTTATGTTTAGAGGCGTATAGTACACCCAACGTTAGGCCATTAGTCCCCAAATTAAATATAAAATACCGTATGTATGTATGTAAATTAATCGAGGCACCGAAAAGTGAAAGCCCAGTGATAATATGTGCATTTTATTTTTATAGTAAAAACTAAAATTTAAACTTTGCCTTTCAGGAAGTACGACTAAAATCATGGCTTCAATATCGGATGATGGGATGGTGCTGAGTGGCTACCACAAAAAGTTGAAGACCATGAAGAAGAAGTTCTTTGTTTTGTACGAGGAAACCGGCAGTTCCTCGGCCCGTTTGGAGTACTACGATACCGAAAAGAAGTTCCTGCAGAGGGCGGAGCCAAAGAGAGTTATTTATCTGAAGAATTGCTTCAATATCAACCGGCGTTTGGATACGAAGCACAGATTTGTCATTGTCCTATCCTCCAGAGATGGTGGATTCGGGATCGTCCTGGAGAGCGAAAATGATTTACGCAAGTGGCTGGATAAACTACTATTTCTGCAAAGGAATATAGCCAATACCAATGGAACCATACATTCAGCTTATGGTGAGCTAAAATCGCTGATACCTATTTTTAAGTAACTGATTAAATTGTTCTTCTCTGCAGACCAAGTTTGGCAAGTTGTTATCCAAAAGAAGGGAATTTCGGAGAAAGTGGGAATCACTGGACCGTATCACTGCTGCCTTACTTCAAAATCCCTGACATTCGTGTGCATTGGACCGGAAAAGACTGCCAATGGCGATGATCGAGTTTCCAGCATTGAAATTCTTTTGACAACGATTAGGCGGTAAGTAGTCTTGTGGATTAAAACTAAGAACTGGTAAATCCATCTATAATTCCAGATGTGGCCATGCATCGCCTCAGTGTATTTTCTACATGGAACTCGGCCGCCAAAGTGTCTTGGGATCCGGAGAGTTGTGGATGGAAACGGATAATGCAGCTATTGCTACAAATATGCACAATACGATATTAAGGTAATTTCATAAAACAATATCCCCACATTCATTTTACCTGATTATTATTTATCTTTTTAGCGCTATGTCAGCTAAAACAGAGTCAAACACGAATTTATCAAATGTTTATCAAGCCAGACCTGATATTAGCCACGAACCCATGAGAAAGCGATCATCGTCTGCAAACGAAGCTTCAAAACCGATTAACGTTATACAAAACGTTCGCCAAAACTCTCTTGAAATGCGGAATTGCAGTTCACCGCATAATTATAGTGAGTATTCAATAGTCTCGGTAATTAAAAGTGCTATTGAATATTAAATTCATTCCGTTTTAGCCTTTGGAAGAGAGAGGTGCGATAGCTTACCAACCAGAAATGGAACCCTAAGCGAGGGCAGTAATCAAACATACTTTATATCCAATCATGGGCTAAGAGCTAACACTATATCTGGTATCCGTCCGCACCCATCCAACAAGCACAGTAATAGTCCAACATTCACCATGCCATTAAGATGCTCAGAGTCCGAAGAGTCGTCAATTAGTATCGATGAATCCGATGATAATGGCAGTTTTAGCCACTATCGATTGAAGTAAGTCATTATCTTGAAAGGCAATAGTATTTAACTACCTAAAATGATCTAAATAACTTCAAATTATTTAATTTCACAGCACCCGGTCATCGAAAACTGCTATTCCTGAAGAAAACATTGATGATTTTGCAAGTGCTGAATTTAGCAAGGTCACCGAACAAAGTGGTAATGCAGAAAGCGAAATACAATATGCACGGTTTCTAACCAATTGATTATTTTGATGCCTATAGAAAGTGACGAAAACTACATACCGATGACCCCAATAAATCCTCCCATATTTGGTGATGTTATCCATGAAAAAGAGAAGCTTGAGATGCAATCCTCAGAGGACGGAAACCTGCATTTCGACTTTCCGGAGCACACATCCGAGAAGCTGGCCAAGGATTTTGATCTTGATTCGGATAATCAGTGAGTTTAGCTAGTATAGTCTTGCACCGCAATGTAAACAACATATTTCTTTTATAGATGTGGACGTCCTATTCGGGCTTACTCGATAGGAAACAAAGTCGAGCATTTAAAGCTAAATAAGCGCCTTGGATATTTAAATGACACCGGACAGAATCCCAATCGCGTACGAGCCTACTCGGTTGGTTCCAAGTCAAAGATACCGCGGTGCGACTTGCAACGCGTTGTCCTCGTCGAGGATAATAAACATGAGTTCGGAACGAATAGAAGTCACAGTAGCATTACAAAGGACGGTCCCAGCTATGGTGCGGGTGCCAACAGGGAAAAGAAGTCCACAAGTGCTCCACTCCTGAGTCTGAAGAACCAGATAAACCCCGACCGAATGAGTGACTTAATGGAAATTGATTTTTCGCAAGCAACCAATTTGGAGAAACAGAAGTTAATCAAGAACAATGAAGTTCCCAAATATATTGAAAACGAGTTTAGCACTTCAACCTTGCACGCTACAAGTCAGAAAGACATTTTCAACGGAACCAAAAATACTACCACTACCACGAGCAGCGCCACAGAGGATGGCTACCTAGAGATGAAACCAGTGGGTAATTCATATACTCCCAGTACAATTTGCCTTCCGAGTAAAATAGAGAAGCTCAAGCTATCGGACTACAATGTAATACCGAAGGATGCTAACAAAATCAGCACATATAATATTGTCACTGACAAGTGGAGAGAGCCATCGAAAAGCGAAGAAAAGAAGTCGAACTCCGCGTTAAATGAAAAACCTATTAGTCTAGAACCGACAATTGTAGAAAGTAATAGCCCTGATGTATATTCACAAAACAACATTGACCATCAAACATTGCCCGTGCAAAGCGATAAGCTAATTAACGAAGAAAAAATAATTGAGAACAACAATTTGGATATGGGCAGTCACGAGGAAAAGAAATTGGTTCATTCAATAAGTAGTGAGGATTATACGCAAATCAAGGACAAATCGAATGATTTTACAACATCCGAAGTGGGCTACAAAATTCTTCAAATAAAAAGTGACAGTTCACTTATCTCATCGAAGCTTTACCAAAAAGGTATCGCCAAAGATAATTCAGAACGATGGCACAGACTTACGGATAGTAAAATCGCCGATAATACGGACTTCAAATTAAATATAGTTGCGAAACCAACTGATTCGAAAAGCCCCGATTCAAGCAAACAACCGAACATTCTTCAGATCAAAGATTTTAATTTCCCCTCAAGGTCTTCTTCTCGCATATCCCAGACGGAGCTTCACTACGCAACCCTAGATCTTCCCCACTGTAGCGGCCAAAACCCAGCATTATACCTGAAGAGAGGGTCGCGCGAATCACCGCCAGTGTCCGCATGCCCGGAAGTCGGAAACTCTTATGCGAAAATTGACTTTGATCAATCAGATTCATCTTCCTCCTCATCAAACATATTTAATACGTAAAGTTTTAAAATTTAAAACAATATGTATATGATTTGATTAATATTGTACATTTATTGTAAATATTCTCTGACAAGCAAAGCTTACAATTTTGGATGCTAATAAATAAATTTTATTTAAATTATAATACTTTGTTTTTAGGCTTTATAACACTTTTCTTTATAAACGCGAAGGATTAGTGATTGGTGAATTAGCTTGGGAAAAAAGTGGTGAAATTAAGAAAATTTTGAGCTGTTGGGGCCGGTGGAAGTAGATTCCTCGTCTTATTAAAATAGTTTTATTTGTATTACACCTCCATGTTGAAATCCGAAACTCCCTTGACAAGCCTCACCAAAAAACAAGATTCTGGGGGAATCTTGGCTGTCAGTCTGTCTGTTTGTCCCAAAACGACCTTTTACGTTGCCAAACTCGCTTCTTCTTTTAAAAAATATCTTCTAAACACGTGACCACGCCCACTTTTATGGATACAAATCGCCCTAGCCTGGCAAACATTTTTTGAGGTATATACAGAAATGATTTTGATTTTATTAGTCAACAGTTTAAACGTTGCAACCTAAAATTTACAAAACCACTGTTTTTGTTACCTCGGCGTTTATCCTATACTTCTTTTTTAAAATTGTCAAGCCGAAGTTGACTTTCCTAACTACACTATAAGCCCATGATAAGTCTAGTGATTTTCCTGTTTTTTATGATTTTAACATTCCAAATTCATTTTGGCCTTTCCAGTCAATGGCCGCCTATACCCCACAATATATATATAAGAACCAGTCGTTCAAATTATATAAATAGCGCATATAAAAAATTGAATTGCTTTCCATTTATTTAATACAATTTGGTTTTCTGAAATATTTCATCTTTTTTATTGATTTCATGATTTTGACTCTATTTCAGATCCTAGTGTTACAGTTGCATCCGTTTTATTTGCTTACATTTCCCTCCTCGTTTGCAGAATTATTAAGATCACTGTTGTTGCAAGTATCTCCGACGGATGCGCCAATGTTTGCGACATAAAGGGCGGGGTCTATGACCTTCGGAATAGGCTTTATTTCGGTTCCAAGTTCTTTTTCAATCCGATGCAGGTCAAACCGATCCTCGTAGGTTATCAGATTAATAGCAATACCTAAAAACAGAAAAAATAAATTCTATTTAGAAACCAGTTCACTTTAAAAAGGTAATCTTTATCAATCTAACAAATAAACTGACTAATCTTGATATGGTTTTTTTCTTACCCAAATGACCGAAACGTCCCGAGCGACCAATTCGATGCAAGTATGTCTCTGCCATTCGAGGGAAATCGAAATTGATGACTACATTCACGGCCTGCACGTCTATTCCTCGGGTAAACAGATCCGAGCAAACCAGATTCCGGCACAGTCCTTGGCGGAAATCGTGGAACACTCGGTTTCTGTGTGCTTGGGCCATCTTTGCGTGAATATAGTAACAGCAGTAGCCCAGTTCTGTGATCTTTTTAGCCAATAACTCGACACGTTGTGTGGAATTACAGAATATAATAGACTGATTGATTTGCAGCTTGGAGAACAATGTGTTCAAGCAGTGTACTTTCTGGCGCTCTTGTACAAATGCATAGTACTGAGTGACACCCTTCAATGTTAGCTCCTCCATCAGGTTTATTTCGTAAGGCTCGCGTAAATGCTTCTCCATGAAATTCTTGACTGTTAGTGGAAATGTTGCGGAAAATAGCAAGATCTGGGGATCCTTTGGTAACTTTAGTATAACATGATCCAGCATGCCTTGAAAATCAAGCGACAATAGTTTATCGGCCTCATCCAAAACTAATATCCTGCAATGCGACATATCAGCAACTTTCTTGTCCATCAGATCTAATATTCGTCCGGGAGTGGCAATAATTAATTGTACTGTGGGGGTAAAGGAAAGTGGATAGTTAGAATCGAAGCTTAGTAAACGATTCAAGTATAAAACACACCTTTCTGATATATACGAAGAATGTCATCCTTCAGAATGGTGCCTCCTGTTGTGACCATTACCCGGATATCAAGATGTTTCGCCAGCTCAATACATATCTGTGAAGTTTGTAGCGCCAACTCTCGGGTGGGGACCATCACCAGGGCCTGAATGTAGTCCTTGGTAGGATCTATTTGTTCTAAAACCGGGATACAGTAGGCTCCCGTTTTGCCAGTACCGTTTTTGGCCCGAGCCAGTACATCCTTTCCACTTAAAGCTATAGGAATAGCTGCTTCCTGAATTGGCGAAGGGCGCTCCCAACCCTTCTCGAAAATACCCATCAGCAGTTCTCTCTTAAGGCAAAACTCCTCAAACTCGTTTCCTCGCGTATCGGTCACATCCTACAAAAGGAGATTACATTTAATTTGGCATTAAAATTAAGTTTAAGTTTATTTCTAGCAAATCTTCCGAACTTACAGTTGTTTTGAATCGGTTGTCCTTTGGCGGCAGCTTCAGCTTTGATTTCCAGCCCATATCGTCACTTGTGTTCCCAGCAATTTGAAGATCATTTATAAGCCTGAATAAAAAAAATTAAATTAGCAAATATATTTTGTGCGTTATGAGCAAAATTAAAAAATTAAATTATTTTTTTTTATTTTCTTAATTAAGAAAATATTTGTAATCTTTTTTAAGTTCTTTTAAGTTAGATTTATTTTCTTTTTCTCCCACACTTTTTTTTAGAGCGCAGAAAAAAAAGAAACGCTTCACCAAAAATTTTAAAATGGCAGCCCACGAATAACTGTTCACGCTGAAATACCTGTTTTGTTCTGATCTTCAAAACGAAGAAATCGCAAAAAATTAAGAAATTTATGCACTTGAATTTATTTGTGTATTTAGCCAGTGCAGCGCATATGTACATATATATTTAACCGACTTGTTTAGCGGCCAATATGTCCACGAGTGCACATGTGCACTATGTACATAACTATTTTATACATACTTATATGTATATATAGCTAGCTAGCATACACTTTCAAGTGAAATTCAAGCGTAAATTACATTGTTTACGTTTTATTTTATTAGATAACATCAATCGGCAGTTATAGTCGGTAATTAGAAGCTTTGTCAAGAAGATGGTCGGAGGAAAAGATATAAAAAAGAATATATACACATATTCGGCTTTATATTTTCACTCATTTGAGCGGTATCTTATAAATAATTTAACGGCTTGACTACTTAACTGAGTCTGGGCATGCATACATATACTGTACTATATCTATGGGCCTCTTGTAAGCCAAATATAAATAAATATTAAATATACAAACCCCTTGCTTGTTAAATTAGTGTGCCCAGAATTTAACTTTTCAGTCATCATTATTCACAGTGAAAATTTAGTTTACTTCGTTTAAAAAATGTTTCTCTTTCTTTACTTTCGGCTGACTTATTTAGTCACTGCTTACACCGATTTAATTGTATTGCTCACGTATTCAACTTTGCGTTGCGATAAAAAATGGCATTTAGCTACAAAATATTGAAGTCGCCTTGCAACATGCTATCAATAGTACAAATTTCTGCTTGACTCGGAAAATATTTTCACTCGGTGTACTCACAAAATGATGCGAAGTTTTTGCCAGTTTTGGAATATTGAAATGGAACAACTTTTTCAGGAGCGTCACCCAAATTGCTTGCTATTTGACTTCAAAAAATTATGGAATTTATTTATTTATTTTAATACATTGTGAAATTAAGGTTAATAGAATGATTTGTACAATATTTTGAGTACTATATTTTGAAAAAAATAATAATTCCACTATGCTGTAATATGGAATATATTAGTTACACAAAATTTGTAATTGCGTGCTAATTATAATAATAATCTTGGATAAGAACGCTTATCGTTTAATACAGATATATCTGAACAGATACTTGCTGCATTATTATTCTCAAATGATTTCAGGTGGAACGCTTGGAATTGATTTATGTTATGTACGTTATCGATAGAAAACCTACAGCAAAATGGAAGCTGATTTCATCGATAAATTCAACTTAACTAAACTATCGATATGAATCTCGAGGAACCTAACGAACGTTAATATAAACACTTTCTTATCACTTGCAAAAATGTTGCTGTATGTCAGTAAAGAAATAAGAAAATAAAATCGTCAAAAGATAACTTGGTTTCTCGTGAAATTCTGCAATATTGAAATTCATGCAACAAGAAGAAGGTGTTATGTAGTTTAAGCTAAAAAGTTTTTAATAAATAACCTGTGCATATTTTTAGATAATGTATTTGAAAAAGGATTTAAATAACTTATAGGATTTAAATGGAGTTGTCTCCTTTAAATACCTTCTGATTTATGCCCTCATCACTCAACATCTTATTTAACCTAGTATTTACTTTACATTAGTTATCTACTCACTATCTACAGTACTAACTTGCACAAAAAAAACAAATGGTCAATTTGACCAATATAATATACTAACTTGGTCAACAAATTCATTTTTACACAACAACACAACACAAAAAAGTTATTTTTATAGTAATTTTACTTTTAAATATTAACCCATTTTTAAATGGTTATAATTATACGTACTATATTTTACCAAAAAAATTTTTTGCGTGTACATTATCAAATTATTAATTTTTCCGTAATGAGCTTTACAAAATGCAAGCAAGAACCGATCCATTTGTCTTGCCGTAAAAAACTAGTATACAAAGTCATTAATTGAAATGTGTAAATATATTATAACGTACCCAAATAAATATGTAGCCATTTGCCGCACTTGGCTGTATTGATATTTATCCGTGTGCACCCAGCATGCTAAGTGTTAAAACACTCCATGGGGTATAACTTATTTGTATAAGCTTACGAATCCATAAATGTATTCCTTATATACATCGATTTGTATCCGTATGTGTGTAGACCAAATGTTTACCCATAAACATTCGCATTTGCTCGCGAAGGAATGGCGAAGTCTTCAGTTCGTTAAATCCGCCAACTGCATGCGGTTCGAAGTTTATATTGCCCGATAACGGTTCAATTTCAATGATAAGATATGAAAAGTCCGTTCTAAGAAAAGATACAAACATTACACAAGCTCGGAAATTGGTCATTGGAAATAAAACCCAAGGCGTAAACAATGATCATCGGACTAAGTTTAGCGTGCCTGATTTTAAGTGGCATTTTGAAAGTGGGCGCCGTTCAAATATGCTGCAGCCCGAACTCAGTACTTTTTAAATACCGCGGATCGGATAATTCGGAAGTTTTCGAGTGCGCTTCCGCTGACAGCAACCTCAAAGAATTTCCGGATTTAACTCAAGTGATAGGCAAAATGATAGCCCCAAAAGGCCTTGGATTAGAGGCACCCGATGAGTCAAGCCACCAATTCCAGTTATCAAAGTGCCAGAATTTTACGAGCCTCAATCTAAGTGAACTGAGTGAAAGTGCTTTGTACCTGCGAAATAACTCATGCATTGGGCTATTAAACAGACGTCTCATCATTTTATCTTGTGAATTTGAAAAGAATGTGCCGTCTCAAAGTGTGGGATTTGTAAACAAGTGCTGCCCACAGGGATTTATTTACGTTTCCGAAAATAATACATGCATACTTGGCGAAAACGATTTCTTTGTTTATTCTTCTATCATCAGTAGTCCAATTATATTTTTTGATAACGCCTTAAACTGTTCGGGCAACAAAGCTCTCGTGGAATATACTGTGTCTTCGGAGAAAGTGCAGTTCCATAACGATACCTTGGTTTGGAGAGATGGCTCAAACAGTTTGACTAGATCCAAGTTTTGCATCGAAGCCATTTATGACTCCGAAACATCGGAGAGAAGGAAAGTTTTGGGTCAAAAATATCTGGTTCGGGCTTGTCAGGAACCCAAAATATGCCAAAGAATTCCGTGTATTCGACGATGCTGTGGGGAAGGTGAAATGTATGCGAAAGGAAATATCAGTACGTACTGTAAGAATGATGGGACCGATTTGAAATTCGAGGGCTTTCAGAACTTGAATATAAACGCCAACTTCTCAAAGCCATCAGGTACGTTTGCAGATTCTTTAATTTCCAATTTCTATCGGTTTATGGGATTTAACAGGAAATGAGCCCAATTGAACGCGGGAATAATTGCCCATTAAATGAAAAATATAAATCGGAAATCTATGCGATAGATTTTGATAGGTTCCATTTGCCCGATCACCTGTTTTGTCGATGAGCGTATAAACAAGTATCTTTAAGTGCTACACAAATGTACCTAACGAATTTATCTACAAATATTATTATGATACGTCATTATTGTTGACATTTTTCGTTAACTTGGTCATTTTAATTATTTTTGTCAAAGTTTCTTATCTGGTAAATCAAGCAACGAAAAGTACTTTCGATGACACGCGGTTTTTTTTGTTGGGTTAGGTCAAATACGTGAAATCATAAATAGAGAATCCTTTATGATTACAACTCATTATATGTTTTGAAAATATTTTTTTCAGATTTCGGAATTGTTCATGGCTTACAATGCCAAAAATTTCGATTGGATCCCGATAATTTTCCAGATGATGCGCACACAATCAGTTCTTCCAATGGCTCGCTTATTATTCAAAACACTTTAAAAATGTATACAAATACTCAGTATTGTTTGGAAAGGGTCAGACAGAATCAAAAGGTAAACTCCTTCCTAAATAAAAAATATAATATTCACTACAAAAAATATATATGTATTTTTAATTCTTAATTATTTGACTTCGTTTCTTTCAGAGCAGCTTTATACATTTCTATGCTTTGATACAAAGGTAGTGGGCAGTGACCGCATTCGCTTTAAAATGTATCCGATTGGACTTCTCATATCTTGTTGCTTCTACGCACTTACCTTGATTGTTTATATATCAATTGCCAAATTACGAAATCTTCCTGGAAAAATTCTGATTTGTCTTGTGAGCAGTTTATTTGCGGCATATCTTGGAATAGCTTTGGGCCAGTTGAAGCCCACATCAAATGACGACATCTGCTTCTTTTCTGGTCAGTACAGTGGCAATTAGTAATTAGTAAATTAGTAAATATGTCGTGCTGAGACATGAGGCCAAAAGTTATTGTCTCATAAAAGTCAGAAATCAATATAGGTACACTTTAATTATTTCCGATACTCTTAATTTATTGAATCTTTGGTTTAGCTGTTTTTCAGCTTTTCTTTATGAATTCGAAAAGATTTGCTTGTATTTCAATTAACACAAATTATTTTCTTATTTTAAGGTTTCTTCGTGTACTTTTGTTTAATGGCTGCCTTTTCATGGATGAATATAACTTCCTTTGACATATGGAAAACCTTCGGGTAAGAAAAGTGTTATAAAATAATTATAACTAATGATTTCAGAGTTTAAAAAAAGTTTAGAAAAATTTCTAATAACTATGACTGAAAGATTTATTTACTTCTTAAAAATTATATTCTATTTTTAGATCAACCAAAATTAAAAGTTGCGAAAAAAGTGACCTGAGACGTCAATTTATTTGGTACTCTTGTTACGGATGGGGACTACCAACTTTGCTAACGACAATCACCATTGCGTTTACAAAATCAGACATCTTACCGGATGTGGTTCGACCAAATTTTGGGCACGGTCGTTGCTGGTTTACATGTAAGCTCGTTAGAATTTCAGAACTATCTGCAATTTTCTAAAACACACTTATTAACTTCAGATGATTCTTTTGGATCTGCAAGCTTACTATTCTTCTCGGGTCCAGTTGGAATTCTTTTTATATTCAACTTGGTCCTGTTCCTGCTTACGATGAAATACTGCAACAAAGTCAAAAACGAAATATACAAGATGCAGAGTTTAAACAGTGATAAGCCAGTACTGAAGAGGAGATTTTTTCAGGACAAAACCCGATTTGTTATGAACACAAAACTATGCTTTGTTATGGGCATTACGTGGCTTTTGGAGATAGTGAGCATTTTGTTTTACGATCATAAGAAAACCTTTTTCTGGACCATCAGCGATTCGTTCAATGTGCTTCTTGGCATCTTTGTATTCATCATTTTTGTTTTTAAACGGAGAATTTGGAATGAAATCGCTGTAAAGTTTGGTAAGTTTTGACTCCTTATTTTAGTCTATTCTTTTTATTTTGTTTATTTATGATATTTCCAGGTTTGCAGTCAAGCCCCAGCACTACATCGACTAGAAATCGCCTTGGTGTGACAAAATCATATGCTCCAACTAGCACAGCCATGACGACGCTCCGATCTTCTCCAGGCAGTTGTGAACTGGTCCGCAAAACCTCAGCGAAACCGGAAAATGAAGTTATGCTTTAGATGGAAATTACTTATCATTAACTATTTATAATTTGTAGAGCCTTATGAAACTAGTCCCTCAGTTTAAACATTAATAATACATATATGTATGTGTATAATTTAGCTGTGAACCGAAATATTTAGTTAATAAGTAATTTCTATTTTTTTATACTTATGTGTTAATTATATTACATTAATCAAAACAGTGGCGAATACATGACTTCAGTAAATATGTTGTTATTTTTATTTAATTATTTTTAAAAACTAAAACCTCAGTTTCATTGACCCTTTACAGCCCATTAAAATCCGTATTTTGTGTTTGTTTTATCAAAATATTTATTTAAATGACTCCCAAAAACATTCGTAATGAGGTAAATCCGAATCTGAATTAAAAAAATATATGTATACTCTTTAGATCTTGTTGAATGCAGCAATGTCAACACTTTGGACAAAGTCTTCCAGTTTTTCGATCTCCTCAGTCAGCCAATCAATGGAAACCTTATCGTCCTCCACCACGCACGAGATGCTGAGTTTCTGGATGCCAAAGGCAACGGGGACGAATTTGGAAGCTCCCCACAGAAGGCCGTCCTGGGTAATTTTGCGGATTTCAGTCTCCATTACCTTCAGATCGGTTTCATCGTCCCAGGGCTTGACATCCAGGATGATGTTGGACTTGGCAATAATGGCAACTTTCTTGGCCTTCTTGGCGGCATAGGCGGCCAATCGTTCCTCGCGGATGCGCGCTGCCTCCTCCTCTTCCTCCTCGCTCTCCGAACCGAAAAGATCGACATCATCGTCGTCGTCTTCTGTTTTCTTCGATTCCGCTTCTGGCTTCTTTGACTCTCCGTTCGTCAAATTCAACTTGGGTTCGGCAGAGTCTAATCGCTTAACCACGGCACTTAAAAGTTGGTTCAACGAGGAAACCTGGGATTTCAACTCCTTGGTTTCACTTTCCAGCTGAGCCAGGCGGCTGGCAAGCTCGGATTTCGAGCCATCGTCCAGGGTAACTCCATCAATCTGGAAATACACAATGCAGGGTTATTAAAAAATAAAGTAAAATAATAATAGAAATTGTAAAATCAAAGTTTTTAACGTGGTTTTTGAATAAACAATAAGAACCTAGGAATTATATCATGGTTTACAGACTAACTGAATTGAAAATAAACACCGGCTATAAGAAAACAAAAGTGAGGAAATATCACAACCATAGTTACCTTTTCCAGCGAGTTCTGTATGTGTTCCCTAGCCTTTGCGATTTCGCTTACTAAAGGGCTGTTGTGGCTGCGATCAGTTACCTTTAAAAATAAGACAACACCATTGATTACTTGTGGGATCTCACATTTGGTGTATCGAGTATCGAACTACGGATTTAGAAGTTATAAATCGCTAATAAATATATAAACTTGGTAGTAGTCTTTTTATAAATTATTTCCAACAAGAGAGAAGTATACAGCATATATTTAAAGATTGTTGTCATGCTGAAAAATAAGCTTGATTGATGTCAGACTGATAGGCCGTTTTCTTATCAGCACAAAATGTTGCCTATATTTAGCTAACAAATTGGAAAAAAATTGTTTATTAAAATCTATCTAATCTATAGGTTTCTCCCTGGTTTTCAGACAGTTTTGGTAATAATTTTGTTGAATTTCTTGTATATATTTCTATATTCACATATGTATATACCTTGTACAATGTACATACAATTAATTACACGAATATACCATTGCACCATATGAACACGGGAATTTTAAGTTCAAGTACGTACATAAATAGACACATTTATAAGATCATTGTACAAATGTACTTGTGTTATAAAAATGTGTTATTTGGCGTCCTCGCTTGTAAAGTAATATATACAATGTATGTACAATGCAAATTTTTGCATGTAATTGCCAAAACCATTCCGAATTCCTTTACCGGCCACGTGAAATCTTTCTATGTACTTATGTACTTCTATCTGCACAAGATTGGTGGATTGGTTTTACCTTCAGGGGGCCCTCGTAGAATCGCTTCTCGGCGACATCGTAGCGGCTCTTGTCAGTCCAGAATTTGTCCAATGCTTCTACTTTCATTTTAAGTCTTTTGCTCTTCGCTTGGCTCAAACACGTTGCACAATTAGCAGAATAATACGATAACTATTTTTGCGTGCTTATCGATATTTATTTTAATCTTTTCTCATTATTGTAGGAACGGTGGAATGACATCTAAAAAAATAAAAATGATTTTTTTTTCGATTTTTTGACAGCATTAAATTTGGCCCGTTTTCTCACTCTCCATTCAACATTTTTAGCTGGAATTTATAGCCTCTTCCCATAGATTTTCTTCCCATGGGAGTTTTGACAAATGTGAAATTCGTGTTACCATAGAGTTTCCATCCACATCCAATAACAGCTGATCTGAACATAAACGAAGGGGGGTTTCAACTCAGCAATACTGTCGTAAAATTGCGTTCTCCTAATCTCATTGAAGAACAATACAATAAATAGCATAAGATAATAGTTAAAAAACATATCTGAACTTTTATGTTGTGTAATTACTGAAATTTCCGAAAGTGAACTTGTATGGAACAGCTTATTAACAGCTGACCGAAATTCAACATTTTAGGAAATCCCCCAACCAAATTGTTCGTTTAAAATGTTTGTGCATACGTCGTTGGTGGAAGTGTTCGCTTCTACATTAAATAAACATTTCTTCGACGTTTGCTTAGACAAAGATAGAAACGAATATATAAGTTATATCCAAAATGCTCATTTCATCTTAACTGTTATAATCAGAATAGTTGTTTTAATTCATTTTAACAGCTGTTTGATTCAGCTGTTTTTAATGGTTGACCTTGGATTTGTACATATTTTACGTTCCATGTGATACCTATATTAAAAATAATAATTTGTTTATTTTATATAAAAAAGTTTTAACACAACAGCAGTTTTAACAAAGAATTATCAGAATGTTTTCTAAGCCACTCTTATGTATAACATATACAAAACATCAATTTCAAATTGTGTTGAAAACTATACTTATATAAAAATAAAATAGGGGAGTGTAGGGTAATTTGACGAGTAGGGTAATGTGACGAACTCGTCGAATCTCATATATGACGTCACGACAAAAATTCCAAATAAATGTAGTCGTCTCCCCTTATCGTGTCGACAATGTATTTACAGTAATATTAATAAGAAGTCCCGTAATTTGTTCGTGAGGTAATTTTCGCTAAAAATGTGGTGCGCAAACCAGCAAACCTATTCAATTTACTTGTGATTCAGCAGTGCCAGAGCAAAGATGAGTGGAAAATAAAATCAGGCAAATATATGCACGTATACATGAGATCTTTATCAACAGTTTTTGGTACCTCGTTTTTTTTTTTTTGCGCCGTTTGAGAGTGACACCGTTTTTGCTCCAAGCCTACCTTGTAGGGTATCGTGACGAACTTTTTGTAGGGTATTGTGACGAACTTTTTTTATTCAAGAATTTTAATTGTTATCGTTGATTATTTGTAAAAAAAATATAATAATACCAGATTACATTTACTGCTGCAGTTTTATTGTTGTTTTTAATAGTGAGGTCAGTTTAATTTAATAAAACAAAAAAAAAATTTTAATTTAAAAAATTGCATTTTGACCATTTTTTCTTGTAAGTTTCGGTATTATCTTATTACTTCTTTCTTTTCCGTATCGAAAATAACTTTTCCGTAAATTATATATAAAAAAATGTTTTTTGTTTGTTTGTGAAAAGGATGATTTACACCAAACGCTGTGGGATTTGGCTACGTTGAAATTTCGAATACAAATTTTTCAGAAATATGCCTAGTAAATGTAAGTAACTTTCTGCTTTTACACTTTTAAAAAATATTGATTTTTGGAGAAGTTACATTAAAGAACAAATCGTTCGTCACATTACCCTACAACTTTTGAAAGTGCAAAAAAAGAAGGGTTCACGCCAAACGCTGTGGGATTTGGCTGCATTGGAATTTCGAATTTTACAGGGATATGCTCAGTAGATGTAAGCAACTTTCTGCGTTTACACTTTTGAAAAATATTGATTTTTAGAAAAGTTACATTCAAAAAACGAATCGTTCGTCACCTTACCCTACACTCCCCTATATAATTGAAAAGACAAATTCATTGCATATGCTAAATGTACATCATACTTAGGAATTAAAAAATATATACATATTTACTTGTTCTAGAGCCAATGTGAAAATGGGACACCACTTTTTGTTCCGATTCCGCGTTTCAATTTGTTGAGCGAGTGATGTTTTCACAATTGTTTTCGTCATTTACCAGTCAGTTCTCACTTCGACTATTCGATAGCAGCCTACAACAAATTAATTTTTTACGAAGAAAGTGTTGTGTATTTGTTACTATGTTATCATATTTGTGATTGTAGGTCTCCGTGTCTTGCGTTTTGTTAATCATTGCGAATTTTTGGTGCGTACTGATAATGGTTATACTTTGATTGGTTTTTGAGACTGCTTTCTGTTGGTTTAGTTTTGTGATATGTATATGCAGAGAGCTCTGAGCATTCCAGTGCACAGGATTTAATGTCTTTTATTAAATATTCCGTGTCGAAATATTCTTTGGCGATCAGTTGAAATTAATACAAAAGTGATTGTTATTCAATTTAATTTTTAAACCGTCTCGAGTATTGCAATTTTTGTTGCGTGTATTACATACACTCGTCTAAATCAGGTGGGATATTAATACCTCAGCATATGAAACATCCACTCAACATATGACTATTTGTGTTTATGTACAATTGTCCAAAAGTGATTGTGTATGTGCTTACATATGTAATTCGTTGAAGTTAGGCAGTAAAAACTTTATTCGCGAAGTTATTCTAATTCTCTTGGTATACATATGTGGGTGCGTGTGTGTGTAGCTACATGTACACATATGAAAGTGGTTTTTCAGTGAAGAAATCTGCAGTTAGAAAAAAGTGTTTGGGCTGCCCTCCTTCCCAAAGCGAAACGGAACCAGTAGTTTTTGTGGTATGCCACAAAATTTTTTTTTCGTATTCATGAAACGAACTTGCATAAACCTACATACATTAGTGGAAACAATCCAATTCATGTTCATGTTTAAGGAAATCGTGAGGCGTAACCACTTGATTTCGTTTTAACGCAAGGTGGCAACGCCTGCTGCAAAATGATATGCAAATCTTGTGAAAAAAAAATTTTTAATACATATTGTTGCCTTAAAAAGAGATTAGGCCCACAAATGAAGTCATCATTCAATGAAGTTAAAAAAGTTTCGTCAGGTATATCAGGAAAACAAATTTTCGTTTGATAATTGATTTTTGCCTTGGGGGGAAAAGTCAGAATCTACAAAATCTTGAGGTTATTGCTGGCCTTTTTTTTGGTGTGGCCGTTTTTACGATTGTTGTTGTGAAAAACTATAGTGTTATATGTAGTTTCTAGGAGTTGTGTAATAAAGCCTAGAACTACCTCGAGGAAAAGCGCAAGCTTTAGAAACAGTTTTTTTTCTATTTTTTTTTGCAAGTATTTAAAATTTTGTTTGATTAGTGGCAAGTGGCAGATTCAGAGTTTCTTGGGACTAATTTTTTAACCTTCAAAGGAAAAGAATGGAGAGAGCAAACAGACTGCCTTGGCTTATCGTAAAAAGAAGAGTAATAAATTATATACTGGGGTGTCACAGAAATCTCTTCCAACTAAAGACGGTTGACGAACTTAAGAAACATAACGGATTTTCGTTGGAAAATGCAAATGACAGCCCTTTGCCTCTTTTTCCAGTGATGCCACCTAGGCGAAAAACGAAAATATCCCTAGTTTTCAATGTGTTCGATTTAAACATTCATTCCATGCCCATGGTGAGTTTAATGGTAATTTATATGACTGCACCGCTCTCACTCACTGTTTTTCCGTATGTGGATTCTCACCACTATTGCTGTTGCTTCGCACATGTTGGATGCGGTGAGAAATCGAAGTTAGCTTTGAACTTGGACTTGAATTGGCTCTCAGCAAAAGTTCGGGTGTCAAATGGTTTCTCTATAATATAGATTATAATAAATATAATAATATATAGATAATAATTCTCTATATAGAGACTATATAGATTCTTACTCTATGCATAGAGTAATAATGTATAGAGACGCCATTTTCGCACATGTTGGATGCGGTGAGAAATCGATGTTCGCTTCGAACTTGGCATTAAATTGGCTCTCAGCAGAGCTTGGGCAGAGGTTCGGGCAGAGCAAATGGTGCCTCTATATAGTTTCTTACTGTATGCTCTATGACTAAAGAAATATCAAAAAATAGCCGGCTTCGTGCGTGAATGCCGATGAACGCGTTTAGTCGTCGAGCAAAGAATTACAAATTTGATCTTTCGATGTGTTCGTGCAGAAGTGGTTTGGCAGCAAAAAACTTAAAATGGACGGGAAACTTAAAAACCACGGAATAAACGCATACATTGCGGGTAAAGGTAGAGAAACATCGAGTTTGGGCACACTACAAAGAATAAGATTTTTAAACTGTGAGCCTATCTTAGTACTAGGCTTAAGGCACAACTAAAATCGAAAAGATCCGTTCGTCATTTATGAGAGAGAGAGCGAGACGACAATAGACCGCCAACGATTTTTTCCGAGGCCGTTTTTCACCGCTACCAAAAAAATACTATACCATTAGTGATGCCATTTTTGAAACAATAATTTTATACAATTTTGGAAGGTTTCCCATTTCAGAACGAATAAAAACGCATACAATGTTTTGGTGCAACCCTTGCCCAGGTCTTGCCAAGAGCGGCAAAAGCTGGAGGTTATGAGTCCCTTAAACAAAGCATAGCATTATCTCTTGTCACGATTAACTCATTTGTTGAGTCGTTGGAAGGCTTTTTGTTCCTGCACAAAATAAAATTTTAAAACGGAAATCGCCTAAACTCGTACAAAATACTGAATAAAAATACTAAAATACCTTATGTTTCGCTGAATCGGAACAATAGCGTCTTTCCCCTTCTGTCTAAATACGGTATTAAAACCGAATAAAAAAATTAATCCTTAATAGTAAAAATAAATGTCAACTTTATTTTCTAATACTTTTAGTGACAATGGATGAAAAGGATAAAGCTCAACACAACATGATATCCAACCTACCGCTTTTGTTTGCAAATGGATATCCAACATCCCTAGAAAAAATAACGGAACCTCAGTTAGAAAATTTTATTCCATTCATGGTGCAGTGCTCTTTAGGACATATAAATTTACCAAAGAAAGTAGATTGCAGTGAACCAGAATGGTGGCCCGAAAACGCACCATTCGAAATTCCGCTGAAAAAGCCGAAAGCATTTGTTGGGGTAAGCAAGAGTACAACCCAATTTTACATAATATTGCATAATGTATAATGCATAATTTGATCTTTTTTGTAGAATTGGATGGAAAAAATGAAAGAAATTGTGGTTATTTGCTATCAATTTCACAAAAGCTTATTTTTATTAAGATTTTGTAATGATTTAGCTGCGTACGAGCACGCGAGCTTGAGGTTCATAAACAATTATAACTCAACGACATCATTGTATGACAGAAGAAACAACAAATTGCTGGTAACATTTCGAAATGAAAACATGGTAAGTACATTTATCTTCTGATTATGACCGTATTTGGATATCTTTTTTCTTTCTGAAATAATATGCAACGAATATTTTGGTTATGTTTCAGTCATATGATAGACAACAAAAAAATAGAAAGTGCTTGTTGCTGCAAAAGAATAACAGTTCAATTAGCGAAAACGTACAACATATGATGGTTGAGCCACCTCCTTTTGATATTTATCTATGCGACAACTGTGATGCTGAACTTTACTCTAAAGAAGCTATTCTGGTAAGTTTAATACCTTTTCATATTTAACATCACCAAAAATAAGTGTTTAATTATATATGACTTCTGCGTTACAGGAACACGAAAACATTTGTTGCATGGAAGATGATGTTATACTTTGTGATTCCCCTGAGCCAGATAACAAATGTGAAGGGAAGAACGAAGATATTGAACTGCGCAACGCCTTTCTATTAAACTTTAGCCTGCAATCCAAATTCACTGATAACAGTACATCAAAAGAAAAACAAAAAACATATTCTTTTCATGAAGAAACATCAACGGAAACATCAAACAGAAAGAGGCGTCTACCATCACGGAGAAATCGAACAGTTCATTCATTTAGTAGGTGTTCGTTTATCCCAATATCATCACCTGCAGGACAGCAATTATTAAAATCGACAAAACAAACAAACTCTAAGGAATATGTTTCCGAAAGACAGGAACGCCTGGATCGATTTTGTTACACGCCACTAATTATTAAATCAAACACCAGGCAAAAGTATTTCGAGAAAAAATCAAACACAACCGTACATTGCACATTTAAAAAGTCGCATGAACATAATTACCATATATATTCCTTTCCGCGACGTCAATTTGTTAAACGCAGGGACACTACTGAGAACTTTTTGTTTTTGAATTCTCCCTTGATTAAGCAATGCCGTCCAATTTCAGTCAGATTGAAAAAGATATCGGAACATATAATGGAAGAGCAAAATCACACTGCAAATACTAAACTTAATATAAGACTAACGCGCCACAATTCGCTTAATTCGCATTGGAGGATTTCACCTACTAAGGAAGTGGTTGTTGATACAATTGACTTATGCTCCTCCGACGATGATGAGCAACAAGAAAAACCAATCGGCTCGCCTAAAAGACTGGGTTCGGACGCACTTACTATAATAAAACTTACGCATAACAACAGAAAGTCCAGCAGGCGAGCTATTGAGCCAAGCAAATGTCCTTCTGAGACAGAATCAGTAGTAGATAGTTCTGTTAAGCCCCTACAACAGTCTTTATACATTTTTTCAAATTATAAAGCTAACTCGGTAATTAGTCGTTGCACTGTGGACTCGATATCAAATCATTCATTGGTGAGTTCCTTGAGTACATCGAATACTTTTTCTGATTCTCAAGGACACCGAAAAGAATACAATCAAGAAAACTGCAATTTTTCTAAAAACTTGGTCACACTCACAGACTGGTACGCTCATTCAGCTAATTCGGAAAAGAGCCCAACAAATCAAACTACTGAGAGTAGTACGTTTGAAGCACTTTCCGCGGCTCCGCCGTTCAATAGCACTGGGCGCATAATTTCCATTGATTTAACTTCATAGATATTTTAATCCATAATTAAGTTACCAATTGTTATTTTACAAGAAAAATTAAAATAAGAATTACCATATTTGAATAAATCATTTGTTTAAATACTTTTATATTTAATGTTTTTTGTAATTAATGTAATATTGCAATTATTGTAGAAACGGAAACGGAATTTATAATGCAAAGTAAAAAGAGTACTAGTCAACCCTCATACACCGCTGATAAAAGTATAACAGGAAAAATAGAGATATCTGCGCTCATACGGACAGACAGATGGACATGGCTAGATTGACTCGGCTAGTGTCCTTATCAAAAACATATATACTTCTAGGGTTCGGAAACGATTTCTTCAGCCGATGAAGTACTACGAGTGAGGGATATAAAAATGGTTATCTGTCATGCTCTGAGCCCTATGTCGAATGAATAAGCAAATTTAGCCTGAAATCATTACTGAGCCCATTTTCGACAGAAATTCTAAAGCTTATCTGGGTCATAATGGGTCATGTCATACACTTATTTTGTTATCACCACCAAAGATTGTTTTGGTGTCTAAGGGCCGGTTTCTCGAGTCCCTGTCAAAGTCCCTGATAGCTATCTGTTCGAAAAACTTAAATACCAGATAAACTGTTCGTAATAGCAAATCCGCTTTCTCGACTGCTTTAATTTATCTGAACGAGAAACAATTACAGAGTGCTGTTAACGCACAGAATTGTGCTGTGAAGGGTAAAAAATGGCGTGCTTCGATTATTTCATCAGCTGTTTGGGTATAATTCAAAGGAAAAGTCAGCTGTGATTTCGTTTCTTATTCTTAGTTGGCTTTGGTAAATCAGATGTCATTCTATCGAGCCGAAAACGCTTAACAGGGACTCCGAGTCCCTGTCAAAGTTAGCTCTCACATTGGTGCTCGAGAAAGCCAAAATGCCTTAGCAGGGACTTTATCTGTTCGAGAAATGTTAGCCGGCACTCGAGAAACCGTCCCTAAATGTTATAAAAAACGATTTGCTTAGTCAAATGAAAGAATCTTAGTCTCTCTAATTAAATGAAGCTCGCTGTCTATCCTAGTAATAAAAGAGCATAAGAGAGCAAACAAAATTGTCTGTGTTCCGATAGAGCATTCATGTTAAAATCGATTTAATCGATATTTTTGAATATCAAATTTTTACGGAATCGCTGCATCGTCCCTGACTTCCCAATACTTATTACTATTTTCCACGTTAACTGCTTAGCATATTAGGCGTAGTAGACTATTTTAAAAATTTTTTTTCGATAACTCATGTCGATTGTTTGAAAAATATCGATTTCCAAAAAAAAGAATTTTTAACTCTATGTTCCAGACCGTTGTTATGTACCGTGTGTGTGGTAGCAATGCGCAGGCACAGACAAATCGCATAGCTAAGCAGACTAGGTTTGGTGCCCGCTGACCGATAGTCCAATGCAACCCTTTATCGGTATCTTATTTTCGTTTGTCAAATATAGTAATGGAGCTTACAAAATTTTTTAGTTTTGAAAAACGCATTTTAAGAAATAAAGAACCCATGTTTCCATCAAACATTAGATAAGTTTTTCACAGCTGTCATCTCATCTGGTGTACATCGGCATTAATTAATAATAATAATATAACGTCAAGAAATTTTGAAGTTTTTTGTTGTGGACGACTTTAGGATGAATACCAGCCCTACAAAGAGTGCTTTCTTTATTGTTTATTTTCCTACCATGTAGTAAGGCATACATATTGTGATTTGTGTGATTTTGGTATTATTCGGACCATCATTCAATGGTGGGATGTTCATATTTCACACTGTTCTATTCCATTTTATTCCCAGTGGGAACAAAGATCTGACATCTTTCAAAGTGGAATAACTATTTATGTGTAATATCATTTCAAATTAACAAACGAATAAAAAATTAAAAAAACATGAGATTTCCCTATCGTCGTTAAAATGAAAAAGTGGTTTTTATTAAAATGCAAGGAAGGATTCGGTAATTAATTAAGAATATGTTTAGTGCTAACGATTATTTAATAACATCTTGTAAAAATTTCTCTAATTCATTCTGATATTTTTAATTTAATTTTGCGCTCTATCAGTTAATTTATACATCTTTCGTTTTAATCCAACTAAAAGATGATTTTTTTTTATTGTCCGTGGCTACTGCAGGTAATAGCTCAGCTCAGCTGTTTATTTGATGTCCCATATAGTAATAAAACGGTACAATGTTTCAAGCAATCACAGCTGTTTGAAAGTTGAACAGGAACCATTTAATGTCCGTTCCACTATTGCTGAAAATGCTATTCAGCAATTGAATAGTTTGGGGAATACTCGCTGATATCCTTGAACTGGTTTTAATTTTTAATTGTGGAATCTGACTGAAAAAAAGCCAAGCCGTCAGCACTAAATGCGATATTTTTCACCGAAGCATAGCCGAGTATGCGAAAGTGCACGGGACACCCTGTGTATTAGCGAATTGCTTGCTTTCATATCTATGAATTAGTTTGGGTATGTAAAGTCGTATACAAGAAATGGTGTTTGAAACCGAAGCGATTTTACTGTTCCTCATGGTGTCATCAAAGAAATTTTAGCTGTTTAATAATTGATTGATGAGTGTGTAAGTTGAAAATGTGCTCGTTGTATGCAAATGCTGTGTTTAATCCAGTGTTTAAGTGAAATAAATACCTGCATAGTATATATGCACGTAAAATTTTGTCCAAACGTACGATTGGCAGCAAATCAGTGTCAGACAAGTAAAAGTGTAGTTCTCTGTGATGAGCGGAGCAAATTACTAAAGTTAATTATTGATTAATCTATCGGCATAAGACCGCAGTTTCATACACGCATATGTATACGTACATATCAAGCGTTCGCTACGAGTATGTGTGTATGTACGTTTGGGTGTTTTACTCGTGTATATATGTATGTACATATATATTCGATTTGTATGTAACGACATCTGTGGACAATGCAATGTTTCAAAAATAATTTCGACTGGAATTTGGATTCCAGAAGTTAAAATACTACATTTTTTTTTGCTGATTGTGTATCGCTATTCGTTAATAATCGGCAAGCCACTGCGAGAAATGCACGTTCTGTCATCGATTGATTAAATAAATATTTTATTCGCCGCTTGTGAAAATTCTAGGCTAAAGTTTGAATCAGCTCTTTTAAAGAACTTATCATATTTTGATAAGCATAAGATATGCTTGCCAATTAGCTTCTGTATTCTGTATTTATAATTTAACTTTACTAATGGATCCATATTATAATAATTTTATTTTAGATATTTACATCTTCCTCGTGAAAAGTGGTGTATGAGTTGAGTTCATGGTAGAAGCACTGCGATGATGGAGTTCTTACACCATTAAGCTTAACTTTAGCAAACTTCGAAAGGTGAGTGTGATCAGATCAAAACTGACTCATAATATCTCATATTATTCCCTTTTTTCAGGTTTAAACCATAAACAGGACCCATATGCCTTTTACGACTTAAGTCATCAACATTATTTGCAATGAATGCAACGTTCCATTCATACAGAGATATACTAGCGGCACATCACCAAGACTCATCTAGTCCTGAAAATTTCGCCCCCATAGTAATCGATTATAGAAACTCAAACCACACTAAGGACGCTGTCGAGACCAACTCAAATATCTCATCGTCTCAGCTATCGTTCATGGACGAATCTTCAAACGATTTCAATAATCAACAGTTAATTCATTCTAACTCTCTTATTAAAGTGTGTGGTGGTTGTGGAGGTGAGATTATTGAACCTTTACTCTCTTTACAATACTAAATTTTTAATCTTTAATAACGTATTCCTCTTTTCTTATTTCCTTACAGATAAAATAAGTGATAGATATCTTTTATACGCTTTAGACAGATACTGGCACAATGGTTGCCTTAAATGTCACTGTTGTGGAGCTATGTTAGCAGAAGTGGGTTCCAGCTGTTTTACGAGGCGAGGCCTGATTCTTTGCAAAAAGGACTATTCCAGGTATGAATACGAACGAACACTAAAGTCGGCTATATAATTCCCGCTACTTTTTGCCCTATAAATATGTAAGAAAGGATTTGTACTTGTACTAGAAATATTTAGCTTTTTATCCACTTTATTAAGAAAGTTTACCATGTGGAAAGTTTTATTTTGGTAGATATAAGTAGCAGGTATTACAAGTCGCTGATCTTTACTGTAACATTCTTCTTATTTTGTCTTAAGTTTATTAAAGTTTTCAGATCTCCTAACATCTGAATGTACAAAATAAAATACCAACTAATGTGTTAAAAATATTCTGTATCAAAAATAAAACAAACGATAATTTATATCTTGAACCCAACTAAGAATAACACCTTTCTATTTTCCAGCATGTTCGGCTGCTCTGGAGTTTGTTCTGGATGCGGGGAAACTATACCCCCGAGCGAACTGGTAGCGAAAGCACTTACTGGAATAAATAATATCGATTTACAAAATCAACAAAAACAAATAATTAATTGCGTATTTCATCTAAGGTGCTTTAGTTGTGCTAAGTGTGGATCAAGTCTGCGTCCTGGTGATAGGTATGTATATCAATATACTGTTTTCTAATAAAAGTAACTGATTAAAAATTATTCTTCTTTAGGTATACTATGTTAGGGGCTAGCTTGGTGTGTGAGCAAGATTGGCACAAATTACTTAAGGGCCCCGCCAACTCGAATGGAACGCTTGGACAAAGGAAAGGAAAGGTTGGAAGGCCCAGAAGATCAAAGGACTAATCAAATTTAATGTCACATAAAATATACATATATTTTAGAACATAGTTCATATTTTTAAATTACCTATAAAAATGTAATTAAATCATAATATAAAACAAGTCGTTCTTTTGAGTGAGTTTAACGGGAAAAATAAGTAATTGAAAACTGTTTTTATTATTTGAAACCAAACTAGACTTTGAAATGTAAAAAGACAGAAAAACAATCACTTAGTTATCTTTTTTATTAGGACTCAAAACATTCTCCCAGATATCTTCACAAGAATCAATAACTGTTTGCGGGGAAGACAATTTGTGTTTCATGAAAAAGCCTTGAATTTGTGCAGGACTTGCTGAACGGTTAAAGGAAGTTACGCGTTTGCCGAACTCCTCTACTTTCGTGGGGTCACTATTGGCAAAGAAGTTCTTGAACATTTCCTCCAATTGATATTGCGTACAATAACCGATGTATTCCTTTAAATCTATTCTACCAGGTCGAACTAGGGCGGGATCAAGACGGTCTATGTAGTTTGTGGTCATGAAGACAATTCTGGCTTCTGTGGAACCCACGCCATCCAAACAGTTGAGGAGTCCACTGAAGGTTATCCTGTTCAAACCGTCATATGCGGATTTCTGCTGTGGAGTGGCTTCTCGCGAGACAAACGCTGCGTCAATATCCTCCAGCAGGATGATACTTTGTTCAGGGGCTACATTCAAGAGGTGATTGAGTCGATCGTCGGTGAGGCCTCTTTCGGAAAGGTTGAGAAGGCACACACTGTACTCCAGTTCGCCGGCCAAGGCAGTGATGAAGCTGGATTTGCCACAACCCGGAGGTCCGTAGAGAAGGTAGCCTCTTCGATAGGGAATCCCGCGCTGAGTGTACCACAGGGAACTCTTGATAAAGTCCTGACAGTCGGCAATGATTTTTTCAGACGTTCCACGATCCAGGACCACCGAACCAGTGGGACGCCTCCTTCGAGGATGACCAAAGGGTCGCCACTCCGCACCCATCGCTGTGTAGAGCACTGTCTTTCCTTCGGTGGCTTCCAAAGCCAAGTGTCTAGCCTCTTCCAAGATGTCAAAATAAATAGCCTTGTTGTTTCCAAAGGCTGTGAGGGTCACCGTCTCCCAGGGAACGCCCATGTGAAGGTCCAGGGTCTGCTGTTCCCTGGTTCGCTCCACCTGAATCCAATTGCCTTTGTACTGAAACAAATGCTTGCCGATGCTGGGTATAAAATCATAGCTGGTCTTAATCGTACCATTGTCGTTCTGTACAAAGTTCGTCTCCACGCTCAGGTGCTGCGTCTTGCGGGCTCCTCTGATGGTGATCCACTTCAAGAGCCACTGGTAGGATTTGTCCCTGCACGGCACCTCCAGGGTAATCATGCAGTGTCGCCGGAACAGGATTAAACCGCCTTGAAGACCTTTCCGCAAGATAGCAGCCGCGGCTCCTACTCCAAACAGTCCAAATCCGGCCCCAAAATAGGGATTGGACGACAGACCGGACACAAGATCGGGCAAAGTCATCTCGTCTGAAAAATAAAGTCATTTTTTGTTATTGCGAGTTTGATAGTCTATTTTTTATAATATAATCTTTAAAATTATCCAACTCAAGTGCACATGCACAACCTGTTGGGGTTCCAAAACGAACCCTTCAAATGTAAACAAAGGTGAAACGTTCTGATTAACAGAAATCAGTAATGTAAATATATTCTTTTCAACTGGCATCTTATAAAAAACATAAAACATACTGTTTTTACATAGGAAAACTGTGTTTATTTTAATTATTTTCCTATCTTTAAAGAAAACATATTTGCTAGCACTTCCGTTATGTAAGTAATTGAATTTAAGAACTGAAATGATAGGTTTTTCAGTAAATGTAAAGACCCTCGATTTTTCACAGGATAAGGATCCACTTAATTAGTAACTTGTCATTCACGAAACCAACTTAATATGGTTTTTATAGAAGAAATATATATTTATACCGGCATTGATAAATTGTAATCCTACAGTGTTACCGTTGTTCGACCATCGAAATATACCATGCCTCCAAGAAAAATATACTCGGGGAAATTTAAAAGATACCGCGACATAAAATAAAATTTTTTTTTCAAATTTTTTATAGCTTTTTATTTTCTATTTTCCGTGTTAAAATTTTTTACCCCATTTTGTATACAACTTAAAAATATTTATTCCCCTCTATTAAGTAGACTGTGCAACTAGCACCTTTTCCGAGTTAAGATCTATGCAAATGCAAGAACAATTTTATTGTATCCTTCAATCTTACATTTTTTAATGGTTAAGACGATTTCATATCCATACAAGAACCTAAGGGCGCTGCTCGGTGGCAACAAGGACTTCGGGGTCGCGTGGTCCGGCATCGGGTTGGTCTGAGGTGGATGGGCGGTCATCGTCGTCGTCGTTCCTCGGCGGATCAGCTGGAGCACCGCGCTCCTTGGCCATCCGAAGATAGTGATCGTTCTCCTCGTTGGAAAGAATTTTGAATGGCTGATTCTTGCCGACAATGGCCACAGTGATGTTCTGAAAGAGTCAAGAGTTAAGAGAATGCTTTCGAAACTACCCATATACAAAAAGCTTACAAACTGAGCCGCATTCTCTTTGCTCTGATGCTCATCTGTGGGCAGGGTTCCGAGAATAGCCAGAATGCCGTGGCAGATGATATCATCGTTGGAGCTGTCCAAGAACGTGCCCAGGTTCCGCTCCAGATAGGTGCGTGCACTCTGCGAACGCGATCCAATCGAATTGGCCTTGCAATTGAAAAAGGTCGCCGATGGGGTGACCTGATAGACATGCGGCCCCTTCTCATCGTAGCCAGCGACCAGCAGACCGACGCCATACGGACGGCGATCGTAGCGCTGAGTGGTGGTCTGCATCTTGTTGCCCAGGTTAGTGATCAGCCGGGAGACCGGGTAGGTCGAGTCGTACGAGTGCTTGTAGTTGAGGCACTCGGAACGCAAGTACCGGCTAAGCACACGGGCATCCGCCGTGATCCCAGCAATGGATATGCCCAGGTGATCGTCGATGGGGATTATCTTGCGCTGGGTGGCCGACAGCTCCGAGGTGGGCTTGCACAGGGCAACGAGCACAGCGGTTTCTCTATTTTTCAGACCCACCGTTGCGGTTCCGAGCTTCACGGCCTCCATTGCGTACTCCACCTGGTGAAGGCGTCCCTGCGGACTCCACACCGTAACATCGCTATCGTACTGGTTGCGAAACTGGAAGCAAAGGTGAGTTTGTTACAAAACTGCATAGGTTTTTGCAATAAACACTTTACCATGACTTTTGGAAATAAATGCCGCTGAGCTCAATGATGACAAGTAGAAATGCGCGATAGTTAGTTATGGCCAAGCAGGCAAACAAACAATATATCGATACACAGGACTTGGGTACGGTGAAAAAAGCTTCAAAAATGGAACAGTGGGAAAAAATATCGGTTCTGTTTCGGTCGTTAAAAAACTACATCTTAATTTTAAATTTACGTTTAATAATTATTATTTACTTTCTGTTCTAATTATTGAAAGGACATTACCAGTGGGTTTTCAGAAGCACTACATATCTGGTGAAATATTCAAGTGCTCTATAAATAAGGTAAGTAAAAACTTTATTACCATTTGCGGAGTAAAATTTTAAACCATTTTAAACGGAACTTTTAAATATAAGGGGGATTCCCTAAACTGTTGACTTGCTGAATTGTTGAATTTTGGTCAGCTGTTAATCATCTGTTCCATACAAAGTCAACTTTCAGAAATTTCAGCAATTCAACAGCCTCGGGGCTGTTGAAAATTTTGTTGAATTGCTGAAAATCCAGAGTTGTCACCTTTTTTTAAAAGTCGTGGCAACATTTTAGCATCACCAGTACGCATTATTTATTTTAAAATCAACTTAGAAAGCATATTTGTGGTTCTTTTTACCTTGGTAACACTTTCAGACAGTAACTAGCAATAATAAATAAAATTTTACATGCTTTAAGTTCCGTGAAATTTTTCAACAAATAACAGCTCTTTGAAAATTCAACAGGAACCATTTTGGGTCGTTCCCTTAGTTGCTGAAATTTTTTGTTGAATTTTTAACAATTCAGCAATTCAACAGTTTAGGGAATCCCCCTTATATTTAAGATTTTGTTTGCCTATCGGTGGTTGTTCCAACGTCCATCTGCCTATCGACTACAATCGATTAATCAATAAACCTGATAAGCAGCGGAGTGTTTACACTTAATTGTATATTTCGGTTTTCACTCTCTCCTGTTTTGTTTGGGACGAGGGTTAGTAGCTCCGAAGTTTGCTTCATATATCCGAGTGATTCACGCGTAGACCTCACCGTGTACTCGAGTGAATACCTCTGCTCAAAAGTGAATGCATCAAAATTGTATCGTAAAAAAAAGAGAAATTTTAGTTCGGGCTTTGAGCATAAACCGTGTAATTTGATTAAGTAGAGAACTTATCTAAGGTGACTTCATAGAAATGCACGCACACACGAATCACACCTATGTGCACGAATAAGGAGAACAAAGGAAACATTTTTATTGGTTCGGCGCAATACTAATGTTTACAATTAACGATTTCTGTGGAAGTGATAGCATAGTATACTATATTACTATATTGCGTGCCCTTCATCGGCCACTGCTCGCTGTCATATCTCGTGTACGAGATTGTTTCATGCAGGAGGGACATCCGCTTAACAATAAGCTATCCGCAGCTCAGAAATACAAAATAAATAAAACATCGAGAACGGATCCGCAGAGAATTTCGATTCGCTGATTTCTTATTCCCGACTTACCGATGCGGTTGCTGAATTTGCATGTGACGGTGGAAAAAAAGCAAGCGAAGCAGCTTACGATTCCCCATGAAGTTGTACATAATATAGGAAAACATAATGGAAGTTCCCCCTCCACGACCAGGCTACCAGTTGCATCATCACTTTCACAGTAGCTACATATACCATATACCGAAAGCCAGTTACCGACAATGAGTTTTAGCGCGAAATTTAACGTATCAATGTCAAAGACCAAAACCACTTACCTCCTCTGACTTTTCTGCCTTCGCTACATAGTCACCTAGTTAACCGTCGTTAGGTTTGCGCTAATCAGGAACAAATGGTTCCCACAGACCTCCGATGTCTCGCTTTTCATTATTCATAAGGTCACTATTTTTGAACTATTTTTAATAGACTGCGAGTTCTTTTGATTTGTTGTTCTGCTTGGGAACTATTCCTCCCTTATCACTATGCTTTTTCACGGCAATAAATGGCGGTAGAAAACGTATTATTTGGTCTAAAACTTCAAAAATAGAATGGGTTACTTTGAATTTTGGAAAATTAATTTTTTCTGAACTACTCGTTAATTAAACTCAAGTTTTTGTTAGTTACATTTTACATTTAAAGATTGGATTTTGGAAATAACAGCCTAATTTAAAATATACATTTGTTTAATTTATAGCTAACAAATTTATCGTTGAAAAGCCATTCGCGTATTTTATCATACATTAGTTAAAAATTCCAAACTTATTCGAGGTCTTAAGATGTCCTATACTGGAAGTATAGAACTGCACAGAAAGATTTCGATTTGTAAGTTGACTCATATTTACAAATAAAATAAGATAAAGATTCTCATGACTCATAGATAAAATCACTGCATTCTATGAGTATCATAAGTACAGCTTTACTGAATACCCATGCGCAAGGAACGGATATGCACAAAAAACGGGTTTTTTGACCTAATCATTCGGTTGCGGATGGTCATTCAGTTTTTTTTAGACAAGTCGAATTCGGAATTCCTCTAGCAGATAAAAGTTCAAGCAAAATTTCTCGGATGCGAGGATACAAAATTCCTAAGTCAACATTTGTAACAGATGAATTTAATTTAATATTATTTTAATATACATACCTACAGATGGGACAATACTTCATTGGTAGATTTTTTTTTTTAAATACATTAACGTTTTCATATTTTGTTTCCTTGTGCAATTTAATAACAAGACTCAAAAACCATAGATAAATGAATTGGCTTGAGAACAAAAATAACTGCACTCTTGTATTATATTAAATGGCTATCTTTTGTCGACTTAAAAGTCTTTACAATACATACAATGATGGTGAAATCATACAGGCATTTTCTATTTTTATTGTAGATATCATCAAAATTTTCACAATAAAAAAAGAACAAAAATTCTAATAAGCAATATCTTTTATTTTGGGATATTTTGTTAATTATCGGAATATGTTTTAATGGGTAGGGGGGAAAGGTTATTTTCCAAAAACTCACCCATCCGTATAATATTCATGTACATTGTCTGATTACATTAAAACCACTTCACTTCATAGATTTTGAAGTGTGGCAATAAATCAGTTTATCAATACATTTCTGTAGTAGCAATTCTATTACAAGGAATTGTGCTTATCAAGTTGCAAGTGATTCAACAGACTTGGCTAAACACTTTCGTTGTATGTACATATATGTACAGATATCGGGTGCGAGAATAAATGTTTACTTAATGCGTTCAAAAACGGTTTCTTCTGACTATTGGACACATTTGCATGAACAGTACAGTATAAATGAAGTCAGAAGTTGCCCGGATAAGATTTCATTTGATTGAGCTCTTGCACGTTCAATATACCGAAAAATAAATCAAATAATAATGTAATCCTATCAACGATGATATTGTAAATATTATTAAAGAACGTGCTCTATAATTACAACATTTTGTGTTTACAGATATGCGATTGTGATAAGATGAGTTTAAGAACCCCACTCAGGAGTACTCCTTTTGGAGTACACATCCTCTTCGCTGCAGTTCTCTTTACGTTAATTCAATCATCGAAACAGGTAACTATCATTTGAGTTCTATTTTATAGCACCAATAACTACTTATTAAGAACCCAAACTTTATAGCTTAGAACAATTCTAATTGTGTATTCTATTCAGCATCAAACTATTCAGAAAATTTGTACTAGAGTCAGTCAGGAGAATTGGGTGGGATTGCTACTGCTAGCTTTACGTCATCTGTGCATATGAAAATTTAAAAGCGCGTGAAAGAGTCAAAACAGATGCAAGCCAATTAAAAAAAATTATTATAATAGCCCAAGGTGGCGATAATGACGTTCTTAACCCACGGAGTAAAATTTAAATTTTAAAAATGGTATTAGGGGTCAGCAGAAAGAGATCAACCTGGTCGCTGGAGATAGTCTAAAATGATCATTAAAGTACTGTTCACGTTTTATTTAGATGTTAACTCGCAGAGCTCTATAATCTTTCTTATATTAATTTGTAAATATTTGTGTTTTTAAGGACTGCGTTTGGTACGGCGTATGCAACACGAATACAATTGGGCATAGTCAAAACTGCCCCTACAATGGAACAGCCAAGGAAATGCCTGAAGACGGATTGGAGTTGCTGAAACAACGATGTGGCTTTTTGCTAGAGAACAATGAGAACAAATTTTGCTGCGATAAAAAACAGGTATGAGTATCATTAGTATTGCATTCAATCAACTAATATTTCAATATTGATTTATCATTTGCAGGTGGAACTTTTGAATACAAATGTAAAGCTGGCCGGTAATTTCTTGGACCGATGTCCATCCTGTATGGAGAACTTGGTTCGACACATCTGCCAATTCACCTGCTCACCAAAGCAATCGGAATTTATGCATGTGGTGAACACGAAAAAGAATAAAGAAAGTGAGTAGTAAAACTAAGATCATTATCACGGAATACATATGTTTCGCAATATTATTTTACAACAGCTTCGGCTGAACTATTAAAAGAGAAGGTTCCTTGGATATTTCTTCAAGAATTCCTTCCTATGAAAATTAAGTAAAAGATATAGCTAAAATGATATATTTTTTATTTCAGATATTGATTATGTTAATTCCGTGGATTTGCATATATCGACAGAATACATCAACAAGACTTATAAATCATGCTCTCAGGTACATAAGTCTTGATTCTTGATGAAAAATATTTTTTTTTCTAATCATGGCCTTTCTTATAGGTTTCTGTACCGCAAACAGGTCAATTAGCATTTGATTTAATGTGTGGAGCTTACTCAGCATCTCGCTGTAATCCTACAAAATGGTTTAACTTTATGGGGGATGCCACTAACCCATATGTTCCTTTTCAAATCACGTATATTCAGCATGAGCCCAAACCAAAGAGCAATGAATTTACGCCTCTAAACGTAACAACCGTTCCTTGTAACCAAGCGGTTAACGTAAGTTATACATGTTTCGGTTAAAGTTTATATATGATATGATATGAATTTCGTTTACAGAGCAAAGTACCTGCGTGCGCATGTTCGGACTGCGACCTGTCCTGTCCTCAGGGACCTCCGGAACCTTCTCCTCCAGAGCCCTTTAAAATCGGGGGACTCGACGCCTATCTCGTCATTATGGCAGCTGTGTTCGTTGTCGGAGTCGTAGTATTCCTAATGGGATCGTTTTTATTTACACAAGGTTCGTCAATGGGTGAGTTTTGCGCAATTAAATGTTTCGTCAAAACACGATTTCAATAAGAATAAAAAAACGTCACCAAAACTATTTTTTATACGAAAAGTATACTATAGTATAGCTTTTCTGATAATTTCTCAAATGCTAGATTATAAATTATGACAACATTTTTAGTACTTTCGAAAATAATTCATAATTATCTGAAATTATTTTTTAGATGACAACTTCCAAATCGACGGCAATGATGTTTCTGATGAACTGGCATATCGGGAAAACGATTCGTACTTTGAAAAGCTGGGCGCACAAACAGAGACCTTCCTTGAGACTTTTTTCACGAAATGGGGAACGTTCTTTGCTAGCAATCCTGGGATGACTTTAATTGCCGGAGCCTCCTTGGTTGTGGTTCTGGGATATGGCATTAGTTTTATGGAAATTACTACAGATCCCGTAAAGCTTTGGGCCTCGCCGAATTCCAAGTCCAGACTGGAAAGAGAGTATTTCGATACGAAATTTTCACCATTCTATCGGCTTGAACAGGTAAACTTAACTTGATAGAACTATTAAATTAATCTAATTTTATTTTGTGATAATAGATAATAATCAAAGCTGTGAACTTGCCCCAAATTGTTCACCCAACTTCAAATGGACCCAAAACTTTTGGCCCCGTGTTCGATAGAGATTTCTTAACAAAAATATTAGATCTGCAGGAGAGCATAAAGAACATCGATGCTAATGGCACACAGTTGAAGGATATATGCTTTGCACCCTTGTCAGATGACGGCAGTCAAATCGATGTGTCAAGTTGTGTTGTCCAATCGATCTGGGGATACTTTGCCGACGACCCGGAAAGATTGGATGACCACGATGACGATAATGGATTTAACGTAAGAAAAGAATGAAAACTTTACTATAGAAATTTAATTATATTTTATTTTTAATAGGTAACCTATTTGGATGGCCTGTACGATTGCATAAGTAATCCGTACCTATGCCTGGCGCCATATGGTGGTCCCGTAGATCCAGCAATAGCATTTGGCGGCTTTCTACCCCCTGGAGCTCAACTGACGGGCAGCACGGAGTACCAGTTGGCCAATGCTTTGATCTTGACATTCTTGGTCAAGAATCACCACAACGTAACAGAGCTAGAACCGGCTTTAAAGTGGGAGAAAAAGTTTGTTGAGTTTATGACCAACTACACGAGGGACAACAAGTCAGAGCATATGGACATAGCATTCACTTCGGAGAGATCGATCGAGGACGAGCTTAACAGGGAGTCACAGTCGGATGTTTTAACCATTTTGGTATCCTACCTAATTATGTTCTTGTACATTGCCATATCGCTGGGACACGTTAAGGAGTTCAAAAGGGTGTTTATCGACAGTAAAATCACCCTTGGCATAGGTGGCGTTATTATAGTATTAGCCTCAGTAGTTTCCTCCGTTGGCATTTTCGGTTATTTCGGTGTGCCGGCCACTCTGATTATTGTGGAAGTTATACCCTTTTTAGTATTAGCCGTAGGAGTCGATAATATTTTTATCCTCGTGCAAACTCACCAGCGCGATCAACGCAAACCGAATGAATCGCTCGAGCAGCAAATTGGTCGAATATTGGGTCGTGTGGGACCCAGTATGCTGCTGACTTCCTTGAGCGAAAGCTTTTGCTTCTTTCTGGGTGGCCTTTCTGATATGCCGGCCGTCAGGGCTTTTGCCTTATACGCGGGCGTAGCCCTGATCATTGACTTTTTATTGCAAATAACCTGCTTCGTAAGCTTATTCACTTTGGATACGAAACGCAAGGAGGAGAACCGAATGGACATTTGTTGTTTCATCAAGGGAAAGAAACCAGATAGCATAGTTAGCAACGAAGGTCTCTTGTACAAGTTCTTTAGCAGTGTCTACGTTCCCTTTTTAATGAAGAAAATTGTTCGGGCCAGTGTGATGGTCATCTTCTTTGCGTGGCTCTGCTTCAGCATCGCCATTGCCCCAAAAATTGACATTGGTCTGGACCAAGAGTTGGCCATGCCCCAAGATAGTTTCGTCCTGCATTATTTCCAGTCCTTGAACGAGAATCTCAACATTGGCCCGCCAGTTTACTTTGTCCTCAAGGGAGATTTAGTTTATACAAATAGCTCGGATCAGAATTTAATTTGTGCAGGTCAATATTGCAACGACGACAGCGTTCTAACGCAGATTTACTTAGCTAGTAGGCACTCGAATCAGACATATATAGCCCGTCCTGCTTCAAGTTGGATCGATGATTACTTTGGCTGGACGGCAGCAGCGGGCTCCTGCTGCAAGTACAAAAAGGATACCGGTGACTTTTGTCCGCATCAAGGTGAGTGTGGAAAATAAAATATAATTAAATATAAAATATAATAGAAATAATTTCGAATTTCTTTCAGATACTTCCTGCTTAAAGTGTAACATCACTAAAAACTCCCTTCTGCGGCCGGACGAAAAGGCATTTGAAAAGTATTTGCCATTTTTCCTCAAGGATAATCCGGACGACACCTGCGCCAAGGCTGGGCATGCTGCCTATGGTGGCGGCGTTCGGTATTCCTACAGCCATGAAAGACTGAACATCGAGACGTCGTATTTTATGGCCTATCATACCATCCTAAAGTCCTCGGCTGACTATTTTCTGGCCCTAGAATCGGCTAGAAAGATATCGGCGAATATCACGCAAATGTTGCAGGGCAGACTAATGTCCAATGGAGTTCCTATGGAAACGGCTTTAACGGTCGAAGTTTTCCCCTATTCAGTATTCTACGTGTTTTACGAACAATATTTGACCATGTGGTCAGACACTTTGCAGAGCATGGGTATTTCAGTTCTTTCCATTTTTGTTGTTACATTTATTTTGATGGGCTTCGACGTTCATTCCGCATTAGTTGTTGTAATCACGATAACAATGATTGTTGTTAATCTAGGAGGCCTTATGTATTATTGGAACATTTCGTTAAACGCTGTTTCGTTAGTTAATCTTGTTATGGCTGTCGGTATATCTGTAGAATTTTGTTCGCACCTGGTGCACAGCTTTGCTACTTCGAAATCAGTTAGTCAAATTGAACGGGCAGCGGATAGCCTATCGAAAATGGGTAGTTCCATTTTCTCCGGAATTACTTTAACCAAATTTGCCGGCATTCTAGTGCTAGCTTTTGCTAAAAGTCAGATATTCCAAGTGTTTTATTTCCGCATGTATTTGGGAATCGTGGTCATTGGGGCGGCGCATGGCTTGATCTTTCTCCCGGTTCTATTAAGTTATATTGGTGAGTAAAACTGAATAATAGATCTACTGATTTTCGTAAAATAAATATTTTCTTTGTTTTATTTTCAGGGGCTCCTGTAAGTAATGCTAGAATAAGGTATCATAGCCAGGCTGCTGCTGAACACGAGACAGCACTAGCGGGAATTCTATAAATCAATCCCATAGTTGTATTGTAATAATCTCAAAAATATTTTAAATGTTAACTGGTTAAGGTATAATAAATATTAACAAACAAATGTCGGGTTTTTTATATATATTTTTTGTTAAATTTATTGTTATTTTTTCGCATCAAAATAAAGAAGACTCGAATACCAAAGAAAATAGAGGCCGTATTTCTTTTCAAACTTAACTTGACCCTGAGTTTTATTAAAGGTTTCCTGTTGCTAAACAACAAAATAGAGTATTTTAAAAACTTTTGTACTTTATTTCATCTTGATGGCAGATTTTTAACAAACGGCACAATCTCCGTGATCCATTCGATGGATATTTCAGTGACTTGGCGGAGAAATGTTTGTTCCGTCTGAACTATTTCGGTGAAGAGTATGTAGCTCGGCTTGTACTTTCCATGCAGAACACTTGACGGATGAATTTTGGCCCTAATGTTGCCGGAAACGGTTATGTAGAAACCATCTCGTTGCAACACGGCAATATTTTCAAAGAACCCATTTAGAATGCATTTCTTTAGCATTTCGATGTCATCAGAACTGTTTAGGGCCAAATTAAGTCGCTCGCTTATTTCAGTCAATTGTCGACGAACATTTCGGGCGTAGGTTAGGCTTCGCAAATTTAAGTAGTTGTCGTGACACCACATCTGAAATAAAAACGAAAAAAGCCAGGATAAATATACATTTTCAAACGATTTTATGGCAGGCATTACCTTTGGCTTTTCTGTTTTAGAGAATGCATTAAACACATTCAGTAGTGTTAAATGATCTCCATGCTTAGACTGAAATTTAGCATGAGCTAGGGCAGCCATTTCATTTTTGTCGCTATTCGAGACGAAGACATGATCACTTGAGAGGACAGAGACGAGGCTAAGAATCTCCTCCATGCAGCCGAACGAGGAAGCGGTTAGCAGTAGCTTTGAATACTTCGGATCCAAAGGATACTGCACCATTTGACGACCCAAAGGTGTAATGGTTGACACTGCTCCAACTTTAATAGCTCCCAGAGCCTCTAGACTTTTGTATGCACTCCTCAGTCCTTCTTCGAGCGGAGCGTCTAAGAAGTCGAAATTATTGCAATCGATGTCTAAGGCGAGTAGCTGCAGCACCATTGACGTGGGGTTCGTTCTCAGGATTTCTGGCTGATTGGCATCCGCAAACGATTCCATTTCTCTTTTTGTGTACGCTCTATAGCACGTTCCATCCGCATCGCGACCTGCTCGTCCTGATCTCTGCCACGCCTGCGCCCGAGATATTCGAACCGACTTCAAGACGTCCAGTCCGTCGGCTGAGTTAAAGGATTTCTCCTTCACAAATCCACAATCAATCACACAGCGGATTCCGGGTATGGTAATCGATGTTTCCGCAATGTTTGTGGCCAGTATTACTTTTCGAACGTTGGCCGGTGTCGGTACAAAACACTCCAATTGTTTGCCCTGCGATAGTTGAGCGTATAACGTAAATACGCGGAGATCCGTAGTTCCACTCATGTCGATCTGGAATATTAAGGAAGTTATTTTTATTTTATTTTGATTTATGAGTTTAGACTTACCTTAGCAAGCTGGCGAATTTGTTGGGCCAATGATTCAATTTCTTCCTGCCCTGTTAGAAATATCAAAACGTCATGGCTGTAATATTAAATATAAAATAAAGTTGCAGGTTATTTAAGTGCTATTTAAACAAAATAATTTTCTTTATAGGAATTTCGGGTAGTAAGTATTAAATATAAAATAGGTTTGCAGGTTATTTAAGGTCTATTTACACAAAATTATCTTCATTAAATTCAGATGATAAGTAAAGTGAGAGATTTCGGATACTTAAACACTACATCATGGAACCTACTTTCTCGGAGTGGTGCGATGGATGTGAAAGAGCGTAACCAGCACGGTGTGGACATAGTCCTCGTGCTCCTCCTTGGTGTGCATCACACGAACGGGATAGGTCCTGCCCTCCAGATACATGCCCTTGCAGTTGAAGTACTTGCCAAAGTGATCGATATCCATTGTGGCCGAGGTAACCACTACCTTTAGGCTGCCCAGCTTCTGCTTCCGCCTCTCTTTCTGGGCATCTTTCACTATCCCGAATAACAGATCCGCATTTACGGTTCGTTCGTGAGCCTCGTCCAGAATGATCACTGAATATTTGAGCAACAGCCGATCCCTGATGGACTCTCGCAGCAAAACGCCATCGGTGAGAAATCGGATCTTGGTGTTTTTGGAGGTGGCATCCTCGAATCGAACCGTATAGCCCACCGTGTCGCCGATATTTCCGGATAATTCCTGGGCCACTCGACGTGCGACTGTTATGGCCGCCACTCTGCGTGGCTGCGTGATCCCGATCATTCCGTTCTTGGCATAACCGGCCTGCAGCAGGAACTGCGGTATTTGGGTGGTCTTTCCCGATCCCGTCTCGCTCATGATCAGCACCGTGTCATTCTGTTCCAGTTCCTTCAGGATTCTCTGGCGGCAGTTGAAGACGGGCAACGATCGCTGGTGCTGTTCGATTGAGGTTCTCTTGCTGGTCAGCAGAATTGGTGCTATCGTTTGCCTTATCTGCGGGACATGCGTTTTCTTCTCCAAAATGGGACTGCTTCCCATAGAATCGTGCTTCCTTTTGATGGAGAACTTAACGGGCGATGGACCGCCTGCATCGCCCTTGCTGGTGGCCAAGTATTTCGAGTCCATCGCAGCACGTTTCTGAGCAATAAATGTAAACAAAGATATTAATGTTAAATTTAGGTGTTTAACTGGTGCATTTCTTGTGATTAAGGTTCACTTTTGTCTTTTCCGGCGGTCAAATTACCTGTGCCACTTTTTATAAAGCAAAAAGTAGTCCAATATCCGGAAATATTTTACGAAAACATTAGATGGGACAAGACGAGCAACAGGCGTGCGAATAAAGGTAGGGTTGTCACATATTACCAAAAAGTGAGACCGTAAGATATACGGTATTTTTATCAAAAAAATACGGGACTCACAAAAACATCTTCCAACCCTAAATTTTAGAAATTCGTGTTGATGTACCGTACATCATGTGCATAAGAATATAAATTTGATTAAAAGATATTTCTTTGTACCCCCCGATATGGGAGTTTTTAATTTCTAAAGTTATAATTCTTAAATTTTTAATAGCAACTAGATCATCTAAAAAACTTAATACATTTTTTTTTAAATTTTTAAATTGAGTTTTTTTTTTTAATTTAGTTTGTCTATAAAAGCAATTAGTAAAATAAAATATTTATTTAAGAATATCAAATTGATAATTATTATTAAGGTTTGTTGTATATTTTTTAATGTCTAGCTATTTAGCGGGAAATCCCGCCAAGTTTATAGTTCTATCGCTTCATGTATATTAAGGTTCTCAGGATTCGGTCACATTTTTTAAAAGAACAACAACAAAAAAGAAACAAATTAAAACTTAATTAAAATGAAGTCGGAAAAACTCAAGAGAAACTTTTGGATATCGGCTGAAATCGAGTGTATGCTCGACTTGATAAAGGAAGTTAACAACTGTCAAGGAGCCTTGTCCACGAGCACCACCCAATACACATTCATCCAAATCGCCAACCAGATGAAAAAGCGAGGTTTTCCAAATAAGTCTCCCACTCAAATCCGGAGAAAATGGTTTCAAATGAAGAGTGCTTATCTGTGTTACAAGAAGGGCAACGTTGATCGACTTTTTCTGATTCCCGAGAAATTCCGTAATGTCATCGCCCAGTTTGTAGAAAGCGGTGAAAAAATTGGTCGTTCGAACCTATCCACAATCTCGACGGGAACGGCTCCAATAATGCAACAAAGCCAGGAAGGTAAGTATATTTAAATAAATATATAAATAATATAATATAATAAATATTTATTTAAATATAATAATAAAAAAAAATGTTGCATACTAAAAATACGTACCTTTATTTTAAAGTACTTCCAGAGGAAGACACTTCCGTCATGGATAAATTCATGAATCAAATCCGTAAGAACAATAAAATGATAAATAACGAGTATATAAAGCTGGAGGAATCGCTACAACAATTTGAGCAGAAATGTCAATTTATTCGAGACAGGAATATGATAAAGCTTATCGATGGTTATTAGCTAACTATGTTTTAAATTCTGTACAAACTAGAATAATTATCTTAAGATTATAATAAAAAGTTTTTAATTAAAAAAAATAATATTTGATTCGTATTTTTGTGAAAAATTAACGAATGTTTCCAAAATGATAATTTTTATTTTTAGTTTAATTAAAAATATTTTAGTAAAAAGGTTAAAAACAAAATTTTTACCGATTAATGTTGTCTTAAAGAAATAATCGTAATGAATGAGCACTCTATTTGCACACATCTTCAAACATCGTGACCGCCCCCTTACTGAAATCACTTCACTCCCATAATAACAACAGGTTTTTAACAAAAGTTTATGTAAATATGTACCCGTATACATATTTATGTATCTAAGTTCTTGTTGTGTGCACCTGCCACATTTGTATTCTTAAGAAAAAAATCCAAGCTAACCAAAATGATTTTAAAACATTTGATTATGGAATAAAATACTAAATTTTGTGTAAATAAATTATAAAAACTAAATTAAATCATTTAAATAGTAAATAAACACAGATCTAAAATTATAGGATTTAGGCAGCAATCGGAAAATCCACCATAAGGTCTTATTAGCTTTGGGAAACCGGATCAAATGCGGAAAACTCAATTACTTAATTGCGCTGCAAATATACAAATAGAAATCATTGGTATGTACCACACATTGCTCTTCACAAACTAGTTTATTTTTTCTTTCAAGTGTATGTGCGGATAAAATTGACCAAAATTAAACTTTGCAAAGAGTGCGTATACGAATATAACTTCAATTTATCCAAGATTAAAAGATTAATTAGATTTTAATATTTTTATTAATGTTGAAAAGCAGCTTGAGTGCTTGTAGCTGTGTGCATTTGGTAATTTTTAACACCATGATGTGAATTAATACATAACTCTTTTGTTATTATGTTGTCTTTCTTTGTTGTTATTATATCTTGTACATCAGAGTGAGAACAATATCGATACTCATTTAGAGTCTCAGCTCTGCTCTTCTACTGACCCAGACCTTTTTCTCTTTTTTCTCTCTTGAATTTTGCCCATTGTTCAACGAACCCGTCCCGTGAGCCTGGCTTACACGGCGTTGCCAGACAGTCGTGGTTTTTATTTTTTTTAGGTTTTCTTAATAATACATTTGATTGCTGAATTTTAAAAAATACATTTTTAAAAATTAATAATATGTTTAATTAAGATATCGATCGATTTGTTATTTAATAGATTTTAAAAAACGTACTTTCAGAGAACCATGTTATATATTGTTGGGATCATTTTACTGAGTAGCACTTTGTGTAACTGCCTCGACAATGGTCTCGCTAAAACTCCCCCAATGGGATGGCTTTCATGGGAAAGATTTCGATGTAATACAGACTGCGTAAACGATCCAGATAATTGCATAAGGTAAATCAATAACTTTATTTACTTAAATATATAATCCAGAAAGGTTTCTTGTTTTTTAAATTTTATTTATTTTTATAATTTAGTGAACAGTTATTTCAAACTATGACCGATATTGTCGTGGCTGATGGATATGCATCTGTGGGCTACGAATATATAAATATTGATGATTGCTGGTTAGAAAAGCACCGCGGTCATGATGGAAAATTGGTAGCCGACCGCAAACGGTTTCCCAATGGAATCAAAGCTTTATCTGACTATGTGAGTATTTAAATGTAATATTATTGATTGATTTTGATTTTAAGATCCCACAAATCTTGAATAATAATTTTGACCGTGGTGAAAGATTTATAGAATCTGAAGATTTTGAACATTCTTTCAATAGATTCATTCCAGAGGCCTCAAATTTGGAATATACGAGGACTACGGGAATTATACTTGTGCGGGTTATCCTGGTATTATAGGACACGAAGAGAAGGATGCACTTCTATTTGCAGAGTGGAATGTGGATTATGTAAAAATAGATGGCTGCTATGCGCTACCTTTAGACATGGATCTGGGATACTCGACATTTGGAAGGCTTTTAAACAGTACAGGCAAATCGATGGTGTATTCGTGTAGCTGGCCGGTGTATCAGATTTATGCTGGAATACAGCCAAACTATTCAGCAATCCAAACACATTGCAACCTTTGGAGAAATTATGATGACATCCAGGACTCTTGGGCGTCTGTTGAAAACATAATCGATTATTATGGCAATAATCAGGATTTAATAGCTCCAAATGCGGGACCTGGGCATTGGAACGATCCAGACATGGTAGGTTTGTCTTTTTGAAAGAAAGAGTTCACCTGTCTGACTTTTTCTTTTGAATTACAGTTGATTATTGGAAACTTTGGACTAAGTTATGAGCAGGCAAAAACACAATTCGCAATTTGGTCAATTTTGGCTGCTCCACTTTTGATGTCAGTGGATTTAAGAACGATTCGTCCGCAATTTAAGCATATCTTACAAAATAGGAAAATAATCGCTGTGGATCAAGATCCACTTGGAATACAGGGAAGACGAATTTATAAGCACAAGGGAATTGAGATATGGTCCAGACCCATTGGCCCACTCTACCAAAACTTTTACTCCTACGCAATCGCCTTTGTTAATAGAAGAACGGATGGAACTCCTTCAGATATATCAGTTACTTTAAAAGAGTTGGGACTTATCAATTTCTCTGGGTACAGAGTAGAGGTATGTTTTTAACAGTGTTTGCAATTACTACTCCGTAGTAGCGAGATGAATACAAATATTGCTATGCTATTGCTATCGCTCTCTTTTTGACGAGAGCCGTAGCAGAGCCATAGCAAAATAACGAGAAAGTTTGTGCTCTGCTCTGCTCGTAGTTTTGTCGCTTCAGAAACTGTAGCAATAGCGGTAGCAGAAAATCAAGTCCTGTGCTCTGTGTAGCAGTAACGGTAGCAAAAAATTGATAGCGAGATGAGAGCAGAGCACTTGCTTTTTTCATGTGCTACGACTCTCGCTTGCTTCTGTCAGAATAAAGTGGTTTAAAATAATAAAAAAAATAATAGTATTTTATTCAAAAACTAAAAATCAATATATTATATTATATTATATATAATATTCGTTTTTTATTGATTTTTAGTTTTTGAATAAAATACTATTATTTATTTTATTATTTTAAACCACTTTATTCTGACAGAAAATATTTTCTTTCTCATTCTGGCAAAGCGACAATTAAAAAGAAAACGCTGCATAAGAAAGGTGCAGAAAATAAGAAAACTAACACAAGCGAGAGTCGTAGCACATGAAAAAAAAGCAAGTGCTCGGCTCTCATCTCGCTATCAATTTTTTGCTACCGTTACTGCTACACAGAGCACAGGACTTGATTTTCTGCTACCGCTATTGCTACAGTTTCTGAAGCGACAAAACTACGAGCAGAGCAGAGCACAAACTTTCTCGTTATTTTGCTATGGCTCTGCTACGGCTCTAGTCAAAAAGAGAGCGATAGCAATAGCAAAACAAAATACTACGAGAGTAGCGTAGCTTTTCAAACGCTGGTTTTTAATATGATTCTCTGAAAACTGTGCTTCAAATATATAATTTCTTTTCTATTCTTATTCAGGACCTCTACGAAAATGTTGACTATGGTGTTTTATATCCCAACACCAAAATCAAAGTCAAAGTAAACCCCTCTGGCGTGGTTATGCTGAAGGGAGAAGTTCAGTACCCAGTTGACTTGTAAAACCGTTTGTTAAATGAGATTGCCTTAAATTAACTTTAAATTGATACTAATTTGTCAATAAATTTTAATCCACCCCTACGTGTTTGTTTAGCTTTAATTTTTAAAAAATTCCCTTTTTAACAGTCTGCATTTTAACATTCAGTTACAGTCGCCATTTTCAATTATTACGGTCTACGAATTTGAAAACCGGACCATATCGCTTTAGTATTTTGCCTGCATGCGAGTACGGTCACACTCGGTGCTGGCCAAAAAAAGAAAAGAAGTGAACAATTGAAGCTGAATTAATTGAATTGAGAGCAATTGCTGCGCTTGGCAGAGGAGCAGCTGAGCAATGCAGGTGTGATCCGCTGGCCGGGCGCCGAGGCACAACAGAAGGATGCACTTTTCCATACCGGACACCCAGGAGCTGGGCTCCTCGCCCACCTACACGGCATACAACATACACATCAACGGCAGCCGCCACTGCGTCCTGCGCTACAAACAGCTGCACTCCCTGAACGAATCACTGCGCAGGCACTGTGTGGGCGTTCCCCTGCCGCCCTTCCCCCCGAAGCGCCTCCTGCCGCTCACCAGCGGCCAACTGGAGGCGCGTCGCAGCTCCCTGGAGCAGTACCTGCAGGCGGTGGGTCAGGACAACCGCCTGGCCAGATCCGCCCATCTGCAGCACTTTCTGCAGCGGGCCCAACTGGATACGGCGCTGGCCGAGGGTCAGGTAACCAGCGATTGCGAGGAGCAGCCGCTGGAGGTGCAGGTCTACACGAATCCCGCCAGCGAACGCATCCTGGTCAGCTGCTCGGTGCAGCAGAACGCCAGTGCCCTGCTGAAAAGCGTCTGCCGGGATCTCCAGCTGCCCGAGGAGCTGGTGCGCTTCTTCTGCCTGTTCCTAGTGCGGCGCCCGCGGAAATCCGATGAACTGCATCTGGTGCGTCGCCTCATGGACTTCGAATCGCCGTACATAACGCGTCTGCGCGTCCAGCCCTGCGATCTGCTGCTTCGTACCTGCTACTGGGACTCGAGTAGAGATGCCAAGCTCACCGGGAACAAGGTGGCCCTGAATCTGCTGTATAGCCAAACCGTGGCGGATGTTCACCGCGAGTGGGTGGTCATCTGTTCGCCCGGCGAGGGTCGCCAACTGAGCAGCCTGCAGATGCAGGGAAGAGCGCGAGAGTACATGGAGCTGGTGCGTCAGCTGCCCTCCTACAACTGCCTGCAGTTCGACGAGGCACAGGTGGACTATCCGGAGGCGAATACCCTGGCGCTAATCAGCATTGGCAACAAGGAGTTGGCCCTGCGCACGGCGCGTGGCGCCAAGATCTACGAGACCAAGTTCCGGGTGACCAGGATGCGGTCCTGGCGCGTCAGCGTCACTCACAATACATTGGAGTCGCGTCTGCAGCCCTCGCACCTTCAGCTGGCCTTCGAGTATCTCATTGGCAAGCAGACGCTGCGCTGGATAACCATCAACAGCGAGCAGGCCATGCTGATGTCCGTGTGCCTGCAGGCAATGGTCGACGAGCTGTTACAGAGAGGAGGTGAGAAGGCGCATCCCGGCAGTGACGACGAGCAGACGGCAGTGACCTCCGCCTCATCGACGCCCAGCTCAACGTGCTCCACGTCAACGTGGGCATCTTCCTCGTGCTCCACGTCCACGGCGCCCACAACGCCGCCAGTTAGGTTTCTGTCCGAGAACTCGGCTCCTAAATCCAAGCCCAGGTTGACCACCTCTCGTACGTTTGGAGCCGTTTTCTTCCGCAACGACGTAGTGGACAATGGAGCAAGGGTGGCCAACGAGGCGTTCGAAGGCATCGGGGATGATGATCTATGAATGTGCTAATGCGCAGTGCTTGCCGTGAGTTGCCAAAACGAGTGCTCTTTTGCAAGGAAAGAGCCGCCAAACTAGTTTAAATCCCACACAGGCAGCTCAACTCTTTTGACTAAGGTTGACAATTTTATATGTGTGTAATACAAAGACTTTATTCTCTCTGCTACTTGCAAATGTTACGAAGTCTAAATTAAGGTTTAAGGCGTATTATCTGTTTATTGGATGAAAGCGCTGAATTGTGGTGTAAAGAAATGAATGCTCAAGATGAATGGCCCGTTTTACCTTCATTACTTATATCTACATGTTGAATTATTGTAAATGATCTGTAAATTAATATTCGACGACGCATTTTATCTCTTTTTCTTATCATTTCCTGTATTGTAATATATGTACGTGAAACTTTCTTTATTTTAGAGATAGATGAGAAGAGAATATGTTATGCATTTTATAAAAATAAATGTACTGATAACTATGACGAATGAAATGGATCCAACTGGATTTTACGGAAAAAAATATGTATGTACATTCCCTAATCTGTTGAATCACTTCCAAATAAATGACGACAGCGTTTGACTAACGTCTTAAAAAAACTTTTTAGGAATATAAACAAAAGAAACGAAAAGCTTTTATGGTAAACTTGTTTTGGGTTTTCCTAGTTTAACTCGTTTTTGGATATATATTAAGAAAAATTATTTAGTAATATTCATTGGCCTATTAAACGATTTTAACTATTTTTTTTTTTTTTTTAATACTAAAGATTAGCTTTGGTATACTTAAAAAACCGTTGAATATAAAACTAACAATTTTACCACAATTTTTATAAATCAATTCTAAACTATTTTGCTAAAAACAACGTGTTTATGTTTTCAAATTTCAAGAAAATATATGAAAAGTACAAGCAAGTAATTTTATAACAAGAAAGGAAGCTACCTTCGGCCAGCCGAAGCTTATATACCCTTGCAGATAAAGTAATACTCACTCGGTGCAGTTCCAGGGATTCCAGATTCAGTGTTCCTATTTTTGAATTTTGTTTTTAAGTAGTCAAGAATTAAAACGCCTACTTCCTACAAATTAACAAGAATTTTCTTATATATGTTTGAATATTTCTATGGAAGCCTTAAGATATAGTGGTCAGATCCGGCTCGCTTCGACATATGTACTACCTGCAATAGAAAGAAGACTTTCGGGAAAGTTTCATCGCGATAGCTTTAAAACTGAGAGACTAGTTCGCATAGAAACGGACAGACGGACAGACGGACAGACGGACCGACGGACAGACGGACAGACGGACAGACGGACATGGCTAGATAGACTCGGCTATTGGTGCTGATCAAGAATATATATACTTTATGTGGTCGGAAACGTCTCCTTCACTGCGTTGCAAACATCTGACTGAAATTATAATACCCTCTACAAGGGTATAAAAATATTTTTTTTAATTTGAATACAACAAAAAAAATTAATTAAGATTGTTTAAAAACAAAAAGGGTATTCCTTTCGATTCGAAAACCCGGTGCTTTAGTATATTTTTTGGTATATTTAAACCAACCCAGCTGCGGTCACACTGCTGCTAAAGAGAAAAGATTCGTACGGAATATAAATAACTTTTCGACGATAAACAAGACCACTTGGAGGGCTTTATTTTACACAAGGACCCGGCAATATGGATCGCAATAACGGGTAAGGTAACGGGATTGCAGCATGGGACCGAGAAGCGGAACTTTTGCCCGAAATGAGCCTGTGTGCGTCAACGACAAAAGGCTGTGTTTACACACATACGCACATCCACGGGTATATACATGGCACGTCTGTATGTCCGATCTTCCTCTTAATACCCGTTACTTCAATTTTATTATAAGAAAAGCTGTATTAATCGTTTCAAAATATTTAACAACAAAACGGGTATGACCTTATTTATGTTAGTTGCAATCAGTGTGTTCTACATTTAGAATGTTAATATCTTGGAATCCATATTGGTTTTATCAAGGCTGTTGTGGTTTTGTACTAAAAATCCCTAAATCATTAAAATCTCCTCAGATTTGAAATCTCTTTTTAGTATGCAGTGAAAAATGGGCCACTATCTTTTTGATTTAATCACTAGGACTTCGCGACTAAAAATATATTATAGCATACTTTTGGACACATTTATAAAGAGATTTAAAATCGCTAGGGATTTCATGTCATGTCATGTCTCACGAGTCCTGAAGCAGTAATGCGTTTTTTGTATTGTTGTTTTAGTTTTCTATTATAAGTTATAAGATTTGTTACTCGCCATCCTGTTATGTATTCAAGTTATTTGTTCCTATTTGTACTATACGTTTTATAGCCATTAAGTTGGCTGATTAATGTAAATTATATGAGTTACACTAAAAAAAAAAAAAAAAAGGAATTTCAGTGTCTTGATATATTTAAAATATTTCATGTAATCTTCTCTTATAGACGGTATCCCTACAATATAAGGCGCCAGAACAGCGGACACAATCCGTCGCACAGCTACCATCATCACCACAACAACAATTCGGTTGCGGGGGCGTCGAATTCTCCGGGCTACAACAATCACAGCGCCGGAAGCTCTCCGTCCGTCGGTGCGCACAACAACAGCAATGCTCTCTATGCGACAGCCGCCGGACAACAACAACAACAACCACAGAGCCTGCCCATCTCGCAGCACGACGAGCTGATCCGATATATCCGGGAGGCATGGAATAAGGTAAGGTCGCCGTTACTCGGAACCAGATGACCACCCACTTGTCACCGTGCTTCGCTTTTTGCCCTTTGAAAAATGGGAACCGTAGACAATGAGTCAGTCGTTATTCTCATTTCCAATTTCGATAGTTTTTTCGAGAAAAGGGAAGGGATATAAAATTTAAATCAGAGTTGCAATACATTTCTGATCAATAGATCATTCTTTTGATAAGGTATGTTCACTTGATCAAAAATTAAGCTTAAAATAACTCATAAAGGTGACTAAGAGTTTGCCACACTCTATTCTTACCTCATAGTACTCTTGGTTTTTTAAAGAGATTAAAATTTTGTAAAGGTATTATTATTATTTTAAAGGAGTTTACATATTTAACCTCCATTTGAAAAATCTTCAGAAAACTTCTATTGAGAAGACCATTTTATTTCGCTAGAAAGTAGCTTTTTAGCTCATAATTTTAATAATCTCGGCAGACCTACTATCTATATATTTTAAAAAATAATTTCGAATTCTCGACACACTCGTTTGGAAATAAAACCTTTGAGGATTTCGGGTCCTGGCTGAAATTGTCGGTTGCTCTTCATGCTTTGCTTTCGTTGCAGGTCTATGAACAGAGCCCACCTGTGCTCTACTGCAACGAATCTGATAATCAGCTGAAAAACTTCAAGCCATTCGATCTGGAGGAGTACTGGGGCCAGCGGCTGGTGCAGAACATTCACGTGACCACCACGCAGGCTGGGGGACACCAGTAGAAACGGGAATCTTACAGCGGACAACGGCATGTGCTTCATGTGGTAACAATTAATTAAATTATACATTTAAAGGGGTGCCAGCTCCTCCCCCCGATTATTGACTAGTTTCCATGCGATTGGAATTTACATTTATGTGTTTGTTTGCGACCTGCTTTGGACTTATATTGTGTGTAAAAATTTATTAAAATCCACTGCCAGCTGAAAGGCAAATATTGTATTCAATAAAGCGACGATTGGCTAACGATTTTACCCCAATGGCACCCTGAATCTAGCATGCTATCTGCATTTAAGTGTTGTGCATTAAGCGCGCTTAAAATTTGACCAGAACAACAATAAACAATCTAGATCGTAGACAAATTGAAAACAGTCCTGTGTATTCATTTAAGGGAATTTTATAGCTGCATAATTATTTTGGAGATTGGTATGGCAAAAAGTATAGAAGAGATATAATTTACTGATGTCTACTTAAATCCAACTCCAGATTTACAGAATATTAAAAATCTGTGATGGGCAAATTCTTTGAAAAACCAGTGAAAATTAGTCAAATTCTTCCGATTAGATACTATGTTTACTAATAATGGATTGTTAATCAACGTAAAATCCGTACTGCGAAATGGATACGCTTTCATTTTTTTCTAGACATTCAAAGCAAAAATACAGAAGTTGTTTTTAAAGTTATTTTGCAAATTTAGAATGGTAAGTATTATTTTTTTGGTTTAGTATTGTGAAAAGTGCTTCAGTAATGCAGAATTTTAATTAGAAATTTGCCAGATAGGAAACCTTATAAATTCATCTGATTAGTTCGGCTCTCTAGAACATAATCCTACTAATAACAGGATTTTTTCACTAAAAAAATCAGAAATATCACCTTCTCGAAGCGAAAACACTGCGTTTTTGTACTGAACGGCAATTGCGTGGGTTTATAAAAGTAACTTTTATTTTCTCTCACTGCTTACATCGTACCGCTGCTGTTGTCGTTGTTGATTCAGCACATGGATCGCGCGGATCCCTTAGACCATCTTGCGCAGCAGACGGTTGATCTGGTCCTCGCGGTTGCCGAAATCTCCGCCGTTCACATAATGGTTGGCCTTCTTGCGCCAGCCGCCGGTGGGCGTGTTGAGCTTGAAGGGCCACAGGAAGTTGGAGGCGTACTTGAAGTTGGGGCCGACGGTGAAGATCTCGTGGACGAGATCCTCGACGCACTGGATCTTGTGCGCCTGTCGCAGCTTCCGCTCGATGACGAAGTTGTCGGTGATGGGCACACGCTGGCGGCTGTGCTTCACAAAGCCGCGCTTGTAGATCAGCTCCCGCACGGACTTGAGGTTGGGGTAGCCCCAGGTGATGTAGGGCTCGGCGATGCGCAGCATGTTGATGGTGGCCTTGTTCAGCTTGATGAACACACCGTTGTTGATCTGCCGCAGGCGGAACAGCTGCAGCACCTTACGGACCTTCGGGGCCACCTTGTTGATACTGTGGGAGATACGAATTATAGCAGAAGCTGGAGGGGATTGGCGTGGCCTTGACTCACCCGCGGATACGGACAACAAAGGCCAACTTGGCCTCGGCGGGCACGTAGAACTGGTTGCGCTTCTTGGCCAGGCGGCGCAGCTTGATCTCGCGCTGATCGGCCTTGATGTACTCATTCTGGTACTTCTCGGCGCGCACCAGATTCTCCTTCTTGCGCAGGGCAATCACGGCGGCCTTCTTCAGGCGGCGCTTCGACTCGGCAACTCGCTTCGAGATTTGTTTCTTGCTGAACTTCAGCTTGGATTCCGGCACAGCGGGCAGCTTTTTCGCTGCTGGCTTCTTGGCAACCGGAGCAGGCATCTGTGGGGGGCACAAGTATGTTCCATTTGAGTGGTTTCCTCTCAAGTTTGGGGGTATTTTTATTGAAAATATCGCACTAACCTTTTACTAGTCACTGCACACGCTGGTAAAAGAAAGGGAAAGAAAGACCGGAAACGTGGTATACGCCATGGACGAGCTGTCAAATCGGCTCGGTGCAACCCTGCGTTCAGTGTTGCGAGTTGCGGGAGAGCGTGACACGCGGCCTATCGGCCAAGCGGTCACACTGGCTGGGCGGTTGGGTGTTATCGAAGGGGAACCATCTCTGGCGGAGCAACAGGAGATTGCGCGGAATTTTGGGAATTTCTGGAATTGAGGTAGGTTTTTAATTATTCTGGATTGTCTATAATAATAATAGTGTCTTGAGTGGGTTGAGGGGGTACTTAATATGGCCTGGTTTTTGTATTGCGTTGCCACAGCCGATTTCATTTCGGATATAAGCAATTTCAGGGTTCATCTCCGTTGAAGATGAATTGCAACTGTAAAAATGTTTGTAATTTTACCAATTTCCAATGAACCAAGTGTGCTGTTTACAATATGAAACTATTAATTGAGTCCTAGTTTTCAAATCAACTATCCATAGTTTATATACATGAAAATGCAGGCTCTAATTTGTAAAATATTCCATGTATTTCAGGTTATTTGGATGCATTGACGATACTGACATTACCAGTCAAAAACAAACGCATTTAACTAAAATAAATCACCGATATGAACTCCACACAAAACCCCGTTTATCACACCTCCGTTGAGCAGAAGCGACATGCCCAAGATGTGGCCAAAAGGCAGCGAATGGGAATGCAGATGCCCAAACTTCGTGAAATGCTGCGAGAGGTAATAACAATAGTACTCCCTTTGAAAACCCCTTATCAAATCTATTATAAACCCCACAGAAGTACCGCAAGCGCATTATCGAGACCCGCCATAAATGCACGGATGCCAATAGGGAAATACAACTGGTAGGAAAAAGGGATTACCAAAGTCTTACCCATAGATAACCCTCCGTTTTTTCCAGTCCGAACTCAGGGAAATCCTTCGTTTGGAACTGAGCGAATTGGAAAAGGATGTGGAGCTAGAGGAGCTCATCCTGGAGGAGCTGCTCTCCGATGTGAACGAGTGGTATGCTCTGGGCGAGCAGAATCTGGAAACTCTGTACGCAGAGGCGGATGAGAAGCCCAAGGATGTCCTGTGTCCAGTTTGCCAGATTAAAACCCTAAGACGCCACAAGGGCTCCTTCATCTGCGAGTGTGGCATCCAGTTTGAGCACTCTGCCAATGTGGAACAGTTGCAGGTACTTCTACAGCAGCAAATCGCCAGCCACGAGCTAAATTGCACTCAGGCCCTGCGATTCTTCATCGAACCCTCTTCGGGACACCTGTACAACATGTGCGGCAGCTGCGACTACTTTTCCTCCGTTTAGTTAGTCCCTGGACCTTGTTTTCCAGTCGCTGGCGTGCTATAGTATACGATCTTTAATGTTAACTCATTTTGTTAGTAAAGTAAGCAAAGCTATTTTTGTTCTTCGGATATAAATTAGGCAGTTTTTACGCTTATCAGTTTCCAGTGACCCACACAGATCCGTTCTCATTTAATTTGGAATCTTTCCCAATAGGAAATTACAAAAATTATTATACACATATACGATAAATCTTATGTAACCTCTTTTATATTTGTTGCTCTAATAGAAATTCAAGCTTAAAAACAGTCTTATATTATTATCATTCAGTCATTCATTGTTATTATCACACATTCTTTTTCATTGAAGAAAATCTTACAAAAAGAGCTATATCTAAGAATAAATTTAATTTGAAATTATAAGGCCTCTTCCGATTAACAATTTTCATCATCACACATCATAGTATTAATGTTAGTGCATTCAATATTGCCAAAAAATTGTAAAACAGATTTTTTTAAAGTAATAGCTAGAACAAGGCTGTATGAAAATATATTTTGGAGTGACACAGATGTACAATCTTCCAACTAAATTATGTTAAAATTTATGCGTACATTTCAAATAATCAAACATACATGATAACTAATTGATTACAACTTTTGTTCTTTAGGCGTTTTAGTGAAATATATGGGTCGTTGATATCAGTGGCTAGCCTCCCACTCCCCCAACCGCCTCGATGTGGGAAGAGCTTTTCCCCATCGCGCACGTGCGCGATCCCCCAGATCAGTGCAATATCTTCTCGAGTTCGGGCGGCTGGCTCTTCGTGATTTTTCCGGCGTGCGAGAGTCTGCTTAGTGTGCCGCCACGCTCGGTCGAAGTCGGTTGGCCTTTTCTTCTCTCGAAGTTTTCTTTATCGCGGGAAACGTGCGCCACCACCATACATATCTCTTGCAGCTATTTTGTTTATACAGAAATTACTTAAAAGAATAATAATTGAATGGCAACTGGGGACGCGACGGGCTCTCAGTTGGAGGCGAATGGAAATTAATATTGGATCCATCGCGATCGCGCATAACACATATTGCGCCAGCAGTAATCGCAGTGCATATTCCCCTGATTGCGAAATAGTTTGTTTATATTGAGCGATTCTGTATTTGCTGCTCAACCTGTTGTACGCAAAAGTTTGAAAGTGAATGCCTATAGAATCGGATTTAATTGCGGGCGATACAATACGATACAAAGAAGTGTACAAGAATATACATATGCGCAACGGGAGGAAAATATTTTGAAATGAAATCACAAAAGTGAAATCTTTGCAGAGTTTCAGACCCGGCGCCTGGTGAAAACGTTGGCAAACATCATTCAATTCTGGCCATAAGTTTCGGTTTTATTGGCCATTATGAAGCAGTTGTTCAATATAATACACTGTGATCATTTGAATGGGCATGTACGCTCTATTTATGATAATTTAAATACAGATGTTTGTGGCATTGACCGTGTGAGGCGTGTTTTTACGTGTTTGAGCATTTTTCTGCTGCTTTTCGGATGGATATTTGTTTGGAAAAGATACAAAAAGTGAGTTTCATTCAGTACGAAATTTTGCCTATATAAACTCTCTAAATATATACCTATATTATATGGAACTTTGCTTTTTTCGATCGCCCTTTACTACAACTTGGCCTACAATTGCTGAATTGACATATTTTAAACTAAAATTAAAATGTTTTTGCCTTGTTTTATTTGTTTTTCGACCAAGTATAAACATATACTTGCTTTGTTTACAATGAGCGGGTGCTTTTCGCCTTTAAATTGTGCAAAAGGCATGAACTGAAATCGGGTCAGATGTAATTAGCTCCTTTGCCAATCATTCTATGTGAGCATCATCAGAAGTTTTATATCCAGTTTACTCCTTGGCCAATTACGACCAAAATAAGAATGTAAATAATGCCCACAAATGTACGTATATGTATTAGACAAGGAAATGAGCACATTTGTTTAAATTTAGCACATGCGTTTGTAGATTATACGAATTCTGGAGAAATGATGAGTGAGCCAGAGTATTCTACCTCTATGCATAATCGGCCCGAAAACTCACCAGTCAACATTTATTGCCTAAGATAACATAGCCACTAAATTAAGTAGATCATTTTTATGTTTTTGCACGCACTTAAAACCTATTTGCATACTTATTTATTGTATGTTTTTTTTTTAAACATTTATTTGAGTATCAATAGCAATTTGTGACCTCTACTATTTTTTAATATTTACAATTGTAATTGAAAGAAAATCTTACCTTTTACGGAATTTATTTATATACGTAATCTTTCCCGTATAACTTTAAAAACCACTTAAAAACCAATAATTGATTTCCGGACCTCAAGTGCATACGCCATTGAAAATCATATGCACCCCGCAGCGAAATTAAAATGTAATCAACTTAGCATTCCGGATTCGAAAAATAACGCATCGCGTGCCAAAGTATTCTCAATGGGAAAATCTCAATTGGATCTGCAACGCACTTTGCGTTAAGGGCGCATTCATATAAATAAATATGTACGAGTCTGATACACGAAATCAATATCATTAGGAACTGCAGTTAATTATAGAAACATGGCTGCGCGATATCTATGATTTATTATGCTCATTTTATAAAGTGGTTCCAGAGGAAATCTCCAGATGCATAGTTCCCTGGAGACACCCATTTAAAATATGTTTAATATACACATAATCATTTTGTTTTCGTCGGTTCAGCAAATTATAGGCGGTATACATTTTTTTAATGATATAAATCCAAATAAATTTATTTTTGTCACGCTCTAATTTAAAAACAATAAATAACACAGGCCGACAAAATGTGACATGGGTCGGTGTCCAGGCCTGCCACCATTTTATTTCGATAAATGAAGCTTTTTTACGTAACTCATAACTATTTTTGAGCACAAGTGACCCTTGCTTTAAAAATATTTATACATGGGCGTAAGCTAAAAGCTGGAGGGGGATTACACTTCAAGCATTTCAGCCCCCAAGGATTAGTAGGCTACGCTCATGTGTTTATACTCAAAGCAAAACTACTTAGATTGTTTAGAATTATGATATTTAAAATTGTGACAGGTTTGGGCACTGTTTGTGAATCGTCACTGTGAAGGAAGTAAGAAAAACCATTTTAAAAATTCCAAAACAATACACAAAAACCTGATGAGTGTCCTAAAAATTAGGGACATAAGGTGTCTTTGGATCAAAAATGCATTGTAGAAGAAAATATTTTTATTTAATTTTTAAACGCTGTTCACAAATGAAGATTTTTAAACTTTGCTGTGACTTTAAAATTTTAAATGCGCCCACCTTCTCTTGTGGTTTAGTTAGATTAAATTTTCGAAAACGACCGTATAAAAGAGACATGTAACTATTTAATTCCGAAAAGATTACCAAAATTGGTTGACCACTCTTGAAGATATATCCCAAAAGACAAAGAAAATTTGTGATTTTCTTAAATTTAAGATACCGCAAATACCAGAGCTGATGGACTATAGGCGTAGTGGCAACTTATGCTTAGAAAAGCCTCATTTATCGAAATAAAATGGTGGCAGGCCTGGACACCGACCCATGTCACATTTTGTCGGCCTGTGTAATTCTAGAGTTAAAGGGACAATAATACAATGTAATACCGTTAACAAATGGATACATTTCTTCAGTCTCCCATATTATTGATATTAAGTGGCAAAGAAAATTTAAAATTGTAAATAAATATCAACCGTAAATAGAAAACTAATAGCTCAATGGTGAACGTTCACAAGGTTTGCTAATCCTATTCTTATTAAAACTCGACTTTCCAATGCAGATGCCATAAAACATTACTAATATTCCACAATGGACGTGCGGCGATTTCCCTGCTCCTTTTGGCCGTGAATAGTCTGGATTTGGCCAGGAACTTTCTTCCTCAGCAAAATGTTCGTCATCTGAACGAACTTTTCGAGGGGAGCCCCAGGGATCTGAATTATTTAGTTGTAATTGGGTCGGGAGAAGTGTGGAATGCACTTTTCTCCACATGCTTAACTCTTATGCTAATGCTGTATCATCGCATTGTGGAGCGAAAGAAGTCGACAGGTGAGGAGGGTTTTGCAGATCCCCAAGGTCCTTGTGCACCTGTCCCATTAACTTTTCCCCGCAATTGTAGTGTTTCTGTATGCCAGTACTGCCGTGGAGGTATTGGCATTTGCCCTGCTCTCCAATGAACTCTTTGAGTTGGGGCGCTACGAGGATTTTCTGGAGCTTCAGACGTGCCTGGTGGGAATGTCTGCCCTGTGCATGGTATCCTTGGCAATGCTGGATGGCTTTACTATATATAAAGAAGTAAGTATTATGTTTATTTTGTTAAAATTATTGGATTTAATACTTAAATAATAGAGATATTGAGTTTATTTATTTTTTGATGACGAGCCAGAATTAAAATCCACAATTAATTAATTGTACCAGCCACTTTATGTTAATACAAATTAGATTTCATTGTCATTTTATTAGGTGACCAGACGAAAATTTAGCTGATAAGAAATTGGGCATTCCCAAATTATTTAGAAATGCTATTTCTAATACTATATAAAAGTTTAAAGTTCATTGGATCGAAATAAGCATTAAACAATTGTATTTACCATATATAGAAATCTGTACAATTTTTTATAAATACATTTTATAAAATAAATTAGACTGAACTCGCCAAATATGATGCGTCCCAAACACTATTAAATAATAATTAAATCAGAGGTTCCGCTTGTTACATTCAGATTAACTTAGAAAAGGCCACTGCCTGCGATTACGACCATGACAAAAGCGTATTTATTTAATTGTGCTGCAAATAAATGCTAGTTGGCGCAACAGAGGAAGCCAAAAATCGCAATGCGATTTGCATGTTTAAATTTTAATTGAGGTTAAGTGCAGATTTTGAGCTTAATGCCTTTCATACTTTGCGAAAATGTATTTTTTGTGCCATGTAGTTTGTGGCTTGGTTACAGGAAGGGAGTCCCACGACAACAGGCAAAGTAGGAAATGCAGGCTCAACTAAAAGAGTTGAATATTTAAATGTCGGCGGATAAAACTTTGGACTGTTAGCTTTAAAATTTGTAGCTGACATTTTTTAATTTTTAAAAATTTACTTAAAATACTGTGTCTCGTTTACAGTGCTATCACGATGACTACTTGGATGACTATGGTAAAATAGGCTACAAGCACTCACTGGCCACATTTTACTCGAAGTCCTGCTTTTGGTGGCTAACACCCCTGCTGTGGCTGGGCTACAAGGAACCACTGGAACTGGAGGATTTGGGTCAAATGAAACTGGAGGACAGTGCCCGGTCCCATTACGACCACTTTCTGTATATTTACACTGAGAAGAAGGTGAGTAAATTAAATATCTCTATGTATATCGCTCCTAACAAGTTTAATGTTTAGAAAAAGTCAAATTCGTCGCCATCCCTGTGGTACTGCTACATAAAGAACAGTTGGCAAATGTTTGCCCTGGGCGGCATTTTGAAACTTGCCGGTGATTTATTTGCCCTGATTGGTCCGCTAGCTATTCAGAAAATAGTAGAATATATAGAGAAACTTTATGCCCAGGCTTCAATGCCGCAGGAGAAGGATGAGGAGCCGGCTCTGCTGTCCACCTCCAGAGTGCTGAGCACCGAATTCGACGAGGTCTTCGGCACCAATTTGGATAGAGTGCGAATCTACAGTAGCACCTGGTCGGATTTCCTGGCCAACGGATGGTGCATCGCCTGGATTGTCCTGCTGGCCGCCATCACACAAGGCGCCTTGTCGCAGGCCTCGACGCACATTCTCAACATGACCGGCATCAGGATTAAGACGTCCCTACAGGGTCTAATTTATAGAAAAAGTTTGCTCCTGAATGCGGGTGGCGGGTGTGAAGGCGGCGATTCTGCAGGAGAAGCTCAGGCGACTTGTCTTCCTAAGGATGAAAAGCCAAAAAACGATGATTCCAAGCCAACGGCAGAGAATGTGGACAACTTAAGCGGTAAGTAAATCAGGTAACTATAGAAAAACTAGATATTGTTGTTGATAAATCTAAAAAAAGGTGTATTATAAAATTTATGAAGACATGTTAAGTCTGAAGGTAGAAAATATAAGTAAATAAACAACGGTATTATTTTGATACTAAATATATTTAAAAAGGGATTTTATTACCAGATAAAATAAGATTGCCAATATATGAGTAGTAAATATGAATGAACTAGAATTTTATTAAAAACTTATATTCAGATACTTGGACCTATAACAATATAATAAAGGTATTAATTCAATTTTATTACTCAACAGAATCGAGTGTCACCAATGACATTGGCAGTATCACCAACCATATGACTGAGGACACTCTAAACATTATGCAATTCTTCTTGATCATCCACTATGCCTGGGCCATTCCATTTAAGGTTCGTATTGAGATTCGCCATTTGGTAGGCTAATCGTTTTTACAATTTATGAGCAACTTGTGTGCCATTTGGGCTCCGTTTGATGTTCGCTAACACGGACCTAATTTATGGCAATGGCTAGCTGAGAAATCCTTGACTTGAAAAGCGAATATAAATGTTTTTAATATGTTGTATAATCGTCAAGCTATAAATTTGATTTTATTTAAAAGGGCATCGAAAGCATCTTTTTCTATTTATTAGTATTTTATTTGCATTCTGAGATAAATTACTAAAAAGACTTTTTATTTTTTTTTTATTATTCCCTGGTACCCTATGTTACACTCCATAAATCTTTTTTTATTAGAAAGGGTTTAGAGTTTTAAGATTGAGTTGAGATAAATAAAAATATTTACATTATTTTATTTATTTCAGATATCTGTGGTTATATATTTATTATATGTGAATTTGGGAATAAGTGCAGTGATTGGATCCATTGTCTGTATAGTGATAATGACGCCCCTGCAGTTTTTGATAGGAAACGCAATGTCCAAGAACACGGAAGTTATTGCAGTGAGTACTTGATTAAGGCTAAATATTTTTTTATATTAATAAAAATATTTTAATTATTAAATTTTATTTTACAGAAATTCACCGACGAGCGTTTGAAGAAAATACACGACACACTGGTTGGCATCAAGGTCATAAAACTGAATGCCTGGGATGAGGTATTTCTGAAAAAGATTCAGGAGGCGCGAAATAAGGAGCTCAAGTATCTCAACAAAGATGCAACATTTTGGACCCTGATGGGTATGTTATGTGACTAAAAATCTGCTCTTACTGTATTTTAAAATATATATATTTTTTAATAGCCGTTCTTACCCATGTGGCCACCGTTCTGATCACATTCGTGACTCTGGGCGTTTATGTGTGGCTACATCGTGATCAGGAGTTCGACTTGAATGCCAGTCGGCTGTTTTCCTCCCTGGCACTTTTCCAGCAACTGACTGTTCCCCTGCTGATTTTTCCCATCACAGTGCCCATTATAATAGCGGCCAGGGTATCGACTCGCCGCCTGGAGCGATTCCTGAAGTCCAGCGAGATTCAAAAGCAATTCGAGGGAATTCGGAACATGGCCAGGATTCTGAGCAAGAGCGATGCCTCCTTGGATATGTACGAAACGCAGGAGAAATCGAATATGACAATGCGAACGGCCCAGGCGGAAAATAGGCTGAATGAGAAGCGTTTGGCGCAAAAGTCTCAAAGTCCTGAGCTGCCGAATAACTCCACACCACTGCTGCAAAATAGCGATGAGTCTGCGGGAGATATATCCGCATCCTCCATCCAGGAATTGGGTCACAATAAAATAGTGCAACAGAGAAGGGAACTGCTAAGGAACACTCCTTATGTGGCCATTCGACCTCCGAAAATGCGAGGTACCGTGGCCGACAGACCTGCGGAATTCTCGGTAATCCGCGCCAGGAATACGGACAGCTGGCGACGCGATTCCCTGCTGCTGAAAATGCCCGATGACATTGCCGTCTCGATCAACGACGGACTCTTCACGTGGCAGCCGCAGAGTGAGATGCCTCTGGTGCAACTGCACGTTCCCGGCATCATCGTTCCCAAGGGCAAACTTACCATTGTTGTGGGCAAGAATGGCAGTGGCAAGACATCGCTTCTGTCCGCCCTCCTCATGGAGATGCCGCTCCTGGTGGGCAACATGTTTTGGCACAAGTGAGTATTAAAGATAGGAAAAATTAAATTTAATAAATCGGAAAGTGATTTAAATGATAGGGTTTTTTTTGCACACTTGAAAAATAAAATTTGTAGAAAAGAAACTATAGTTACATGAACTCTTCATTATCAAGTGTCATTACTTTATTATTATATATTCGAAAGTAGTTATTAAAATGAAACTTTTGGTGTAGAATGAAACTGCAGAATATAAACTTTGTACTGAGTATAGAATTTATATTATTTAATTTAATTTATATTTAATTTATATTTTTTACACCACACTTGGAGTGTTTAGTTATTAGATTTTTCTTTGGGTGTAGGAATTTTAATAACATTTTTTTAACCTAAGCCTAATAAAACATTGATTTTAGAAAGTAACAAATATAGTCTGGCACATGATATATTTATAACTTTAATCCTACCCCATAGCAGTGCCTTTTATTATTTCCCCTGGAGACTTATTTTAGAAAAGCTTATTTTCCTATTTAAGTTTTCAAAATATTTTCATATTTTAAGCTCTTTTTGGTGCCAAAAACCTTTGAAAACCTTTCGGCAATTTCCCGGCGGCCAAGATTAAGCACGTTTCCTTGTCTGTCAACACAGCACACCCATCTGGGCCACAAACACACTGCTCCATGTAAATTTGCTTAGCTATTTATGTGCTTATTTTGAGCTTTGCCAACAGCAGTAGCTACGACCCATAGTGGATACGTTTGTTTGCCCATTTATCAAAATTAATTGCATAATTTTCACCTATTATTATGGCGAAAAAGCTTAGAATAGCTTACTTTAAAAGTGGGACTAGGTGTTTTAGTATCGCTATATAAAAATCTGATTCATTAATGCAATGAATGTAAATGTTTTCCCACGAACTTAAGAAAGAATATATCTTTGAAAGGTTAGGTTTCAATAATATACCTACTCATATTGATTTCATTGGCTTCAAGCTCCAGATTTCCTTCTTCACGATTGCCCTGTTAACCCATTTTCCAGACTAAAATCAAAGAAAGTCTCGGCTAGCAGGTGGAATAGTTGAAGCCTCCTCCTTGTTGCTGCAACTGCAATCGAATCCGCCGCAGTCATTCAACATATTTTAACAGTCGTTTCAATGCACCCCACGTGATTCGGTAATTTATCACAAAACGCCTGTGTACGTTGTTAATTTTATTGCACATAAAATAAAAATGGCATCGCCCTCTGGGGAGGAGGGAAAACTAAGGGATGCAGGGATGCACGGAGGGCCATATACAAATGCATTTAAAAAATGGAAATCGCGGAGCGGAAACGAAGACGGTGGTGCACTTGCCTCCTGCAGCAGAAACCAATTCTATCCCGTGGCCTTTGCTTCTATTGCTTCCTTCAGGACGACTGCACCCTTCCCATTTTTCTCTTGGCAGTCGGCAAATGTGCAATAATTTCAATTACTGTAATAAATGTCTATGTTAGTTCGAGTACGTTTCTTTCTTTTTTTTTGTGGTATCTTCAAGGCTTCCTTCTTTTTCTTACTCTTTTGGCTTGCAAATTTATGTTTCTCCTATACGTACTGTCTGCAATGTATTAGATAAAGAATCTTTGCACCAAGCTCCCCAAGAAGCCTTTTAAACATTTTAGTGGGTTGTAATTTGACTTATTAAATTTTTCATATCAGAATCATATTGCTCACTTTCGTGAGGAAAAATTGGGACTAAACCCATCAAGTAATTTTTTCAAAATCAATAATACAAAAATATAAATTTAACATTATTAATATGTATTATTTATTTTTTAGAACCTGCACAATCTCCTACGTTTCGCAACAGCCTTGGCTTTTGAATGACACAATTCGGGAAAATATACTTTTCGGAGAATCCTTCCGACCCAAACGATATGATTTCGTACTGGAAGCCTGTGCCCTCAAGCCCGATATTGAGTTAATGCCCAGGGGCGACTTTACCATCATTGGAGAGCGTGGAATAAATATGTCTGGTGGACAGAGGCAGCGAATTGCAATAGCTCGGGCTATTTACTCATCGGCTAATGTGGTCATAATGGTAAGTACTTGAAATACTTTTTAGGTTTTATCAAGGTATTTAAGAAATATGAGTTTCTGAATGTAAAGTTTTTATTGTGATATACTTAAGACCCAAATAAGTAACCTTTCACTGACCTGTACAGTAGCTTTAGGTTTATCTTTTGGTCCCACATAATTATCCCCCAATCGGTATTTTTATAAATTGTCAAAAATGTCTTTCGATCAAAAGGAGATCTTCAGTTTGATGTACAAGCTGGCACGGCTGATAGTACCAGATACGCGGGTCGAATACGATGCAATGGGTCCCATGCACATTCCGCTCGATCGAATGTACGGGCCGCAGACTATGCGATCCCTGATGAAGTTCCCGATCGGGGGCGTTGAGGAGCGAATGCCCGTATGAAAAGTGATACTGTTGATTGAATGTTTGTTCCTATATTATCCAAATCATAGCGACCCCTTATAAAAGCCCTGGGAATTGTCAAGAAAGCCGCTGCGGAGGCGAATAAAATCAACGGTCTCGAGGAGAATCTATGCGATGCCATCTCGAAGGCCTGCGATGATGTGATATCGGGTAAACTCTACGATGAGGAACACTTTCCCCTGGTCATCTGGCAAGATGGCTCCGGGGAGCACACGAATATGAATGTGAACGAGGTCATTTGCAATCGGGCCATCGAGATCCTGGGCGGTCAGATGGGAACCAAGGAGCCAGTGGATCCGAATGAGCATGTCAACCTCTCGCAAAGTTCCCATGACGTCTTCTCCTCAGCTGTTAAAATCGCCGTGGCCATGGAATTGCAGGAGAGGATGTATCCCAGTCTCAGGATGTTCATTGATCTGCTGGGCAAAAAGTCGAGCGGTTGGATGGATGTGATTAAGACGGGAAGAACGCATCTGATGGATGCAGTGCCTCTGTCGCTGGGCCAGGAATTCAGTGGCTATCAGCAGCAACTCGAGAATGGCAGATCTCGATTGGACTCTGCGCTGTGCAGACTGTATCAGTTGGCCATGGGAGGCACCTATGTGGGCACCAAGTTCGATACCAAGAAGGGATTTTCCGAGCAGTGCACCAAGCGGATTGCCGAATTAACCTTCCTGCCCTTCACCGAGGCCTGTAATTTTTTTGAATCCCTGTCCGCCTGCGATTCCCTGGTCGAATTGCATGGAGAACTCAATACCATAGCAACGAGCGTGATGAAGATAGTCAACGATATTCGATTCCTGGGATCGGGACCGCGTTGTGGATTGGGGGAACTGCACCTGCCGGAGAACGAGACAGGTAGTTCGATCATGCCCGGCACGGTGAATCCCACGCAATGCGAGGCCTTGACCATGATCTGCGCCCAGGTAATGGGCAATCACGTGGCCGTTTCGATGGGCGGTTCCAGTGGACACTTCCAACTGAACACCTTTATGCCCATGATCGCATCCAATGTGCTGCGTTCAATAACTCTTTTGGGCGACGGCATGAAGTCCTTTTGCACCAATTGCCTGGAGGGCATCGAACCGAATAGGGGCAAGATTGAGAATATCATGAAGAACTCGCTGATGCTCGTCACCGCCCTGAGTTCCCACATTGGATACGAACGGTCGGCTGCGATCGCCAAGGCAGCCCACCGAAATGGAACCACTTTGCTGCAGGAGGCCTTAAATGCGGGCGTCGAAAGGGAGGACTTCGAGGAGTGGGTGCAGCCCAGCAAGATGTTGGGTCCCGATAAATGAAAGGGGCATCAAAACAGGAAAAATATTTTATTAAATTTGTTTAAATTCATTTGTGGGTCTTAAAATTAATAAAACCGATCAAAAGACTTTTAGACTACTGATAGAGGGACATTTATTGGGACTTTCTATTATTAAATGGTTTAAATGGATACCATATTCATTTATAGCTTTTTTTTTTGGAACTTTTCATGAATTATTTTCATGTATTACTTAGTAGTGGTTAACAAAAGTATTAAATTTACCTTAGCTTTATAGTAATACAATCACTAAAAATTCATTAATTATTTGGTTATTGTATTTCGCTATACATATTTTATTTTAAATATCCCTAAATTTATTTTCAGGATGATCCCTTGGCTTCGCTCGACAACGAGGTGGGTGAGCATATATTTCAGCACTGCATTCGTCAGATGCTGGAGAAGTCAAATCGAACTTTTATTCTGGTGACACAACAATTACATCGCATAAAGGAAGCAGAATATGTAAGTATTGTAGCCTATAATGCTCCAAAAATTATGCTTAAATATTTATTTTTATATTTAACTTTTAGTTGATTGCCATAAAAGATGGTCGTGTGGAAGCGTGTGGTAGCTATGCGGATATTGAATTGAAGCATCCGCGAGTTACAGCCAAATGGAAATCGATTATAGAAATGGCCAAGGCCAAAAAGGACAATATTTCACAAAAGTAAGTAGTTAGCCTGTGAAATAACTTACTTGTCCGTTAAGTAGTAATTAATGAATTTTAATAATTATATTTTAATACCTAGTCCAGCTGAAAGAACAGCTGGGGAGCGCTGGAAACTTCTGAGGAATGTGAGCAAGTTGGGATTACAGCGTTCAATTTCGGTGACAATGGATTCGAGTGCCGGATGTCAGGCAGATGCAACTGATGGCAGTGGCTGCATATCGGTGGCCAATATGCAGTCGAATGTGGTCGAAGAGGATGAGGAGGACGACCAAGTGTGTGCGGTAAGAGATGGGATAATTTGTGATTGATATTTATTAAATATTTCTATAACTTTTAAACCGTAGTCATATTCCATCAGCAATGGATCCTGCGGAGGTTTCGGTCTGCAACGCAAGCGTTCTAGTATCTACGGATCCCGGCATTTGATGTACGATGTTCCCCTTCCCATCGACGAATGTCAGGGCGATGATGTCATCATGCGACCTCGTCGCCGTCATACTCTGAGTCGTCGCGGAAGTCGGACCACCAACTCCTGGCATCGATTAAGTGGCCTCAGCACTTTGACTGCCACCTCCGCCTCGAGTTCCACCAGCGGAGATCCGATGAGCCGCAGTGTTTTGGCCACCAGTTGCAGCAGCTATGCGGAAAGCAGTGTGGATGGTGGCGATATGGCCACGGCAGCACCAGAACCTCGAGTTCAATCCTGGCAGCCGCCACAGAGTGCTTCCCATCAGCCTCTCTCCCGGAATGCTTCCTCGCCACCAGCTATGGAGGTGGCCAATCCCGATACGAAAGAGTCTGAGGGAACTATGAAGTCGAATTCTAGCTCGGAGGGTCCTCTGGACGACCAGGTTCGAGGCAGTTTTCAGCAGTTCCTTCGACGAATGTCCATGCGGCGTTCCAATAAACCCAAGAACCACCATCACCCACTCAGTGCTACAAACTCCATTCTGTAAGTTCAAAAAATATTTAAAAAAAAGTATTTAAAAAATAGAATATATAAAACATCCTTTTCCATTAGTAGATGATATTTATCATTCTATATGTATTGAACTCTAAATTATTTCTTAAATTGAAAGACAATATTTTTGTTATTTATTAATATTATTTTATTCATTTTCAAAGGAGCATTTCGGAGGAGTCACCACCCATCGTTCATTTTCCTGCCACGCTTTTAACCACAGATGCCATGCAGAATGCAAAATCTGTACAAGAGGAATTGCTTTCAGAGGAGAAGCCTAAAAAATGTAAGTTAAAATATAAGCATAATATCTAATCTTAGTCTTGCATGTCGAAGTTTTCCGCAACGGTTTTTAGTTAAAGTTCTTAAATGAATTCAAATTTAATTAAAATTTACATTTTCTTCTTAAAATTGCCATTTGCCACTGCAAAATTTGGTAATGAATATTGATTAGCAGAAATTTATTCAGCTGGGCGTGAAAGCTGTAAACAAAATATTGGCATAATTTTCGGCAACGGAAATTTCTTCTCCTTAGCTTTTTTGCCAATACTCTTGGGCACCCTCCTTCTTATAGTTTACTCCTCGATGCATGCGTGTAGCTTAAAACTTAAATCAACTTTGATTTTAAAAGTTTCGAGCTCCCGAGCGGTAAGTCAAAGAGACAGTGTTCCAGGGCGCGAAAAGTTTGCAAGGCAGAAACTTTGGCTCAACTTGATGCATTGATCTATCAATATTTGGCTGATAAGTCAGCGGGTTCGCAGTGAAAACTTTCGATTTAATCAGTGCTGCAAGTGTCACTCCATTCGAACCCGCCGAATCTTTCGCTAGGCAAATCCGCAGACGGGAAGTAAACTTTTCTTTCAATTAGTTTGTCTGAGGAACTTGTTAAATTAAACGGCGGCAGGGCTTAATTGATGTGGGCCCATGTGGTTTTACTGAAAAGTTGTAGTAGAACATGTTGATCTTTGCCGTCTTACTATCTCTGGATCAATCAAAAGTCAATCATTTCCAATCAAAAGTAAACAGTTTTCGGAAATCGTTTTGCTTCTCAAATTTTTGGTTTATTTATATATAGTTTCATATATTTATACTTAGAGAGACCGCTTCATAAATGTTGTAGAGCTAATTTATTAATTAGATAAAATTATACAAGCTTTATCCTAAAAATGACATCCGGTCCTAAATTTGTTTATGTCAGGTTTTTCTAATAATGTAATAAAATTTACAACGATGTACAAATATCTTGTTTGATGAAGAGCTTATTAAAATCTAACTATCGATTAGGGTATATTTTTCGGTACAGTTCGATAGACGGAAATTCTTTCTAACTGATTTATAATTCTTTCCGAAGATATCTTTGCCAGAGTAATTTATTTAACTGAACTTGACATAAATTTCACTTCAACCAAAACACAACTGACCCTTTGTTTTCCTCACCCTCACCCATAAAACCAGGTGTAAATATTGACTCGAAGGAAACCACAATAAATTGCGCTGACAATGGCGAATCAGCATCTGACAAAGAATTGGGGCCAAACGTGACATCCTCGGCAGCCCAGGAGCCCAGTGAAGGACATGTGCTGCTCTCGGCAGGTGGATCCGTTCGGGAATCGACGTCGGCGGTGCAGGAGGCCAGGACTGCGATTGATACGGAACGCAAATATGGCAAAATATCGGACGACATATATCTAATGTACATACGAGCCGCCGGCCTGCCCATAATCACCGTCTTTTTTATCACCGCACTAATTTGGCAGTGTTTGCGTGTCTACACGGACGTTTGGCTGCAGCAGTGGAGCGATGTCCATGTCCATCGAGCGTCGAAGGACCAGGACGAAGGTCCCCTAGATCCATATTCAGATCCAGGCCATCGGCCAGAGGAGGAGGACCACGAAGTCACGTACTATTTTCGCATGTACGCTGCAATTTCGTGTGTTTGTATAATAATGGCCCTGGTATCAACACCGGCCGGACAATTTGCCGGCTGTAATGCCCGTCGTAATTTGCACGATAAGCTGCTGCAAACGATTTTGCATAAAACGTTGCATTTTTTCCAAGTGACCCCGCTCGGACGTATTGTGAATCGTTTCAGCAACGATATGGCCGTCATTGATAAGGTGAGATTTGTTATATCTGTTATCCTGGCGTTGTTTTAGCCATCTCTGCACCTCGTTTTTCTGTCATCGACATTGTTACGTGTTGGCATGAAAATAATGGGCATAGAGGTATAGATTGCGGCCACTTTTTGATTAAGATTAGACAGCGATAAGCACGCACTATGAAGCTGTCTGACTAGACACAAAAAAAACACGCATATCGTTTTTACCATGCAATACTGGTAAAATTTATATTAAATAATATCATCTTGCCGAATTCTCTCTCTCGGAGATTCTCTGACTTCAAAATTCGAGCATACAGAATTGAGATGCCGCATAACACGTGAAAATTGATACCACATAATATCAAATTGATCATCGTTTAATATCAGTTTTTTTTTTGGATGTATACACTTTTGAGAACTTTAAATAACCCATAAACACATATTTTTATGTTCTCAGAAAATTGCCGCCACTGGCCAACGCCTGCTGCAATTCACGTTGCTCTGCCTGTCGGCGATTCTGATAAATGTCACCATAACTCCCTGGATTTTGCTGCTCACCCTGCCCATCTGCGCGGCCTACTATATCATACAAAAGTTCTACAGGTGTTCAGCAAGGTAGGATATATGCTCATCTCCAGTTAATCAGTATAAAAATTCGTTCGTGTTTTACTTTTCAGAGAACTACAGCGTATTGAAAACTCAACTAACTCCCCTGTAATATCTCATCTTTCGGAGACAATTCAAGGAGTGACTACGATTAGAGCATTTAATCAGCAGACCAGATTCACAGAAATCCTATTTAAACGACTCGAGGCAAATACCATTGCCTATGCTCTATTGAACACTAGTCATCGATGGTTGGGATTGTCATTGGTAAATATATAAATACAGGTTTCTACGATAGGCGTAATTTTAATTAGGTTTAATGATTTTAATTATATTTACTTAGATCTAAAACAAGTAACAAATATCCATTTTATTTTTAATACAATGCTTATTTATTTTGTTTTGAAATCTAACGTTTCTAGTTACTTAATAAACTTGTCTTCCATTTAGTTTTTAATTTAATATAATAGCTCCAAAGAAGGTAGCTAAGTGAATTAGTCAGCAGTAGAAACACCACCCCACCATCTTAATCACGCCGCACATCCGCTCGTTTTAATGTGTTTTTGTCTTCCTGCAGGACTATTTGGGTGGATGCATTGTTTTTGTGGCCACTGTGACGGCACTGGCAACGGCAAGCGTCAGTTGCAGGAACCACACGACGAGGCACTACGACGGGGCATCCGAAACTTATGCTGTCAATAAAAGCCCCTCGGAACTGAGACCCTCGCCATCGCTGGTGGGTCTGGCCATAAACTACACGTTGTTGGTGCCGATTTACCTTAATTGGGTTGTAAAACTTTTGGCTGATATGGAGATGTATGCGGGCTCCGTGGAACGCATCGCCCACTATGCCCAGGAGGACCTCGACTCGGACCACCCGTCCGATGAAGATGTGAGCGGCGAAGTCGATAGGTCGTCCCAGACCCAGTCGAAAGCTGGTGACAAAGTTTACCCAGGCGCAACGACAGCTGCCGGTGATGTTGATGAAGATGGAGGCCGACATGGAGATGGAGCTGAAACTGAAGCAAAACCCGGGGAAGGACATGAAAATGGGGCTGATGGTGGAGCAAGAGCTGATAAATTAAATGCAGGCAATGCAACCGGCGACGGCAATCACTTAAACTTCCACTTCCTCACGGCGACAGCTGGCGACAAGGTGGAGCAGGCGACGACAAAGACGTCGGTGATTAAAGATAAGCAACTGCCACCGCAGGACGAGAAGGTCGTCCTGCCAAATGAGCCGGCCAGGAAGCTCGAGCGCTGTAAGTTTGGGTCACTTTGTCGCTCTATTGGCCACCGACTCGGGGCGTTTGGCACGCATCACCGGCCTTTTGGCTGTAATTGCATTCGAAAATATTTGGAACAAACTTGGGTGCCTGCTTTCGGCATATTACGATATAAATTAAGGACATGAAGAGCCTATTCAAAACAGTAGTGGAATTTAAATTCTAAATTTTGTAGATTTTTTAAAGAAAGAAGTTTTAAATATTATTCCTAATCTATTCAATCGAAAAAGGTGAGGTCTATTTTAAGGAAAAGGCAAGAGATCTTTCTTTACCTTTAATAAGAGTCTATTCAAAACCGTAGTACTTCAATTCTTAAAATTTATAATTTTGTAAATTAGAAAGAAAGAATTTTTAAAATATTTTGTCTAATATATTCAATCGAATAATTATGAAATATGAAATGTAAAATAGGGTGTATTTCATTGGAAAAGCTACAGATATTTCGGTATCTTTAAAATAAACTCTGATCGTTTTTTACTTTCAGATCAAAGCGTGCCCATTTCGTGGCCGCAAAGAGGGGATATCCACTTCGATAATGTGAGCCTGCGATACGAAGGACAGAAACAAAATGTCATCAGCAACCTAACATTGAAAATTCCCGCCGGACAACGAGTGAGTAGTGCAAAAACTATATATATATCTAAAAAAAAGAAGAAGGAGCCTGGTAATGCTGCACTTTTCAACAAAGAAATCTGACTTTATTCAGATGGCAAAAACTCTAAATCAGATGTCAGCAATATTGAATCAAGTTTAAAATGAAATAATCAATGAAAAACAAATAGAATAGCTAAAAGAAGACCACCGTTTTTGACGTCAATTTATATTCCCTATAAATTAAAAAAGTGATGAGATAATAAATCAAAAAACTGGGACAAAGCGGAAGGGCAGCGCGAATTATGGGGCTTCATAAAATCTGCCAGGGCGTTTAATAGGTTTTAATTGTTCTGGGCTGACGAGTTTACAGAAATGTTGATTGATGATGAAAGCGGTGTCCTTTCGTATGCAAGGACTAATTTTATAAAAATGAGCCCACCTGGTCCACGCAGCTATGTAGGGTAAAAATGTAGGTAGTTAAAAAAACTACAACTAAAACTAAAATAAGTAGATTATGCTTGACATTAAAAATTCCCCTGATTGCATAACATTCAAAACTCGTTAAAATGCAACTATTCAATCTCTTTTATAATCGGTTTATAGATTGGCATCTGTGGTCGCACGGGCAGTGGCAAATCATCACTGGGCCTGTCCCTTTTCGGTGTTCTCCAAACGACCAGGGGCCACATTTACATTGACGACGTGGACGTCAAACGAATCCGACCAGACGAGCTGCGAACGAGATTGTCGATAATTCCGCAGGATGTGCATTTGTTCAATGCGACCATACGTGAAAATCTCGATCCACACGGTTACTTCCAGGACCTGCAATTGTGGAATTGCCTTGAGTTGGCGCAGCTAAAGGAGTTTGTCAATGGGCACCTTCCTCACGGCCTGGGTGAGTGCGATTTTGGCTTTCACTTCTTGGCGTTTGGAATAAACAACATCTTCAAGTGGCTTTCGCTGTCCTTGGGATCAGAATTTGTCTTACGGAAAAGTCATGACAGCGGGGTGATATTTTATTCCATTTTGTGTGCAGCTCTAAACTTCGACAGGAAACCTCGAATGCTGTGAAAGTTGATGCTTATTGGAGATTCGTTTTTGATTGATTTTTTAGTTTTTTACCCCTTTTGTATAGCTAAATATTTTAAAACCTTAACAATTAAATTTTAAACACATCCAGGAAAAGAGTAAACATGATATACTCATTGTATGCTGTCAAAAATTAGTAAGATCCGTTCTCTCGCCCGCTCGTAAGCCCCCTTTAAATTTAACTGTGGTGTAAATTAATTAATTATGGAGTAATATTTATACAGTTTGTAAGTATTTAATTAAAAAGTCACATTCAATTAAACAACTAAATATTAAATAAATAAAAAATGAGTTATATTTTTTTTTAATTTTCGAAATTTGTATTTTTAATGTAATTATTCTGATTTTATTCTGCAGAAACGGTGATATGTGACGGAGGGGTCAACCTGAGTGCCGGCCATCGGCAGCTGTTGTGCCTGGCACGGGCCATACTGCGGGGATCCGTTTGCCTTGTCCTGGACGAGGCAACAAGTGTCCTGGACAGCAGCACAGAAAATGCACTCCTCAAGGCAGCGGACCTGGCCTTCCAGGGGCGCACCATCATCACCATTGCCGTGAGTCCGCAGTTAATTCCAGTACTCGAGAGCAGCTGTGATCTGACAATTATATTACTCCACAGCACCGTCTGACAACTATTCTGGATTATGACCGCCTAATTGTGCTGGACCAAGGGCGCATCGTTGAGGATGGCAATCCCAGGGAGCTCCAACAGCTGCCGGGCTCTGTTTTTCGTGGCTTACTGGAGAAAGGGGAGAGCAAATGGTAGAATTTCCTTCCCAGCTATTTTAAGATAACTGTGTCATATAGTGATTCCTAAGTGTGTGTGTTCCGAAAAACGTCTACTTTTATATCCTAACATATCTATTAAGTTTCTCGAAACCGATGGCAAACAGCATCAGCTGACTTTTGTAATATATTTATTGGCCTTGAAAGTACTTCACAAAGCTTGTACCATGTATTCCCAAGTATTCTTTACTAGTCATGTTTAGTTTCTAAAAATACAGCTACATACTTTTGACAATAAAATAAAAATGGATCTAATATTTACAGACATTTAAGTGTTAAAAAGTTTAATTTTCGTATAGCTATGCACTTTGCCAAAGGGCAAGCGAATTTATCCTTTTCTTATTTCAAACATTGTTAAAATAAGTCCGAGTAACAGGAACCTGAAAGAGCCAAGTTATTACGAAATTATGCACAATTTTGTGGCTGCAACTATGCAACAGGAAACTCCGCACAAGGAGGTCAAGCCAATTAGGGCTTGAATTGCCTCGATATCAGACAGGCGATGCCTACCTCTCCACTTGAAATTTGAATGAATATGCAACGAGTACGGAAGAAAATGGCACTTGCAAACTTTATGCCTTCTGATAGGGCAGATGGGAAGGGGGCAGGGGGGGGGATAAGGATCGATGGGGCACAAAACCGAAAATATTGCAAAATAAATTGATTGTTAAATGGGAACTGCTAATGTTGGGCAGCGGAAAAGTGGAGAACAGGCAGCGATTTCAATGATGCCTCGGCTCACTTTGTATGCATATTTCGAGTGGTTTTCGCTGGGGCAATTAAACTTAATTGACGATGAGGAGCGTGCATTGTTAAGTAGGTTTCGGAAGGGGAACGATTTTTTTCTCTTTTTCGTTCACTTAAGCGCCTTTGATTTCTGGGGGGTCGAAAGCTGCCGATCGATTGCTAATTGGAACGTTTTATATAAGCAGAAATATATAGTGTATTTTCAGAGGCCTTGCGAAGTGTAAGTTGTCTATTAAATGAATGGGCTCTTAAGTGTTCAAGGCCAATGTCTAAGTAGTAACTTTCCTATTATTAATTATGCACTCTCAACCAAAGGGAAATGACTTTTGCTAAAGTAAAACAAGAGTGTATTGAGTGCATAACTTAACAGTGGTTCGTCTACTTCCAAAGTTCCCTAATCTATTTATCTGCTCTGTGTGTGTGTGGAATAAATGCGCTGAACTGCATAAAAGATTTTATGACGTCTTCATAGGGTTTTTCAATCGCCTCGGGCTCTCCCAAGTTGTTTGTTTTTATTAAATTCTCCTCGAAACCCCCAGCTTATATGCTATATATGGTATATAGCCAGCCGCACTCGGATTTTGCACGCATGAGCGATTTGCCAGTTCCTTTGACGCTGTCTGTCGCTCTAATAAAAGAAATCTGTCAAATTCAAACGCTCGTAAATGTCTTACACATCCAGGCGGTCATACAAGCGGCAATGTCGGCATGGCCATGATGTTTTGCAACTGTTTACCCCGTCACTTTTTCACTCGCATAAGTACATAAGTGTGTACATCGGGCTACAGAAAGCCGTGGCGGCTAATCATATCGTATATATTACTTTTATCCATTGAGATTTTACAATTGAATGCACTTTGAAGAATTTTTCACAGAGCTATGTTTTTGCCGACATGAGAGCACCACTAGTTATACATATGTATTTTCCGCTGTCAAAGGTGGTTTGTATCAGAAAACAGTTCGAATAAAATTGAAGCAGACTTATTAAATTACCAGGACTGTCTACTTCTGTAGGAGGCTGTATCAGTAATATAAAGTGGAGGTAAATGTATAATTAAAAGTAACAATAGTTTAATCTTACTCTGACCGTTCAATATGGTAAATTTTGGTGTACAAAAAATTTATTTTGAGACTTAAAAAATATGCAAGGGTCTTAAAGTTCTCTTAAAAGTTACTCATACGACACGTATGACAGCTAGTATTTAGTCGAACAAAATCGTTTTCCCATTTGTAATAGGTCAAAATATGAGTTGGTTTAAAGAGGGAAAGCAAAAAAACAATTCTATGGTTGAAATCTACGCCGCCATTACTATAATTTTTTCATTAGGCAACAGTGCGTATGAGTGATAAACTTTAAAGCAATTCGCAATTTTTAAAATAAAATGTTTTTTGTATGTTTTAAATTTTACAATGCGCACTGGATAAGCGGGTAACAATAAGAGTTTAAAGATGTTCGTATAATGAGATCCTAGAGATTTACTAAGGGACCTTTAGGTTACTAAAACCAATCTGTTATGATCGACACACATTCTCCATAGGTTGATATATCAGATTCGGTTCGCTAATCTATCCTTCCATTTCAACTATTAGTTGCCCAAAAATGCAGAATAGTTAGGTATATACTTTATTCTAGATAAAAAATAAAATATTCAAATTAAAATAAAATAGCCTAGTCTCAACTTCTTGACCAATATTCCGGACTGGTCTGTTTGTGGAACTCGGGTGTGTTTCTGACCTACTGAACGAGTAAGCGGCAAGCGTTCGGCAAGGAATCGTGCTGAATCTGCAGGACTGTGCCAGAGAGCGAGCAGACGAACAGCATCCCTCCGAGGGATGCTCGGGAGGAGTCGTCCTTCGTCGTCCCCGCTCGGTTCGCAGTAACAACCCTGTCCTGCGGATTCCAGATGCTGTTGCGCTTTCGAATGCCAGGCGTTGCCGTCTTCCGGGCGCTGTGTTCAGTACCTTCGCGTCTGGCTATATGTGCGGTTATCCTCGCGGTTCGTCATCCTGGCCACCTTTCAAATCGTCCGCGAGATCCCCGCGTCAAACGTGATTTTCCGCGTATTTCAATTAACAAAAATATAGTTTGGCCGAGTCTGAAGCTCGGGTGTCGGCCCCCAATAAAATATGTAAAAATTATTTGCGGAGTGGCCTGTAATTGAACAAACAGTGAGTTTAATTGCGAATTCTGCCCTCTATCCGTACAATTCAACGAATTTCCGGTTCTGACCTAGCTCAAACATAAACGCCGCATTCAGGAATTATTTCAGTCTGCCACAATGATTCACCAAAGTGCGTTGTATTTTATTTGCCAATTCGTTAGTTAAATTAGTGGCCTTTGATTAGTGGCATTCACTAACAGATAAGCCATCAATCAGTTATAAAAATGTATTTATTGTTTTTTAATACCTAAATGAATGCGCTAAAAGCTTCGGTTGCGAACGATAAATTTTGTTTTCACGAACATTTAGCAATCTAAAATTCTGTGGGACGTGCAATTTGGCAACAATAAGTCTTAGTTTTTTTTGTAGCGAATTTAATTGTGAATATATTTCAAAGCCACATTTCTACATTGTGTATATCAAGGAATTTATAAAATAGTTTGTATTTTTTTTAATAACAGAGCTTTAAAATGGAAAACGTGAAAATAAATTATTTAAATTTATTGTGATATATGTATCTTCAAATATCAATCGATATCGAAAGCATTTAAACTTATGTTCAAATGGGACAACGCTCGTAAACCCCCTAATCCGCTTCTAATTAGAATGGAGTCGCCTCCAATTAACGGACGGAAAAGATAATCACTAGTGTTTCTCGTAGTTCCGGAAATTAAAGCAATAAAACACCAGGTAGAGCTAAAGGAGAATGCGAAAGTCGAATTAGCAAGGCGAACTTTCTACTCGTATTCGCATTATTCAAAGAAACTGTGTGTTCTCCGCAGCATTCACAGATGAATACACCGGCCTGGTGTTGCTTACGCTTCGCATTAGCATAATTAAAATTCGGTAAACACTAGGCTCCATTAGCCCCCAAAGCAAACAGCGCCCGCCCACCTGACTTGACCCTAAAAGTGGGCGTGGGCCTTGGGGCACCGCAGGCTCAGAACGCAGAGCACATGCAACAAACCAACAAACTTACAAACCCTATTACTCATTTTTAAGTATGCGCGAGTGTGTGGCTGCGAAGCCCTGTTTGTAATACCCTTGAACTTTATTGTTTGAACATCAGCGGTTTTGCCCGGGCTTTCGTTTTCGCTTTCTCTTCCTCTTTCTCCTTTGGCCAGGGGAGGCAGGGGGGTTTCCGTATCCGGTTCCCATTGCTTCGCCATTTTTATGCCGCTATATGTTTGTGTACGTGGCCGTGCTTTTTTATTGCAGCCTGTCAGGCGCAGCAAAACATCGGTTTACCATTGAAAATACATATATGTGCTTATTTTTCAGACAGTTTTCCAAATTATTTAGTTTAAATTGCTAGTTTTTAGGGCCTAGACCAACTTAAAGTTCATTAGTCTCTTCTGCATGATTTCATTATCTTCATATGTCCCTCTTGGTAGCCAACAACTCAATTGCTTTGGACTCCATTCTGCCCTTTCATTCCCCAACAATCTTGGCTTTGATTGCACTCAATTGAATATAGTTCCATGCAAACTGAATCAAATGCGAATTCAATTTCCCAATTGAATTCGAATCAGGTTCACTTCAATTTTAGTCATAGCCCAGCAAATACATTTACATTATCGTCCATAATATGACAACAGATATATACGTAGATGTACGTGCTGGTTATTTCCCATCCATAAGGATTAATTTCGATCTGCCGGCTATGAATCATTTCAATTGCATTACGACGACTGCTTTATGTTTGTGTTTGCACCTGATTAGCGGACAATTAATGCGAATCGGCCATTAAGGGCTCCCTTAAATGTTAAATATACAGAATAAAAGTAATTAAATTAATTTCCGTGCTGGACAAAGAATAACAAGGAAGTGTCTGTACAAAGTTCAACAGTAAAAATAAAACGAAATAAAATAAAATAATATGCAAACTGTGTGAGAGCAATCTACGTATGTATGAAAAGCCAACCGGCGGCGGGAAAAGCATCAGCTGCGGAAAAGTAAACATAAAGTTTTGGATTCTGTCAGTGGCTGTTTGCACAGCATCCGGGACTTCATAATTTCATCCGGTTGTATTTAAATTATACTCACTCAAGGTGCCTCCACGAGACGGGATACTCACATGCCGGAGATTTATCCATAATGTAAGTATGTTCTTTTTTTCTGAGAACCCTATATAAATACGGAAAATTCAAGACAAAATAGACTACCTACTGTTGACTTGACGGTCACGAAAATAAGTTTACCAGTTTACATATCATATTTTCCGTTTCTCCCTGGCTGCTTGAAATACTTACGGTTTTTATTTCGCCTCCTTTCCTGAAAAGTTCTGCTATTGTTGACTCCGGTTTCAATGCGGGCTTTTCCTCAGCTTCCATGTTATCTCTGGGCCCATTGTCTTTTTGGCCGCACTCCGAAGACACTGCCACAAGCTCTGTTAGTTTGGCCACAAAAAAGTAAGCAGAGCAAATAGAGAGCCTGGAAAAAATACATGTAACTCGGGTAAAACGGAGAAAAGAACTTACTTAGCTGCTGGGAACTTTTAAACACACTTCTTGGGCGATTAAAACAAAAAAAAACAAGAGAGTACGCAATAGTCTCGTTACTCAGCTAAGGAAAGTGCGTGGGAGATGGAAATAGGCATGCAGCAAAGCGACTGTTTGCACTGCTTGAATTACTTTTGAAAATTACATTCCATAACTTTTAAATGAATGGTCCGAATTGAAAAATTTCTTCTACATTTCGATAGGTTTTACTTCATTAACACAACCACTTTTGCATTTATAATTTGTAACCTTTTACTCTACGAGTAAACGTCAAAAGGCCTCCGGAAACCGAAGACTAAACTCACCCTTCGGAAGAGTATAAAAATAGAATCAACTTTAAGCAAAATGAGGCAATAAAGATTTATCTCGAAGGGACGGCCGCCAAAGCCAATGCAGCAGATTTGTCAAGGATTTGCGGCTGGGAATTTATTTTGGCTGCTCGTCCCGCTTTCCGTTGACTTTTTGCAGAAACCCCCTACCCCTCAAAAGAATAAAGCAAACAGGGTATAGTTGGCCCATTGATTTTTGAGCAAAATTCAAATATATAGCTGGCTTTTGTGTGCGCTCCCAAAACAACTGTAATCTACGATGTCGCATTCAACATGCATAAATTTTAATTAAACCGAAAATAAAACAGAGCTCGTTTGTTTATTGGTCAAAGTGAAAATGAAAATGTATTTTGTTTGTTTTTCAAGCAAATGTTTATTTTTTTATTGCCTACATTTGAGGGTCGCCGGTTGGCATGGGTTTTATCAGCTCTTAACGCAGTGATGATTCCGGACCTCTAAACTGTAAATAAGTTATTAGGTACAGAGGATTACAATTTTTGGCCACTCACCTAAGCAACTTTTCCTCTGCATTCTGCGCAATCGGACGCATTTCACAAGTTTTTGGCAAAACTTACACAGGACTATGCACAAATTTGACAGGACAGACAGACAGGGATGTTGGGCTGTTTATGACATCACTTGGGGAAAACTTCAGCACTTTGGTTACTTACATTACCAATTGCAGTTGCCAACGTGAAGCATCTGTGGGATGCTTGGGGCTATCAAAACACCGAGATGAGATGGAGAATGAGAGGATACTTTCTTTGTTTTTTTTTTTCCTGGCAACTACCAAATCTTTTGGGCTGTCAATTATCGGTTTCCACAGCAAGATTCATTATACACACGATTGTAAACAAGTTTTGCCTTGGCGCGCCATGTGCCATCATTTTTGTGTACTATGTCCTCGTTGTTTTTATTTTTAAATAATCTCGACGTGAGAGGCTTTACCAAAAAAAAAATAACGAAGAAGAATTTTACGCGGTCGTATACATGAGTTGTTTAGTAAAAGATAAAAACGTGATTACGAAACAAAACACTCGAGCTGCTGGGCGTAAATATTGGGGATATTTCGCATTTCGTTGGGGCACCACAGCCGCCATTGGGGACCATAAATCAAAAAACCACAGGCCTCGCTTGGCATTGGGTCATGGGAAAAGTTAAACGGAGAAAATTGGGGAAAAACTTTAGTTTTAATGGGCCAAGTCGCGTTTTTCCACCAGCCTATCCAGCCTCGATCATTTCGATGAAAACAAAGCGAATTCCTAACCGCTCCCAACACCGAGAGTGCCGCAAACGCGTTAAGAATTATTGATGCCTCATTGCTGATTGCTCCCTGCGTTTACGCCATTTGACACACATCCACATCCCGGAATCGCACAGGGTGGGCGAATATAATCCGGAGGCCCCATTGCCACACACTTCTAAGAACCAAGAACCAAGGACCGAGGACCCACAACAGACAAAGGGCATGGGAATAAGTAAAGTTATTTGGTATGTCTAGCGTGTACTTCGCATTTCCCTTCTTGGGTCCTTGTGTTATTACAGTTTTCCTTGGCAACTGACAGAAAAAATCAACGTTCACATTGTCAGCATATCGAGGCTTACAACACGTCTGCACAAAATTATTGCCAACTCTGCCATTTCGGGGGACTCGCATTCATTGCATCAAATTGTATTTTTGATGTTTGCGCAAATTATGGTAAAACAATAAATATGGATTTGGTTGATTGTCTTGCGCTTTCCATATAAAAGGTGGTGATAACACTTGTTCTTCAGGGACTTGTTATACTTGAAATATTATTACAGAATGTTTCATATTTTTCTGGTTTCCTGAAACCAAAACTTTATAGAACCCATTAAATTAAAGCTTGGCTTTGGTAGATTATTAATATGCGTACTCCCCCGGGCATTTTCACACGTTGACAATGCGGGAGGATGAGGTCTCGGAAAAAACAAACAAACATTTAAATGATTTTTATGGCTACACATTTTCACTCCCAACATTAAACTTTAATGTTATGGTCCTCAGACTTTTTACGCTTCGGAGTATTATTGAAGACTCGTGTGTGTTTTTGTACGAACGCAGTAAAAATTCATTCTGTTTATTTTCCTGGGTCTTAACTTTAGTTAGGAAACAAAAATGTTTATTCTAAAACTGGCTTGTATTTTTCAAATATGCAGGTCTTCTCCTTGGTAAGTCCGATAATTCCATTAGTTCTGCTACATATACGAATAGATGGGTCCGAAACGAATCCTAAACGAACAAAGACTCTCATATTGCCTTTGTGGTCTATGGAAGTTAAGTGATTCACGAGTATTGCCCATTCCCAATCCCTCTCCATTGTTCCGAAACTTATTTGCATTCATGTTTTTGCGCTTTTTCCGCTTTGGTCAGCGCAATATCTCTCTGTCCCTAGAAATTACTTTATGGCAGAAAAGGCATTTTGGTTTCAAGATGTTTACCTAAGGAAAGTTGCAGACCAAAGTCAATGTTGGTTTGGCGATGAGTGGACGCAATTGAGCTCGACTGGGGATTGAGGATTGCGATTATGTGGTTCCGACTCAGTTTTGCATTTTTCCCTCGGTTTGTTTCCAGATTATTCCTACTAAGCTCCCTTTTTTCTGTCCATTGTTAGTTGGTCAATATTGAAACGGCCAAGAGGGTAAACGTTCGTTTATCGTTCTGTTTTTGATATTTACCTGGTAAAAAAATTATTTTTAATTTAAATGATTTGTCTATAAAACAGCTATATACTTACTTTTAAAGTATTCTTAAAGTAAATAATACAAAAGCATGAAATCAATTTCCATTAGACCCTGAGATTAACTTTGAATCGACAATATCCATTGAGATTTGGTCGTTAGACTGCATTAATATATTCTTTTGGTTGCCTTTTTTAGCACGTGCCTCGGCATGTGTCATCAGCATCAGGGGAGTCGTTAAGGACCCGTTTAACCCAAAAATGTAACATCCCAATAACCAAAGACGTCTGTATAAATACATTAAACATATTCTTATGATTGCGGCAAAGTCGGATGCCAATCGAACCTTTTTTTATTTGTAAAACAATCTGATGTTTGGGGACCGAGATAAAAATATTTTCAATTGCGTAACCTTACCGTATCAGCGATGTGGCCTGCGACAGAACAAAAAACGTCAATTACAAAGGAGTAAAATCTGTGTAAAACCAATTTTTCGGTCGGCAATCAGAAATCGAGGTAAAGATTTATTGCCTTTAAGCTTACTTCACGACTGTCAGGAATGAATGAAAAATACCTGCAGAATAAGCGACAATCACGGGTATCAGGTGGGCAGGTGGGCTGGTGGAAGGTGGAATCTGGTTGGAAAACTGGTTGCTCGCTGACTTGAGCTCTTTTCCATTTGCATAAGCGCTTCCGTTGAATATTCATACGCGACGATGAGAATTTAATAGCGGAAATTTGCAGAAAAGTACATAAAGATGCAATTATATCGAGACCACTGTATTTTAGCATGAACTTACTTTTAATATATTTGTTTTAAGTAGATATTTGATTCTAATAATTAGCATATTTGTATTATTTTATGCTAATTGCTTTACAAAATATTGAATACCTTTTTGTTATATTTTTGGGATATTATAAAATACCTTAAACCTAAAAGAAATACAAATTTTTAAGAAATAACTCTTTTAACATTTTATTGGTAACTTAAAATACTTTATACAAGCCATATTTTGTTTTAATCAGCACTTAAATTGTTTATTTATGTTATTAAGATTAAGAATGTACATCCTTTAATAACTTTAGTTCCCCTTGACATGAATGACATGAATCATCTGGGCTTCTTTTAAGCATTTGGCAGTGATTAGATACCGCTGAATATGCCCCCTATTCCAGCAAATCACCAGACACCGAGTTTGCGGCTGGGAAATCCCAAAGCCAATACAAGTAGGGTACAGTTCACCATCGGCATCGCAATCGATGAACTCGACGGGCAGGAGACGCAGTGGACCCAGTCGCGAGTTGATTAAAAGACAGAGCAGGACGAAGCGCGACTCCTTGAAGATGATGGCCATATAGAGGCCCAGCGGGTCCATGGCGAAGGTCTGCGGCTGACCGCCGCACCTCAGCTCCCCCGAACAGGAGGTGACCTCCTGCAGGTCCACCAGCAACTCGACATTCCAAAGGGGTTTGGGGCGAAGGAAAACGGAGGCCTCTCCATCATTAGTACACGAGTAAACACGAGTGCTGCCCTCGCGCACAAACAGCAGATATGAACTGCAAGTGGTCCAGACAGCCGTTTGAATGCGATTCTGCATGAGGACCTGTTCCGACTTCCACTTCGACCTGTTCAGTTGGCACAGACTCCCGCCAGCATCGCAGGAGGCGCAGAAGAGCACCTGGAAATCGGGACTGTAGCGGAGGAGGGAGAAGGAGCTCAGGCTATCGGGAGCCGGGATCAAACGAATCTTCTGCTGACAGTCCGGTTCCCAAAGGATTATGTGCGATGAGCCCAGAGCGGCACTAATCAAGATGGTGCCGTCTTCGTTCCACTGCAGTGAAGTTACATAGTTGTGACCCTCGTCCTTCAGAATCCTCATGCGATGGCTGCCCAACATGTGACGAATATTGAGGTTCACATTGGAGTTGGAGCGACCACTTTCCCGCCACAAACAAATTCCCACCGCACATCCCACGGCCAATTCGCAGCCCGGTGACCAAGGACGAAAGGCGGTACAGGTGATGTCCTTCTGCTGGAAGAGCTGCAAACTGGTGGGCGATGTGCTCCTTCCATCGTATATGAGGACTACATCCTGGTTATTCACCAGGGCCATCAAAGCGCTCTTCGGATGGAACTCAATGCATCGGATGGCCGCCGTTTTCCAACCTCGCGTTTGGCTTATCCTTTCTAGGATCTCAGGATCCGCGGTTAGGGTCAACTTTAGGTTGCAAAGTGGACGAAGGCAGAGATTCTTAAGTTGTTCCACCTTTCGGAGAATCCAATTCCAATATTCCATGGCCAAGTAATAAAGTTGCTCCATCGGATCGGGAATATTACGGTTATCGCGCTCAAAGACAATATGCCTCGGTTGTTGGGCAGTCGGTTCCATAGTTCCTTTTTATTTTCGATTTTTGATGTCTCTGAATTACAAATCTATTCCTCAGTAAAGGTGACAATATTTCTAAGGTTGCTTATACACTCCCTTATAGTGTTTTAAAGGTAACTCCTTCCCTACTTCGATATATCGATATATCTTCTTTTTTTCGATTCTAGTTTGCCTTACTTATTTCTAGTCGCTTTCCCCTTAATGGTTTTACTTTCTTCCTACCACCTTTTTCCACTCTTTTTCACGCCTTATCTAGGCGGCTATTAGTTTTGATAAATGGCTTCGGCGATGCAGTTTCTGGTCAGCGCTGTCAGCAGTTTACCTCATCCCATAACGGCGATATAAAAATATGTTCTATTTTCTTTCACCGTGTTGGTGATTTTCTAAAAATACGACAAAGCATGGGATGTTTTTATGCCTTCTTGTCCTATGTACATTTTTAAATTTTTAAAAATCACTTTAATATTATGCGGACAATAAACTTAATCTCTTCATAATAATTTCCCTATTATTTGGCATAATCGAGTTTCCAGGCTATGAGCTCTTTCAAAGAGTTCAGTGCTGCGTTTTATAGTCAGGCGGCCTTTGAAAATTTGATGGCTGCCTTTCAGCGCGAAATAAAAACATATTTAATGGGTAAAATTATTTTAACAAAGCCTTCATTTAAACAAAACAAAATTTACAACCTCTGAAACGAACCTTAACAAATACACGGCTTTCACATAATTCACTCATATGAACGAAACAAAATCGGAGAAAAAAATAGCTCGGCGAAATAAAATGAAATTATGCGGGTGGAAAACCATAAATTGACTTTTGGACCAACAAACAGAAAACAAAATAAAACTTTTTCCTTTTGGGCGTTTGTATGCGCGGAATAATTCGCAAGTTTTACGGTATGCCTCGCTTTGATCTGCCGCATTAATATTTTATTTCTTGTGTATACTGTATGTGAGCAGCAGACGTCTTATGTTACATGTTACTGGGATGTCGACTGGTGTGTATCTTGCAAATTGTCTTGTCAACATAAAAAAATAAATAAAAGTGAGGCGCAGACCCAAAGAGAAATGAGATGTGGCGAGGGCTTCAAATGAAGCGTAAGTAAAATAAAATGAAATGAAATAAAACAAAATAGTGGATGCTGTTCACTTTGGCTCTTTGGATAATTTCCGACGTTTTCCACACAGTTGATTTCTGGGTTATTAAGCTGTCCGTTTTGACTTTTTAACCGTTTCCGTTGGCATAAAATGTTTGAAATTCCTTTCAGGTCCTCTGGGGGCCTTTCAAGGTGATATTAACATGGCATCGGGGGTTGGCAGCCCAAAATTGGAAGTCATGAATCTACAATTTAGTTATTTAACGGAATGTGGGCCTAGTTGGAAATTGATTTCCAACAGCCCATCCGTCCATCTCGCCAACTCATGGACACATTATCTGGACAGCTGACAGCGGGCGATGGGACAAAAGAAAATATTTTTTATTTAGGTTTTTTTAAACAGCAGAGCAGCCAGCATAACAAAATAAAAGCTCAGCAGGTCTAACAAAAGCCAGGGGTTACGACTACCCGCATACAATGGTTCCGGCCTCTTCTACGGAATACGGAATACTGAATACATTCCATTGCCTTTGTTTACAAATGAAATGGAAGCTCCTTTTTATGGGCCAGCATTTTATGTGTTTATGTTTTCGACTTATGCGCCAACTGCTTGACCGTTTTATTGATTTAGTAGCCTGCCATCATCGGCTTTTGGCCCCATCCTTTAACCTTCTCTGAACTGGCCGCTTTTATCTGTCTGCGTTGACGGCGAGTGGATTTTCGATATTACATGAATTTTCGCAACTCCATTTGCCACTTGCCACTTGACACTTTGCAACTGAGCATTCGGTTTCATTGAATTATAGAATTCCAGCAATGTGGCCGCAAATTAATAGGCAATTAACGTCAAGGGCAGAAGCGTAAGCCTGCCGGACTTAGCATACCCTTTGAATTATGGCAGCCCCCGAGATTTAATCTATAAAATATGCGAGTACATTTAACACATTACAGCGCAGCGGTATTTTAATATTATGTAAAAACCTACCAAACCATACCGTACCGGGTTGCAATTGAATTAATTTTTAATACAATCAATTTATCGAATGGCGCAATAAATGCATAATTAAATTTAATTTGGATTTTCATTAACAGACCAACATGTTCGAATTGTTTTGTGAAAAGGCGGAAACATGCATCTCGAATCTGATAACAAGCTCAAGATGCCTTTGGAATGACTTGACAATGAGCTACCAGATCCGTTCTAATGCAATTGGCAAACATTAAATGGCATAATTGTGTTTATGCAAAGGCAGGAATACTTATTAATTGGCTTAATGCACAAAATACACTGCCCAACCCTGCCGATGGCCGAGAGCCACCCAATTTAATCCAATTGCAGTGCCAACATTCGCCATTAAGCTAAGCCATAAATTCAACACACTGCTGCCGAACCTATAAAGTACTCAACTTTGGTAAACCGTAGCCAAACGATCCATAAATTTCAATAAACACCCAATAAAGTAACCATGGTCCTTCGAGTGCCCAAGGAGCTCAGCCAAGCAAAAGGCATGCTTTCAGCGGCAAATTAAGTCTTTTAATCATCGTTGCCGTCTATTAGTGGCTGAAATCCAACGGGTAATAGTGTGCGAACGAATTCTAATAATTATAAATCATGCTGACATTATTGCCAAGTTCAATTGCATGTGTCGGAAATAAATTAATTCGCAAATAGGGGCTGAAAATGCAGGAAGAATAAACTAAATATATATTTTAAATTGTAACTAATATTTATTCACCACGCTTTTATTTTCCTAAATCATTTTAATGCATCTGAGAGGAATTTAAACTTAGTTACTTAAAGCCAGAATATTTTTCCAACTCCGTAAATACCGAGTACTGCTACCTGTTATGAATACCACTAGACACATAAATGAAATTCAAGGGTTGAATTCATGATATAAATTTATTCATTTAAACAGACTTGCTGCTCCAATTATGCGGGAAGCTGGAAAAGCAAGACGGAAACCCAAGAATGCGAGTTGCTTTTCAGAGCCAAGAGTCTTCAGAAATGGGCCATGCTATAAAGTAATTTTTTAGTAGATCAAACAACATAGTTCTTCATTTCCTTAAATGCCATTATCTGACTCAATAAAATCACCAATTATCTAAATGCACAGGGAGATATTTCTGTTGTGTTCTGTTTTCTGTTCAAGCATAAATTATGACTTGGACCACTTTTCGTGCATTGCGAATAAATCAGAAGGCGCAAACGAAATACTGGGCTTTTTTATGCGCCCAAAGTTTGACGGGCATACAATAATTTATTAGCAAAGTCGGCGAATTGTAAAAGTCTCGACCAGAAACAGGCTCAGCCAGATTGCCAGGCTTTCAAATTGCAAAAGGCAATCTTACTTTCGCCTCTCTGTTTCGGAATTCCATGGCGCTCCATGTCAGTGGTAACTCAATTAGAAAATTTAATTACGCCGCAAGGCAGAAACCAGGAAGCGTTTTTATACACATTTTCCTACAATATGAAAAGCTTGTTGAAATTAACTTTATTATACTTACGATATGTGTGAGTGGCGTCTGCCAGCTAAAATATCAAGCAGATTGCTTTAAAAACAGGGAAATGACTGAAACTCAAATATGAATAAAGTTTACTTGCCTTTTTGGGCGATAAATATGTATCCATCGCAGGGATATGAAATGACGGTGGGTTTAATTAAAAATCGGAGAGTTTATATAAGCCGAGATGCCTGCCTCGCAATTTGCATTGGTTAACAAAACTTTTCGGGGCTGAAGAATGCATAAAACAATCCCGATCCCAACACCAATTTACCTTATCAATCAGCAGTTCACAATGGGTGTTTTTCGGGGGTCTTTCGGGGGTGTTCCCGGCGCTTAATCAAGCGCTAAGTCCACAAGAATCCCCGAGAACGACCCTTTTCTCGAGTTTTGCGAAACCGTTTACCTTCGCTTTGGCAACTTTTAACCTTTAGCCTTCCTGGTGAAGGTGGGTGCGGGGTTCGAGTCGATGGCTATCTGGCAAGTTTTTCGCTTTTGTGGCGGTAATTTGTTGTTACACGTGGTCGACCTGCCGTTTGCTTTTCGGTGCTTAAATGAGGCGCATCATTAGTTGCTAGACGTTGATTTTCCGTCTCCCTTCTTGGCTCTCGCGATTTATTATTAATTGGCCACCAAAAATGGTTGAAACTTTTTCCGCCTATTTGTTTTACAAGTTTTCCTGGGAAACTTTTGTGCCTCGGCGAGAATGTTTCAATTATTAACACTTGTGCGTCCCGCTTTGCGCTTTCCCGAATAATTCAATATTCTGGTTTTACTGTTATTCTTTCCATAAATATTGAATAAATATTTTCTATTTAATTAAAACTTTATCCTTTTCAATTGTGCCCGATTCTTGGGACCTAAGAGCATTTGTGGATGTCAGGCAGTTTTAGAATTTTAAAGTCGAAACAATATTAAATGTGATGGGACACTTTGGCATTTAAGTGGTTAAGTTGCTAGAATGCCTTTGTCGTCTAAAACATGAATCAGCATGGAAAACATTTAACATGTGCATAAATAAATACGAGTACCTTTAATAAAAACATGTTTTATGATAACCTGAACAATGGATTATTAATTAGAATTTTTATTGGTAAATACATCATAATCCAAAGCTAATAAGACCCAGCGCAAAAAAAAGCAAATAATTAATAATGCCATATTTAATCGAATTTAATTAATTTGCACAACCATATTTAGTCTCTCCGGCGGAATCCTGGAACCCAATAGTTTGCCGCCGAGGTGGCAATAATTAAAAGCGATTTCCATTGTGGTTTCGAATCGGCTTTAATTGCTGGCTGTTTATTAAATAAGGCTAGAGAATACAAAAGAGCTCGCGGCCATGTTGGAATTTGTCGCATTTAAGAGGCTTTTAGGCATCTGCATGCAACATGGCATTCATTATGCTTTAATTTGCTTT